ATTTTTTTTGAGTGGGTTGTCCTTTCCACCAGCAATCTGATGGTCATGAACGGAAGAATCCTTTTGGAAAAGAAGAGTCTCTTCATATATGCATGGAACAAGGTAATAAGATAAAGAAGAAAATTAAGGGGAAAGGAATGAGTGATTTATTCAAGGAAACATGAACTTGCTATGTTTGTTCTCACAAAAAAATTGATCTCTTTAGTCATTCAATTGAATTCCCTCCTTCTCTTCCCTAAAAACACAATCATCTTCATCGATGATATCATCAACTTTAGAGGATTGGCGAAACTTTATGAATCTGGTTGGATTGGATGTTTTTCAATTTATTCTTTCCTTTCTTCCTCCCATTCCTTTTTTATTCAAATTACAACGAGTTAGTAAACATTGGCGACAGTTATGTTTGGAATGTATGGAAGAGGATTGTACAGAACTGTATTGGGATCATTCCGCAATCACCAACAAGAGTAACAAAAATCCATCCGAATTGTTTTTCAAAATTCTAAAACCTTTTAAAAAGTTGAATGTTATTGTCTTGAAGAATGAAAGTGTTGATGTCCAACTTTTGAAAACCATTCTCGTGGATTGGAAAGGAAAGGTAAAACATATAAAATTTATTGGTTGTTTGATGCGTGTGTTTGGCCAACTGCCGATTCAGTACAAGATCGAAGCAGATAACACCGAATATTCGGCCTATGTTCCTCTCCAATATTATGGAGGAAAGATTAAAGAATGTAAATTGATCACTGAAAGAAACAACATCTCTCAGCAGATACAAGTTGGAGACAGGGATGACACGGGATCAGAATTATCCAATGGATTTCAGCAATCATTGGTGGAGGGAATTACGGTAATTGCATCTCAGTTACAGTACTTGGACCAACCGTTTTTGCTGTGCTGCTTTTGCCTTTTAAAAGCATTTCCAAAATTAAGGTTGGTAATCATATGATAGTGTTGTATTTAATGTCAACACTTGCAGATTTGCTGAAATTTCGCTCATGTACACTGGAATGAATTCTCCTTCTATCGACACGTGGATTGAGTCCATGGGAGCGAGAGAGCTTTTCCCCAATGTAGAATTTAAGAAGAATATTTATGAAATGGCTAACCAAATCTTAATGGACACTCAAGACTTTGAAAAGGTAAGTCACTTCTTCACAGTGAGCTCACTTACATTATTTTTCACAAAGGCTGTTGATTACTATATGAGTCGCTTTGAAAAGGACTTGCATTTTAAAAAAATCAGACTTGAATCATTTAGAAGGAAATATTTGAGTACTCGAGATGCCTTTGATTCCTTTCACCAAAATGCATGCAAAATCGTTAATTTTTTTGTGTATCATTCGCCCTTTGGAATGGATTCCAAATTGAAAGATATTAATGGATACAATATTATTCAATTAGCAATTATTTTTTCGTGTCATGAAACTGTAGAATTTATTTTGAGATATTTGACTGCATTAGAAAGCGATGACAATATGCAAGTACACAACGAGTTACAGGAATTATTTTCTTCTAACAATGGTATTGATGGAAGAAACGCAGTTTTTTCGAGCATATCAAAATCAAGCAAAGAGAATGATCACTTACTGAGATTAATGATTCAGTATAACATTTCATTTAATGCTCCATCTTCTGACGGATCTACTATAGCTCATTATTTGTGCCAATTTGGGAAGTTAGAATATCTCAAGACTATTTGGTTTTCGTTCTTAAAGGAGTTACCATTAGAACGAAAACAATATTTCCTTGACTTGAATTTGAAAAATCACACAAATGAATATCCGATAGAGGTTTGCAAAAAGCTCAAAATGAACAATATGATGAAATATTTGAAAGAGAATGCACATCTTTTTGGGATTACATATCTACCAAACATGGAGGAAGAAAATCCAATAATTGTTACACAAAAGCCTTCTCCGCTGACTGTACGACCTCCAACGCAAAATCCACAAAATTCAAATGGTTGTCAACTTTTGTAAATCTTTGTAGACCTTAATTCTTTGACATTTGGATATCACCTAACAACCGTCGTTTAGGTATTTAGTTCTAAAAATCCAACAAGAATCTGGTTTATTGGGTTTGTACTGTCATGTAGTGGACTCCTACAAAAGGTACACTTATAATAAATAAATTTAGAATTTATTAGCCATCATCATGATGCAAGGTATTATCTATTCACAATTTTTGTAACTGTTGGGCTTTGAGATTTACTCTTACTTTCAATTTCATTTTGTTCCTTGATGCTCATCAGAATTTCTTCCTTGTTTGTTTCCAATACCAATCCTCCAATCACAATTTCATCCAAAATATAATGTACTTTGTCGGAATGGAAAATCAAATCCAACTCACAAACGTTTTCAAAACATTTATCCAAAGTTTCAACAAACACTTGGATGAGATCGAGTATTCCTAATTCGCTTTCATTTTGATCCACTGCAAAGATAAAGTACAAGGTCGCATAATGTCTGTAGATGAGTTTGGTGTCTTTGCCCCAAATGGCTCCTCCTTCTAAAAAGTTACAAACTGAATCGGATCTTCTCACCACTAATTGGTAACATTCTCGGACTGCTTGTTGTTGTTTTTCAAAAGGAACTTGTTCATAGAATCTCGTGAGACGAGGCTTTCCGTGATTGTTCACAACGATAATTCCTTTAATCATGATGATGATGATGATGACGAGGATGTCTTTGATTTAGAAATATTTTTTTTAAGATTTTTTATTGATTCGAAACTCTTTTCTCCAATCATCGTATTTGAACCAACAAATTCTTCAAAGAAACAACCAGTATCTCAGCCCTACTTGTTTCCACCATGATGAGGTGAATGAAGCACGTGTTGTAAATGCTTGTCATGAGGACGTTTGTGTTGAGCTTCTGTCTGTTCAAAAAGAGAGGCAAGTGGCTTTTTGCTGACCTTTCCCATTGCGTTTTTTGGAATTTCCTATCAAATAAGCCATACAGAAGTTATTATTATTATCATCAATTTCATTTGTCAATGATGTTAACATGCATTGGATGACAAAGAGAAATAAACTTACTTGTTGAAGTAGAATCAAACGAGTGGGTAACTTGTATCGAGCCAATTCTTTGGAACAGAATTCTTGCAGTTCCTCCAAAGTTAGAGTGTCATTGCTGTGACGAAGTACAACAATGGCAGCGATTCTTTCACCATACTCTTCGTCATGAATTCCAACTACTGCACATTCCTTGACCTTACTCATTCCAAGTATGACTCTTTCAATGTCCAGAGAGGAGATTTTGTATCCACCGCTCTGAAATTTACAACAACAAGAGTCCAATTCATTCGTTTTTGTATTGCCTCTATCTAGTGAGACACTTCTCAAATAACACTTACCTTAATAATATCAACACTGGTCCTTCCACAAATTTTGTAATACCCCTCTTCATCAAACAACGCTGTATCACCCGTAATAAACCATCCGTCACTTGTAAAAGTTTTCTTGGTTGCCTCAGGTCTGTTAAAATATTCCTTAAACACACTTGGGCCTAACACTAAAAGCTCTCCTGGTTGGTTTGGAGACGTAATCTCTTCTCTGGTTTCAAAGTCAATAATTTTCACTTGCACGGTTGGAAGTGGGAAACCAACCATGCCCATTTTTCGTTTGCTCTGTGGTGTATAGGGATTCGAGAGTGCCATACCGATTTCACTCATGCCATAGCGTTCGAGAAGTGCATGGGAGGTAATTTCCTGCCACTTTGAAAATACTGGTGTAGGTAATGCACTACTTCCAGATACCATTAATCTCATCCTCTTAATTTCTGTAGAATATTTCTCTTGTAGATCTTTGGGTAGTTCTTCGTACAAGTGAATGAGTTTGACATAAATAGTTGGAACTGCCATAAAAACATTAATTTCCTTTCCAATCTTTTCTACATTTTCTTTTTCAATATTAGTAAGTTTTTTCCAAACAATATTGGGATTAAATTTGCAGAATTGAACAGTAGCACCAGCATACAATGCACAACACAAGGCATTGGTAATTCCATGGACATGATGAAGGGGTAACACATGGAGAATATGATCCTTCTCGTTCCAACCCCATGCATTCACAAGTACATCAAGTTGATTCAATAAATTGGAATATGTGTAAACTACACCCTTAGGGTTTCCTGTAGTTCCAGAAGTGTAGATTATGAGACATCCATCATCTTTTTCATTTCTTTTCAAATCAATCACTTGAGGTACCTCGTGTTGGTGTTCATTCCTTGACAAGATGCTATTATCAAATTCAATAAATTTTACATTCTTTAACTCTGCAAATAGTGGCTCTAATAGGTGATTTTTATCAGGCTGATAAATAACCATGTCACATTTGCAATCTTCAATGTAGTACTTGAGTTCTTTGGTTGGGTGTGAGGTGCTGAGTGGAACAGCAACGGCATTTGTTCTCCAAATTGACCACAACGTTATGACATATTCATAACTGGGGTCGAATAAAAAACAAATTCGTGAATGGGGAAGAATTTTGATAGATTTTGTGACATCCCATTCTGATTTTGTTTCACCAACGCTATTATTATACAATTCTGTAATCATGTTGGCATATATTCCACTATCTCGAACAAGATCAGAATATGAATGAGTTAACACCGTTGTTGAGTGAATATTTGGGTTTGGGTCATTCATTTGATGATATTCATTAGTAACCAGTGCAACGTTGTTGTTACGTGATGCAGTGATGAGTGCCTTTTCAAATATTTTCAATGAAGAGACTGTCAGAGTTATCGGAGTTGCACTCTTGAAAAATAAACATACTATATTTTGTATGATTAAGCCTCCTTTGATAAGCATTCGTCATCGCTTGATACTGCCATGGAAGTACACTCATGATAAAGGATTCTCTTCGCCATCCTTCACTAAAGATTGAAGATTTTTGAAAATTGAGAGGCTTGCAAGACAAAAACCCTTTTCGCATATTTTCGATTTTTTTTTAAAAAAAATTATCGTCATCATGAATGCATCATCATCTCCGTCGGATCATCAGCAATTATTGGAGGCACTCGAAAATAATACTCTCGATATTATTGATAATTTAAATCAACTATCTATCATGATAGAAAAATATGACTCGAAAGAAACAAAACCTCATTGGTTTGAAATGATTGAAAAGTTGGATCAACAATACACAGACTTGTTGTCTTTGTGTCATTCGAACGCCACCATGCCTCTCATGCAAGAACAATACCCATATGAATTATTGCAAGTAATTGATAAGAATGAATCACCAGATCAATATCTTCAAACGGTAAAGAAAAAGTCACAACAGAGAATCGAATATGCAAATGGAAAAAAATCTGCTGTCGATCAATTACGAAATGTTTTGCGAGAAGAACTTGAAAAGCACTTTCCTGAGACCACAGAGGACATTGTTAAAAAGGAATAACATTATTTGATATCATAACTCATTGAAATTTTATCTTTTCAGGAACAATGTGTTTCTGTTTCCTATTGCTCATATTATTGAATGTATTTATCTAGAGTAGTAAGTGTTACCTCCAAGTATTCTTTGAAGACGAAGTGAATGAATTTTTGCTAATAGTCTTTTGTTTTGCGGAAGGAGCTGACTTGCTGCTAGTGGTCCGTAACAATGTATCCTCAACAATTTTTGGTTTGGATGAATGCTTTGAAATAATTATTGGCTTTGAACTGAGAGTTGATGGTTTTTTGACGAGCGAAGGTTTCTTTTCATTACGTGTGACATCTTTGGAGGGAATTCTCTCAGTTGTAGAAATAAAGTCAGCCAATTTGACAGATATGGTTTTTGATGGTGAATATTCGAGATCATTCTTGAGAATTTTTGAGGTATCTTGGAGTGCATTCGTAAGGATGACACTGAGCGATTCTCGAGGTGTGGCAGTGAGGTGAGATTGGGTGGGTGTGTTTGAGCTGATAATTCTTGGTGACGGCTTGGGAGATCCAAACGAACCTGATGCACTCTTTCCTGCCTTCTTTTTTGGTAATGTCACCACAGGTATCGGAGAAAGCAACGATGCATCTTCATTGCTCATAAATATCACGTCCGGCTCATACTCTTTCGGCTGGGAAAGAAATTCTAAGGATGTAATATTGTTTGGATTGGATGAAATGGTGGGGACTGTTGTCTTGGGAGTGTTTGCCTCTTTTTCGCTATTGTCTTGCTTTTTGTCAGAAAAAGAACAGTCCTTCTCAAACGGAGATCCCAAGTTAAATGACCGAAGACCTGCTTTCTGTTTCAGCAAATAATGAAAGTGAATGGTGTCCTCTTCTGAAAATGTTGGTTGTCTTTCCGACCTAGGAGTAGATGCGTAAGCTGAAATAAATTTGTCAACTTCTTCCTCAATTTCTTGTTCTGAGAGATGCAATGAAGGTGGTCTCAGGTGTTCATCATTTGCTGAATTTGAGGTTAAATTGTTTGAAGTAGGTTGGGCTGGATGTTCGTCCTTTTGGTCTTTATGTGCTTCTTTCTCGTTATCTTTTAGTGACGGGGCTTCGTTCTTTCCTGTGTTTTCTTCCAAGGTATTCACTTCAGGGATGGATGGAACTGGTTTTTTGCTAATTTCTTCTGTTGCAGGCGGGATTGTTCGTGTTGAAAACGATGTACTTTTTGAAGGAAGGAATGCTATCTAGCGTAGCGAATAAACTGTTTCTCTAAATACAATAACTTACCTCCATAACTGAAGACGGCTTAATGTCTACCCATTCTGCATTTCTAATCATTTTGTCAACATCAAAAGGAAGTTTGATATTGAGCTCTCCCACTATTTTCAAATCTTTCACCTCTTGCAATTTCTTGGTGGGAGTGAAGGAAGAGAGAGTTTTGCTTTCTTTTGGTTCATGAGGTGTCGATTTGGAATGAGAATTGCTTTTGACTAGTGGATTTGTGATCGTTAACGTATTATTATTTGGCAAAGTTGGAGTTTGTGTCGTGGTGTCTATTCTTGCATGCTTTTCGCCTACACTTTCAAAGCATGCAACGGTACGAATAATAAGGTTGGAAAAGCAGGAAAGAACTTTGTCAAAAATGGCAAAAAGAGGGTCAGACTTGGGGTCGAAGGGTTTTCGTTTGGTTTTATCTGCATAGTTGGATTTGGAGAATGAATACAATAAATGTATGGCTCCAGAATTCTCAAGAGAAAAGTTGTTAATGTGGTACTTTTGGATTAAAGCCTCATTGATAAGAAATTGTTCAACCTCAACAGAAACTTATCAAAAACCTTTGAAAACAGTGCCACAAAAAAGATACTTACAATGATCATAGCCTTCCCCGTTAGAAAAATACTCTTTTGATTCAGCAACAGCCTCTCTCCACAGAAATGGTATTAAAAGCTGATGGTAACCATTACTTGAATCTAGGAATAGATCGGCATAACGGTACAAAGTTGACAGTCCATAAACTTACTTTTGCTTGTCAAATTCAGATCAGCCACATCCCTTTCAATGAGTACAACAGATGATTCAATCATATCTCTCTCTAAGCAATTTGTATGAAAATATTCTTTGAATCTTCTGAGCGTAATAAATCCATTGTAAGCTTTGCATTCTCTCATAATTTCAAATGTTTGTTTCAGCAAATATTCAGGTCTCTTTTGTTCCCTGTCAGCGCTGTCGCTTGAAATCACAATTAATAGAATTAATATTTCTTCCACTGACAACAAAGTTTTGTTGTCAGTATCGAGTAAGAAGAATAAGTGTTCCACTGACTTAATCCATTCGTCGGAAATATTCCATTTCTCTATCAACTCAACGTTTTGAATTTTTACCAATAAACCCAGCAACACATCCAACTGATATTCCGAATAAGATGATATGGAGTGCATCCATTCTTGCTCGCTTAGAGTAGATTTCGGTCGGGATGATACAGCCCCCGAATGAATACTTTGTTTTATCCATTTCAAAATCAATACTTGAAATTCGTCCTCATTGATCATTCCATTCAACAACCACTCAAAGATGGATTTAAAAGCCTGGAGATCCTCCGCACAAGACAAGGTTCCCTTCGTCATGTCTAAAATGACCTCTACATAGAGAGCTTTTGCGAAACATTCTCGCCGACTGATGATCATCGTTGAAGACATTTTTTAGTTCTGAGCCGTTGTTCATATTGAAATAACGAACACAAGAGAGACCATGATACTGTAAATGGTGAAGGCGGTAAAAAAAATCGAAACAAAAATGAAACGAAAAAGCTGCTTGCTGCTCCGTGCTTTGACCTTTCCACATGCAAATTGTTCATGCCATTACTCTTCAAAATTCCATATGGTCGAAACTTCGGGGAATCGTCGATGGTTCAGCCTTTCCTTTGTGAATTCTCTTAAAAAAAAGAAACAAAAAATGGAAGATTGGGAAAGGGACATTGTTCACCCGATCGGTTTTTACGAGTATGACAGAGAGAAGTCAGCAAATGACAAATTTATATGGGAAAGGAGAGAAGAAGACAAAGAAAAAGCAATGGTTGAATTGGACAAGTATTCCGAAGAAATGGCAAAAATCTACAAAGAGGTCGAAAAACATTTAAGAAGAAATTTAGGTATCATGGGGGCCAGAGACCTCCAGTCACTCCTTTATTTAACCCTACCATTTATGAAATCTTTTATTGAAGAAACTTTGGGCATGATAGATTCTTTTCCCATTTTTTACTATATGAAACAAAAGAATTTTATCACCATACTGGACTTGGAAGACGAAGGTTTTGCAATACTTTTAAATAGTTACGAGCATTACCCACTTCAACTTAAACGATTCTCAGTTGGAGATTATTAAAACAGTTTATTTGTGTTCACTTCTGGAGCATCCTGTTCCATATGGATTGAAAAGCTCTTGTCCGGGGGACGAAAGTATATATGTTTTGATACAGTCTGGAACTATGACGATCCTTTATACGAGCGGGCAAGACTAGTCATTTTAAGCAATGGATGGCTTACGCTCATTCTTAGGTACCTCAGAAACGAGGTCCCGACCAAAAGTTGGTCGAGCTTTTTATGGACTCTTCCATCATGAAATTTGCTTTTGACGCAGAAGCAAAAGCAAGCAAATTGTCAGAGTGGTTTGAATCAAGCAATATGGTAGGACTAACCGATCTCAAAAAGCACTTTATTGTAGATGCGGATGTATATGGCTGGAAAAACTTTAGGCTTCTCTCGTTTGGCGTTTATGAAGCACGACGGGACGATTGCTTTCTGAAAGAAAAACCAGATTCCTTTTTTCATTACGGAAACCTTGATCCCACAACTAAAAAAGGGAGGGAGCGTTTAGAATATGCAGTTCATGGCGTCCTTACCTGCTGCTACTTTGCAGATTATTTGGATACAAGTGAGGAAAATAAGGACATTCATTCATGGGCTACCTCACATCATCCAAATGGTAAAAATCCCATTCGCCTGATTCGTTCCTCCTATGATGAAGTTGATGAATGGAACAAGCTTGGAAAAGGTTATAAACATGTTAAGACAAAGTATGATGTCAAACTGTTTTACGATCCGTCAGTGGTGACAGTGAAACCCAAGAAACCAACCAAACGAGAGTATTCAGCCCGCATGTCTGCCTGGTGGAGTAAATTTTTTCAAGGTTAATGAACGAACCTCCGATCATGCAATTCTCGAAAGAAATTGAGAACTCTTTGTTGTCAATTGTCGACAGAGAAAAATCATATCCAATCCAAGGAGGGGTGAGTTTCAAACCTGGACCAACCCAGTTCCCTCAGCATCAAACATCAACCGGCAATATCCTCAGATGTGAAAAAAATGTTTTCTCATTCTGTCGCTGGTGCCACTCTCTCATCATCTCCACCACCGTATGAGGCAACCTCACGAGTTCTGCCCAACGAAAAAGCTCCAGTGATTGACAATGCGGACTGGATCCATGCACAACCTCTCATCGGATCATATGGTCATCGTGCCAAACACACCACTGTCTCATTCACAAATTCCAGAAATGAGCCCTGCATTCTCATATTTGGAGGACAATCGGATTCGAGTCATTCTACCAGCACGAGTTTGTCATCCAATCATTCAAACATGTCTTTTGGTCATAACAGCGCGAGTGGTGGCGATGTGTTCATGTATGTGATTAAACGATTGCAAGACAATGGCGAATGGCATTGCTTCTCACCACCTGTCAAAAATCCTGCTAATGCACCACCTCGTGTCAGAGGCCATTCGGCTGTTTACTTTGAAGGAAGAATGATTGTGTTTGGAGGAAAGAATAATTTCAGATACTTTGATCAACTTTTTGTAAGTTATGTTGTGAAAGCAATGTGTGATAACGACCTCTTCTTCGGTTCGGAAATTAACTGTGTCTTTTGTGGCGATTCATGATTGCAACAAAATCACTGAATATTTCACAATTAATTGTGAAATGGGATTATTCCCATGTTCATTACAATCATGAACGAATCCATGTCATTTTCGTGATCATCTGACCAACAAACACAACACGGAACAATCATATTTGACCCATCCCAACTCCTCCTTCTCCGAACTATAGTCTTTGAATTGTAATACTTGGGAATGGAGTCATATCATCTCTCTTCAGCGATTCAGTGTTTCCTCACGACTCTCCAATCACCAAAACAAGAAAAATCGTTCTTTCTCTCTTCACAACACTAGTAACAACAACTCTCAAACAGTGGGTCGAACGATTCGTGAACAAATCAGTTTCGAGTCCATGGTCAAACTCCCATGTAAGAGAAGTAATCACACTGCAGTTGTTCTTCCAAAATATCGTAAAATGATTGTGTATGGAGGTCGATCGTATGGAGAGACTCTTGGAGATTTGTGGGCATTCGATTTAGAGGAATATCAGTGGGACAATATTCAAATAGATCATCACAAGTCGCTCATTCCCTCTGAACGTCATTCACACAGTGCGACAACTTTGAATGAAAACCCCAATGTCATGATCATTTATGGTGGCAATAATGGAAGCTCACAATTGAATGATTTGTGGATGTTTGACTATTCGACTACTGTTTTCACACCCATTGTATTGTGGAATAGTGTATTAAGCAATCCTTCCTTGTCTTTTAAAATGACTGATCCAGGTGCAACGACTGCCATTCAAGTTGCTAATTCAATCCTTCTCGGAAAGAAGGTGTCAAATTCTGATGCAAAAAATTTAATGATATCAACTCCAAGAGAAAGTCATCAATTGATTTCTTTAGGACAGGGTTACTTGATGGTTCATGGAGGTTATTCCAAGAAGAGATTCATTAAGGATTTTAATATTATTGACCTTCAACGAATGGAATATGTTGACTGCACTTCTATTCCAAGAAAGAAGATTCCATGCTCAAGAAAATGTCACACTCTCAACAATATTTCAAATGAATATATTTGCATGGTAGGAGGAGTTTCCAGAAAAAGAGGAAAATTAGATGACTTTAATTTAATTGACAAGGAAATGTTGAAGAGTTTCATTCTCACGGATGGAGATGTTTCTTTGGTTGACGAATTGAAAACGGTTCTCGAAAAGAAGTACAGTATTCACCTCTTAGAATCTTCACTCGCAGAAAGTAATTCAAACAGAAATTCTATTTCAACTTCCCATTCAGAAATGAATGGTTCTCGACGTCGACAAGAATCCACCATCAGCATTTCTGAAACTCTAAACAAAGAGTCTCTTTTGGAAATTGGTTCCATCTTGTTGACCTTGAGAGAGTATCACCAAGCCATACCCTATTTCACACAAGTTCTCAAAATTGATCCCACCAACAAGACTGCTTTCGAAAAGAGAGGAATTTGTTACTACATGGCCGAAGACGTTCTGGCAAGCATTCAAGATTTTTCAGAATGCACCTCTCTTGAATCTCAAATTTTAAAGGTCTGTGCTTATTTGAGAATTGGAAAATATCGAGAGGCTTCCAATGTCATGCACATGCTCAAAAATAATTCAGGTTCACAGTCAGTGCTTGTGGAAGTGATCAAACAACTGTTAGACTCGTATGAAAATTCAATAGAGAGCAAAAACAAGAGCTCGACACAAAGGGAATTGCGTGCCTCTCGAGCATATTTCGCGACCAACATTGACGATTATATTTTTGAACCTCAATCGGGTCGATATGTCGATCTCGAAAGTGAAAACAAACCCAACGAAGAAGGCCATGTGAATTTCTCGATTGCAGAGCCTTATTCCTTACTATTTATTGGACAACATGAATGTGGAATGACTTCATATTTGCAACAAATTAGATCCATGTTTCGACAAAGTATTAGCATCAAGGAAGCGAAATTATTCAAACCAAAAATTCAAAATTATACCATTGGTTTGTATTATCAATGGATGAGTTTCAAAAAAGTGTTGGAAGCTTTTGATAAGGATGCATGCCCCATTCAAGCATCACAAGATTTGGAAAAACTTTCGAATCAAGTGTTTGATACTCTGGAAAATATCAAATCGCACAAAGATGGATTATTCATTTTCCCAATTTCAAAAGTTCAAAAATTAGTCATGCAATTAAGTTCGAATCGAGAATTCCAAAAGATTTGTTCCAACTTTGCTTCTCTCTACGAAGTTTTGAAAACCAAATATTATTTTAGTTCTCTCCAAGAAGAAATTCACACACTCTTCCACAATGCCAATGTACCATAGTAAGTAGAACCATTGTCAATTTTCACACACTCGTAGAATACTGAACTATTGCGTTGTTTATGAATCAAACAATCGATGTTTTTCAATGACTTTCAACAAATCTGTTTCAATGACAATTTTGCAAACGTTGATCACAATAATAGCTTCTTCAAGGAGACAAACAGAATTCTCTCTACAGACTATCTACCTACAGACATGGACATTATTTCTTTTCCAATCAAGTATCACTTTTGTCCTCTCAATCTCATTGAATGTGAAAAAAAGAATTGGGAAGAATTAGAAGCATCAACAAATTCTCCTGTCGTTTTGAGTTCTGAAGAAAATCATCAGGAAGTACTCTCAACTACTACGACAACAAGTAGTCCTTCTCCAACAAATAACCATGAATTGAATGACATAGCCATCATCACCACCACCACAACAACAACCAAAGATTTGATTTCATTCGATGAGGTAGATCAAAATGTAACACAAGTGACCAATGGAGATTTCACAAATACAATCTCTACCAACATGATTGAGCAGCACGATCTGGTCAGCAACAATACTGACAGTCATGGTATCAATATGAGAGGCAATGTGGTTCAGAGAGATGATTTTGATCACTTACATTCTATCTCACTACAATCAAGGCCAAATGATGCTAAAACCACAAATCATTCTGAATGTGTCATGATATCCACTTTTAAAGCTTCATACAGTGATGACATGTTCGTTGGAGACATTTCCATCTACAAGGACAGTATGGACAGTTTGGATTTAGATATTGAAAAATCTCCACTTGAATTTATCTTTAAAAGAACTCCTTATACGATCTTTTCCACGAGCTGTAATGTGACTGAAGAAAAGGTGATGAGTGCCATTCGAGAGTTGAGTATTGACTCGATTGCAGTAATTTCGTCATTGCATGATATAGATCGAAGAGTTCAAGCTCATCATCAAATTCCAATTCTTTCATTCATGAATGGACAGGTGATGGTTGATGGCAAATCAGCCTCTTCCATTGTCAACACACTTCGAATGTGTGAAAAGTTATTGAACCAAGAACCATTTGCAGATACACAAATTATTTTCATATTCACTCATAATGATGTCTTTGTAAGTATCGTGATGATTGAGTTTGTTTCGTGTTCATCAACATTTTTTTCTATGACAATTACTCATTCATGTACAAACTCGTTACAACAGACTCGAAAGATTGCACAAGATCCAAATCTTCTCAAACACATTTTCCCAACTTATCAACCAAGCAACAAGAAGTCACCCCAAAGGTACATTGAGGAAGTATTTGAAACATTTAATGACAAGTTTAAAAAGAGACGAAGATTCCATTTCTCATTTGTGAACACATTGGATAAGGATGATGTGAAACGTTCATTTAAAACCATTCATGAAATTGTTCATAGTGTGGAATTGAAAAGACAATTAGAAACATACAAGATGTTGTGATATGTCGCGAAATGAAAATTCAAGATGAGAAATGCTTTATTTCTGTTTTTCTTCTTGCCACAGATCCACATCTCGCCGAATAAAGGGTTGTCAAGTGACACAACATGGTGAGATTTCAAAGAATTTCAAAATTGTTTATTTAAGCGTTCATCTCGATCTGGATATTTACAAAGGAGGAGAAAAGAAAAATGCTTAAAGAGTCTCAAAAAAACTATTTACATTCAAATTCGAATCATCGAATAGCACATCGTTCATCATGGAGGAGGACGAGGAAGAAGGCTCAATATGCTCAACAAGTAAATTTTCAAAATTGGAACCTCCTTCAACCACCACATTCATCATCAAGAGAGAATTCTGTAAAAGATGATTCATTTGGATTGGATTAAGGTGGAGGTGTTGTGCTTGATCCGAATGAGGCAAATGGAGAGCAGGGGGAATGTACAAGGCAGGAGTCGTTGAGGAAGAAGAAGTTGCGTAAAAGTTGGAAGAGAATGGAGAAGGAAGAATGGTACAAAATTGTGGTTGCTGTTGATGATTTGGATTCATCAAAGCAGCACAAAACTCATCGTGATGATCTCGATTGGTAAAGTCCGAAATTAATTGAGTCATCTTCTCATCATCAGCATCATCGGCACTGCAGAGAGATGGAGAGAATTCATCGAGGGATGAGTCAGACTCGGACAAGGTGGTATTAGTGGTCGTTGGACTCACACAATAATGATGATGAGAAGTTTCTGCCAATGAAGATGAGGAAAACACAAGACCATAACCATCATCTGCAACCTCCTCACATGAAGGCTGATGAATATGAGAGGCACCTCCTGGAAGAACGACGATCATTCCTTGATCAAAGGCTACTGCTGGAAGGATCATTTGTGAGGTCGCTGCTGCTGTCGACGTTTGTGGTGTGGAGGAATAGGATGAGTTGACGAGTATTTCCTCTTCTTCTTGTGTTGTTGATGATTCATTGGAAGAGCAGACATGTTGAAAAGAACTAACACATGGGGAAAGAGTGGGTGAATCTGTGGTGGTGATGCTAGTGTTGGAGGCATTAGAAGACAACAAATCTGTAAAGTTGGTAAAGAGGGAAGTTAAAAAGAGCAAGTGGTGGTTGTTGTTGTTGTTGTTGGATGAATCAGCAGTAGTGGTGGTGGTGGAGGTTGTGGTGGTGCTTTCTTGTTGCTGCTTCTCACTCGAAGACAACAAATTGGTGGCATTGTGAATCACGGTTCTTATCAAGTTTCGTTCCTTCTCTGAAAAGTTTTTCACAGCTGCTGAACGATCCTTGTCATCATTAGTGGCACTTGCTGTCACCAACAAGTGAATAAGTCGGATGGTCTCTGAAACATCGTGGTGTGAAATGAGCTTTTCAAAGAATTCATTTGGTATTTTCTTGAGATTGGACATAATTTGATCGTTGGATAAGGCATTGTAAATTTCATTGGTTTTTCTGAGAGGATTTAAATCGATGAGAAACAATGAAACATGGAATAAGACATGAAAATTACTTACTTGGAAGGATAAGGTTTCAAACTCTTTCTCTTGGCTCTTGGTTTTGGAAATTCCTCACCATTCTTCTTCATCTTTTCAAAATGTTTTTGAGCGTGTGATCGAATTTGCTTTCTCGTTTTCGTTCCAATGAAATCTTCGACCTTCTTCCAATCACGTCCATGAATACGAATGGCTTCAAGGAATTTTTCGTGCTCTTCCTCACTCCATTTCTCTCTCTTTTGTTGGATGGTATATTCCTTACGTTGTTTGGGAAGAACTTGAGACAAGGTTGCCTCAAGTGGTTGAGCGAGAGTAATGGAAGGAGAGGAAGGTGATGAATTCTTTTTTGTAATCTTCTTTGGAGAAGAAGCACCTCGTACGGCCGTATCATCCGTGGACTTGTTCTTCGTGGAAGATGATGAAGAAACCATAGTGTGTGTGATGAAGTTGGCAGTAGTAATTGAACGAGAGTGTCGAAACCGTTTCTACGATTGATGATGATGATGAGAGATTCTTCTTGATAAGAACCAATTTTGCGAGGTTGACTGAGATGCTGCTTTACAGTCGTGTGTGCAGTAGTAAAAGAGCTCTTTTTGTGTGAAGACTCTCGCAACTCAATGGGAGAAGGACAACAACGGTGAGTGTGTGGGTGGATGGGTGAAAAAGAATGGTCGTCGTGTCCTTGCTCGTGTTGTTGTTGTTGTGGTTGTTGTTGTGAGGAGGTGTGGGAGTTGTTGTGTCGTTAACGGTAGGGCTCGGGACTCTCTGAGGAGATAGAGGAGAGGTGTGGGGTGGCTTCTTTTTGATTCTGCAAGAGTCACACACTCAGAGAGAGGGAGCATTGAATGAAATTTCGTAATCGAACGGACGCCCCAAATTTAACGTTCGGAGTACAAACTCCGCCTAGGAGCAAAAGCTTTCTAATTGCAAAAAATAGGTTTTTGGAGGTTATATATTCCCAATGCAACCACCTCCCAAAACTCAACAACTTGTTTCTTGTGACATCCAGTTTTACAAATGGTAGTTGTCTTTTCATGGACGAAAGGAATGTCATAAATTGCTTTGGTATGATTCGTGTTCTGTCCATAACTAACTCATGAGGAGTGTGAAAATTCAAAATCTCATTTCGGGGAAACCATTCTTCTCCGATCTGACCTGGCTGGTTACTTTACCGCGATGAATCAGCATGGATTCGGAAGGGGTTTCTTCCTCGCAAGCAAGAGAGGCACAAGCGTCGATCGGACAACAACAAAAAAATGTGTTTGGTTTTCTGAGCCTTTGAAAATTGTGTTTCGGAAAATCAAAAACCTTTTGGAAAATTCAAATATTTGAAGAGAGAGATTTCATTTTGTTTTTGAAAATTATACACTTCTGATTGACCCAAAAACATCAGCAGTACTCTGAGCTTTATCATCATTAAAAAAGAGTTAACCTTTTTTCATTGCAGCGGATTCGTGTAAATATATTCTCAAGAGAGAAAGAGTGAGATTAAAAAGATGGGAAATACAGTTCAAAACAACCAAACAAAGGAGACCAGAGTTGAATCATCATCGCCTTCCATCAATGGAGGCACTCCACATCAACTAGAAACAATTCCGAATCATCCTCATAGGAGTGGTGATGAGTCGGTCCCTTTTTTGACTCGTTCATCATCATTATCATCACATAGTCATAGGCTTGTTGATCAAATTCAGTTTGGTTCAATTCCCGATAAATTTTGTAGCGTCCGTATTCTGCTGATGCAAAGTGGAATGACAGGTAATATCACACTCTATGACACTCACCATGACGAAGCATTTAAACAAATTAGAGCCAAATTACATCTCAATATAAAAGAATTGAATGAAAGATTTAGAAAAGAGAGGCTGCTAAAGCGATCAACCCCTAGTTTTTTGGCAAAAAGTGCTCCCTCTGTGAAGCCACTTCTCGTGAGCATGCTGAGTGGAGAAAAAACGAAAGGCACTCAAACTGTGAAACAAGAGCAACAGCCCCCGCAGCCACTCAAGAATGACAAACAAAACACTAAACAAGCAGTTGGTCTTAATGATACAAGTATTTTAGGAGAAATGTTATTTGGATCAATACCCATTCAAATTGTAGGACAAAATACCAAAATTCATTCCGTTCCACAACACAAACAAACTTGTCTCAGTAAGGTATTCCGAGTAGGTCTTCCAGTTAGCTCTGTAATTAGTAAGAAAGAACAAGAGCAAAATTTAAAGGAGCACCACTCTATGATTTCTAAAATTCCAGAACATGCCAACAAAATCAGCGAAACAAATAATTCCACACATCACATTGAGCCTTCTCCATCATCAAGTTCGTCTTCCATTAGAAGCAGATCTGGAAGTATTGTACATAGTCCAAGCAATATCAGTAATAATATATCCTCTACTACCAACACTGGAGGAAGGGTAAGAAGTTTATCAACATCAGTCGCTGAATCAGCAACAAAGGAATTCATTGAAAGTATTGACATTAATGAGAGTAAGCAGCAAAAATTCAAGAAAGAAAAGAAAAGAAAAATTCAAAAGGACCAAGAAGTCTACATGTGTAAATCATCCTTTGGTATTTCAGTGCTCCTAGTTTTTCATGAAAGTGGTGAAGACAAGGATGATCTTCAAAATCCAAACCAATTACAACGATTAATATTTTCACATTTTCCACTTTTTGAACATAGATTAAGGAAACTTCTCAACTCATGCAAACAAGCACTACAAAAATATTTAAAGAAAATTGTTGAAGATGCAAAAGAAGCTGGTCGGTTGGAAGAAATGTTCAGCGGTTTCACATTTAACGTTCGGTCATTTCATGGATGTTTGCAAGAGAGTGAGGAAATTTCAAAAGCTTCAATTGACTTTCATAGATTTGTTATTTCATTTTTACATGCACCTCGCTTTCATGTAAGTAAGAAACAGATTTTTTCATGAACATATAACCCAAATTCGTTAATGTTATTATCAGTCTCCAATTTGGCAGTCTCATTCACTTACGCCATTCAAAAAGGGAGACGACTTTTCATCGTTTTTAAAAGATTTATTACTTCTCACCAATGTTGACCCTCAAAACAAATTGTACGTTTTCTTTTTAGCAGTACCAATTGTATTCATTTATTGACACATCCTTAGATTTATGACGCAGATCATTTCTACAGTTCTTGCCAATCACCTTTCTTGGATTGTACATTTCACGAAATCGCCTGAAACAGAAATAGAAACCTCTCCATCTAATTTACTTGTCAGGTATTTACGGTCTCTGTATGGGGCTGGTTATATTACAGATGATGAGGGCTCTGAAATCGACATTTCAGATAATTTATCAACTTCTTCTGTCGAACAAAAGAAAAATAGACTTGGTCTAAAAAAGTTTTGCAAGATTATTGTCGTTGGGAGCTCAAACAGGCAGATACGATATTGCATTTCCTTAATCACCTATTTATTGAGATCTGTGCTCCTTCTAGAAAAAGAATTTTCGGTCGACATCCAATCTGGAACAACATCAATCCAAAATATGAACTCATCTGATACAAACATAAGAGAGACACTTGCCACTCTTACACCAATGCAATTTATTGAAATGGCTCCTCCATTAGAATCAAAGAGAAGTCCAAAATTGTTTCAAAAAACATTCTTTGTTGATTACCAATCTTCTTCGGGCCAATCTGATGACGATAATGAGGCCAGCATTAAGCCTGTCACTTTGGTTCCACAGCCAAACTGTTCCTCAACACCATATACGGAGGAAGTTGCACAACTTAATTTAAAAAACAAATTCAACAAGTTCGGAAACGCATTGTTTGGCGACGTGTGTACTTGGTATTGTGGAGGATTTGTAATTTCAGGCTTACCAAGATATGTCACTTTTCAACAAGAACTAATTGAGGATTTGGAATTTGTTCAAACCGAGAGCATCGATGGAGATCCAAGACTGCCCGATATAGCCAGTTGTGTCGTTGTTGATATTGAGGGAAGGTATGTATTTGAATAGAAAGTAGCTTTCGATTATTGCGGTTTACACACGCTTTTTGCCTAGATCATGCAATGTCATTATATCTCATCAGAGCCGTGTTAAATTTGAAGAGGGACATGTCTCTGACATGATATCCAACATGCTCTCAGAAATTTTATGCCTTAAAACTCTCAATGACAGCTCAGAAACCAATGCCGTCTGTGAACAACTATTTCAAGATACACTCTACAGTTTGGTGCTAAAAGCTAAATTACTTCTCACCCTTGCTGACTCGCTCAACGTCGAACAATCCTCAAAGAATTCAATTCAAAATACATCCTCTTTACTCTCCTGGAGATCCCAAAAGAAGCAATATAGCAAAGGTTTGGCAGATGTCATCAAAAAGAAGTTCAATAATGAGAAATCAAAAAAGCAAACACCGGAACCAATAACGTATGCCCAAATGGCCGGTCTTTTGGGTGTTTCTGTTTCAGACATGCCATTACTCATCTCTATTGCTAGTGCCTACCGAGCAGATATAGTTAAAAAGATTGTTCCTCAAATCAAATCTTCTTCAAAAAAGAAGAAACGGTAAGAAACCTCAAAGTACTTTCCGAAATTTTGGCTGACTTTTCGCAGCTCAAGCAAAAGTGTTCGCAAATCGAACGTTTGAATACTCTTTGATCACCATGTTTCTGAATTCTACTAACCACGTTTTCACTCTCTTTTCATGTGTGTCACTGAAATCAATGAAGGATCTCGAGTAAACTAGAAGACTAAATTTTGTCGTGTCACTCATAGTACTGATCGATGACGAATTTGTTTGAGGAGAATAAGGTATGGCTGTTGATTTTCTGATGCTATAACGCCTCAAAATGTTCACAACATCATCACTAAAACTTGGAGGAGTAATATCACTGAGATTGTCTCCATCGTCTTCTTCTTTTGGCGTCGTCTCTTGTCCATTTACCTTAGGAGAAGATTTTTCATCGATCGATACAGGAGAGAGTGGCATTTGCTTATCTTGAACAAACTGAACAGTAATGTAATCATAAATTAATGATGTGGCTTGTCGATAGGTGAATAGATGAAATTCTGTGTTGCAGTCCAATAATTCTAGTTTCTCTTGCTTGGAAATAAAATTTTCCCATACTGTCAACAGCTGTCCAATCGAAATTCCTTGAAAGATGGGTGAAATAAATTCAGTTCTTCTATCAAAGGTTCTATTGAATCTTTCAAATTCAATAGGGGCAGAAAAGAACCAATTATTCCTTATTTTAGGTGCCTTGTGAAGCATCCAATCGACATTTCTGTTCTGATTTTTTGTCGGATTGTTAGTGGACAGCACCACTGGCTTGTTCATGAAAAAGTGTGACACTAATTTTTGTAATTTCGTATTTGACCTCATCTCAATGTCAATTATTTGAACCATCTTTTCAAAATATTCATTCAGTTGTGATACTCTTTTTTCAATATTTTCTTTTTTCAAATTTCCCATGATCAACTTTTTCGGAAACAAGGGTTTAAATTCTCGTGCAAAATCTGGAGATAATTCAACAAATCGTTGGTGAAATTCTAATATTTCACTGTATCGTTTAGCAATGATACAATCTCCAGTGTCTAAATGTCTATAAAACGAAGCAAGTGAATACATTGAAGAGAAAGAGTTGACACTCGCATTGTTAGCACTACTCTCCGAAGCAGATTCAATGAGAGCAGCAAAAGTATGTGAGCTTTGATTTTCATCAATCATTGATGACGATGATGATGAAGAGGATGATGCACGTGTTGAGGCTGTGCTCGTCGTCATGATATCATCATCAAATTCCTCAAAATGTGAGTATTGATATTCCCGATCAAAAGGTGTCGTTGTTAATTGTGTTCTCCTTTTTCTATTGAATTGAATTGTATTCTGCTGCTGTTGCTGACCTAAAGAAGTGTTTAATTCCGTTTCAAGACAATTGGTAGTATCTTTGCTAACGGTATCAATTATGGGAAGAGGCTTCTCCGCCTGATGAACCAGATTCCTCTTTAAATTTTGAAAATCATCATCATCATCACGATTCTTCTTATTCGTGATGATATCCTTCACGGAACACACCTCTTGTTGTTCATTCTTATTGCTGTTGGAAGAAGAAGAAATTACTTGAATGGTGTAGAGAACAAACGGTTTTTTATCACCACCACTCCGATAGCCATCCACCACTTGATAGTGAATGATTTTAATGTGCAACATGTACAATCTCTCCTCCTCTTTGTGGTCTCTCTCTTTTATTGGCTCTTCGTATTTCAAAAGACAAGAACACGTGCGCACGAATAGTGTGAAAATTGTGCAATTTTTTCAATTTAATGACATTGTAATCGTTCACTAGTCAATTAGTCAAATTGTGAACAAACATGACAACATTAATTGCTGTTATCATCGTCGTAGTGGAGATAGTTTGCAAAAAGTTCAATTTCGCCTTTTGGACTGTTCAAGTCACAGAGTGAAATAAGTAAAATGGATTTGGTAAGCAATTGAGAGTCTTCAGAGAGTGGTTTGTAAGAGAGATTTGGAATGTACTGCCGAAGGTGAAGTGGCCATTCATGTAATTTGAAATCATATTCATAGTACATGACATTACTTTCGAACTTGGGATTTTGATGGTTGTTGTGATCATTGGATGTTTCATCGTTTGTGACAGGAGAGTTAATGTAATGCCCAATGTTTAAATGATTTTTGATTGAGAATTGTTTTCTTACTTGCCAATAAGCAGCATCGTTGTTGTTTGTATTGTCAAACATGTGAGGGTCTTCATAGGTATGATCGTGAACATGACGAAAATTTAGCCATGAGGCGTCACATTGCTTAATGACTTGACCATTTGTTAAAATGATGTCGTCTCGTGTTGAATAGGATTGGAAGAATAATTTTGAAATAAATCTGTCGTTGCCATCCACTCTACAACATGGGCTTCTTTGGTTGATGAAATGATTTCCTTGTAGAATCATAGTTATCGTAAGAAGTTCAAGAAAATAACGAGCGATTGGATCAAAAGTGATGTTGTCAACAATTGGAATAATGGTTGAGTGAATGCCACGCACCTATTGATTGAAAGAAAATGGGATCACTGCTGTCATAAACCATACCAGGATACAGACAAACTACTTGGCCTTTTTTCACTTGTCCTTTCAAAAATATACCATCTCCATTTACATTGGGAAGTAATGTTCTCCTCTTCAATAAAAGAAATTCAAAAATCTTTTTTTCAACATCTAAATGTGCATCACCATCAAGTTGATTCATGTTCATTTGATGAATAATTTCAAAATATTCCAATAATTGTCGTGTTAATACATTATGAGAAAGGCAATGTTTATAGGCTTCATCCTTGGTCAGTAATTCATTTCGGAATGCATTCTCCTTGATTTGAATGGCTGTAAGTTTTTTAAAATCAGATTGTTTTCTATTTCCGAACAAGGAGAAGGAAAAATTTTGTGTCATCATCTTACTCTGATTGTTGAAAATCCATATTGTTTTAGAATTGTTTTGAATGGTCATCGTGTGGAAACAACAATTTTTCGATAATTTGGATGACGCAACGATCCCGTGCAGTCGTTTTGAAAAGGCATTTTTGTGCATTTTCTTTAAATTACAATTTGGATCTTAACGATTGGTTAAAAGTTGTTCATATAAGAGGATTGTTCCATTAGATCTAACTTTGGTTGAATGAGGCTTTCATAGCTCGAAAGAGCTTTCTGAATAATGGTACCGTTGCTCACAAGTTGTTGATAGGACTCTTGAATATGATGCACGTTTTGAATGAACTGTTATTCGTTGACATGTTAGAACTACCATCACTTCAAAAGTTTCATCTTGAATACTTACATGTTCTAAACGTGAAAAAGCGTCTGTGATTTTCAATGTCACATTCTCCAATGGAGACAATTCCTCTTGAGGTTTGTTGATGACCCATTGAGCAAATTCCTCCTTAAATACCCGAATAAAATCTTGAACAAGCTCAGAAAATTTGTTCACTGCCTCTCCAACTTGTCTAATCTTTTCCAAATGTTCCTGAGATAGATTTGACATGCAAAAATAGTTTCCATCCCATAGATTTTGATTCATATCGACATGAATACCTTTGTTTTGCTCATTGATTCTGTTTTGAAGGTCTTCTATAATTTCCTGATATCTAGTGATATGGGTATTGGCTTTTTCTACATCCTTTTGGAAAGACTGTATGTCTGGAAGTTTCTTTTTTCTGAATTTGGATATCATGTCGTTGGAGAAGAGCTTTAAATCGTTTACAAGTACTGCATTCATGTTGTGACTAACATGATTAATAAAATTGAAATCATTTGCAAATTGTTGCTTTGCGTCTTCAAGTCTGAAAATTTTGTGAAATTGGTAATGTGTAAAGATCTATTAGTATCTCAGTACAATGGATATCAATGGATGAAAACTTACGGAGAGTCCTTCACTGTGTCCACAAGCTCCAACAAATCACCAATGAATTTAATATTTCTCTCTCGAGTGCACTCATCTCCTCTCACCAAACTCAAATCACAACCTTCAATAATTCCGAGCCAGGAGCATGCTTGAAGAATTGCTGAGGAAACATCATCATTGCACATTGTAAACATGTCTAAATATTTAACGAAAACCAACCTTGTTCCTTGTGGTCATTGCTATCCAAAGGAAGTTGCAGCAGGCGATTGATATCATCAGAGAAATATCCAGCAGGAACGAAATACCGATTCAACAAGTACATCAACACATCGTATCTAGTCTCTCCTGCTTTCAAAATAAAGTCGTGTTCAATGACCAGACGAGCCACAGGATGATTCCGAGCTTGTGGATCATTACTCAGCAAGCTTTTGAGTTTGAAATTCAAATTTTCTACCGTTATCATTTTTTTTGGCGGGTTTGTTTGGATGCTGCTAAAATTTAATTTTATTCTTTCGAACTTGAAAGAGAGCAGAAGTATCGGTGATCTTGCTAAAACAAAATGTTAATTGCTCTGGGCCAAGCGAAAAAAGGTCTAAAAGTCAATGAGATTTAATTCAATTTAATATTTGTTATCTGGTTCCTTTCGTCGTTTATTTTCGAAAATAAATTGAATGAACATAAATCTCAAATTGAGATTTCAAATTAAAAAAAATGAATGCGCTCTATCAAAGAAGCCACAATCAAACCGTGTATGTTCTTCTTCGGATGGTGGTCCGAGCCTTCTACGAAGATGTACACGCAGTGGTGATGGATGCATTGTTGTATTATCAAACAAACCAAATTGATGAAATCCGAGAATCTGATTTGGTGAAAAAGGTGAATTTACAACCACACGTGGTTAAAAAGGCACTCTTGGATTTGATGAATGATTCAATAGTAGTGAAGGAAGACAAGACAACAGAAAGAAAAAAAGGACAAAAGAAATATCCATATAAATCGGAATGTTTTTGGAGAATTGATTATGAGCAATGTATCAACTCTATTCGATACAAAATGTATCTAGTTTCACAGGAAGTCAAAAAGAAAGTACAAGCAAATCCTACATACGTTTGTTCGCAATGTTATGAGGTATTTGAATCATATGATACAGCAAAGTTACTTGATTTTTCTACCGGACTTTTAATATGTAATCAGTGTGGTGGTGAAGTGAATGAGTCGGAGGACTCAATGGAAAAACATAAGGAAACAGTATCAGGATCGGAATCACTCGAAGTAAGATTTAATACTCAGTTAGCTCCTATCAAAGATCGATTGGATCAATGCAAAGATTACGTTGTTCCAAAAGATTACAGATGGAATTACAAGAGTATTGTCACAAAAGAAGAGGCAGATAGACGAATTGAAGAACAACGTAAACAAATCGACAGAAACAAGAGCATGGGAACACACAAGGCAGTGCATGTTCAGAGACACCATCAACACAACACACTCGGCGCAACTGCCCATGTTGCAAAGGCGACGGGAAGTTCGACAAACACACTCCAATTTGATCCCTCAGCAACTATTGTTATTGATTTTGCTGAAAGTAATAGCGCAGTAGAGGCTGAACAAGAGGTTACTCCAGTCACAAAGAGCCAGAAACCATCAAATCCATTCTTCTTGGCACAAACAGTCTCCTCAAAAGAATATGCCGATTATAACGATGTAAATGAAACTGTAGAGGATGAAGATGGTGTTGTGTCACTTAAAGACAGAGAGATTAATACTGAAGTGTATCATCAACTATTGGAAAGAGAACACGAAGAACAACGAAAAGTTAATGACATGGATGACGAATTTGAAGATAACGCCATGATTGATGAATTTGTGAACGTGACAGAGGCCATAAGTCAGCCTCAAGCAGAAGTACAAGATTCGTCAGAGACTCTTGTCTATGTTCAGGGAGTTCCCATTCCATACTCCAAGGTTACTCCTGCAGAGTTAGGCAAAATGACACCACAAGAATACGAAATGTACATGAATGTTAACAAGCAAGAGGAGGATATTTATGATTTTTAGGAAGCTGCATTTTCTTTTTATGGCGTTCATAAAGGATCTAATTTTTCTCCTTCAAGAATGAACAACTTTGAATCAAAAATTAACAAAATCAAACCGTCGGTCGTTTGGCACACAATAGCTCTCAGCGACATAAACAAGTCGTTACAGATGTTCCTTAGTAATTATCCTTATTAATTTGCTATTCCATAAATATGTATTAATAACATTTCTCGCTCTAAAAGCGAAATTTCCACTTATTTGTTTTTTGGCCCAAATTGTTGTGAGATATTCCCCTCACCGCCGCCTTAATGAGTGATTCCTTCCTTTTCCAAAGCGATTCATCATGTTATTCTTAATATTGATTCCAATTGAATTTGATAATTTACCTCTTCATCCTGTTGCTTGTGTTTGGATGACTTCCAATGAGCGTCGTGGATCAATTATCCAAGAGAAACCAGATCCTGTTGTGAATTCTGTGATTTGCATATCGAACGCTTCTTGCTAGGAGCAAGTTCCATAACACTTGTACTTATACCATGTCCTCCAATTCCTGGCTGTATAGGAGAACATTGGATTAGTAAGAACTAAATTTGAAAGTTGGATACCTTAAAAGGTAATTGATTCGTTCTCATTTCCAAAATGTCATTGGCTCAACAACATTCACTTGATTTTCCAACACCAAATGAAATCCAAAAAACAACTACAACAACTCACTTCTCAATCTAAAGTTAGTAAATACCATTCTTTCATACAAAATGATGTCTCTTAATAAAAAAATAACAAGGTTCATGCACCTCTTCTCTCGTTCATGCTGATTATATGTTGGTCGAAGTTTTCAAAGGTCCTTCCGGTGGTAGTGGAAAAACTGTGATCAAGGAATTCACGTTCGATTGCCGTTCCTTTATTTATAATTGCCGAAACAAGACCGATTTATTGAGTGACAAAAGATCTTGTGCCAATAACGTTCCACTTTCACCACAAGTTGATGAATACATGGAGCTTGAGTACCCAAATACAAAATGTTCAGGAGTTCTTTCCTCAGTGAGAATATATTCATTGGATACTTGTATTCCAAGTGAGGATGGCTCCTCTTACATGTATAAGGGTTGTAAATCGAAGGTGATTTATTCAGATCCCAACTGTCAACATGAAGTTGATATTGAACCTATTCAATGGATCGGTTGTTATAGAGGATGGTCTACTCTATGTAATCATACTATTCCAGGAAATTCTACTCAAACTAATCATTCTTCTCCATTAATGTTGACGAGCTGTGTTAACAGCGGTGGTTGTTCAGTTGATGATGAAGATGATCTTAAAGTCGTAAATAATTTAATCGCTGACATCATAAGATTGAAGTTCAATTTCCAATAAATATCACTCAACCTAATGTGCAATCTCTCTAAACTTTTCTGGGTTTTAACCATTCAATTAGAAAGGTTTCTATCTGTAATGTGGAATATAATAGCATTTCATTACACCACATTTACCTAATATTATACAATCTCCAAACATTAAAGAATTGTTTTATAAAAAATTATTCATTTGGAAAAAAGTTGGGGTCAGCTCAATCCATTCATTGCACCTTGTTTAAACTCAGAAAGAACCAATCATCAAAACATCATTTTGGAAGCTGGACGCCAAATTTGTCGATATATTGATTCGTTCTCATTTCCAAAAATGTCATTCTCTAAACAACGTTCCTAATGTTTTTTCAACTCCTCTCGCGAAACATATTTCGCTAGAGCTATAACGACACATCGATTCTCACATCTCATTCAATAGATAGTTAAACGTATTGGTGAACACCTTTAAGATCTACAAAAAAAACAAACTCAAGTGAAAGAACATTTGTCGCGCTTTTCTCAGAGAAAATGCTTTATTCCAACTCCTTTCTTTTAAGCATGGCTACTTTCATGGTGCTATTTCTTTCATGCACCACTCTCACCTCTTCTCTCGTTCATGGAGCTGAATACAAGTTTGCCCAAGTTTTCAAAGGTCCTTCCTGTAGTAGTGGAATAACAGTGATCAAGGAATTCACTTCCGTCATTGATTGCCATTCCTTGAACCATGAATGCAGTAACAAAACCCATTCGTTACTGAGTACCAATTCATCTTGTATCGATCACGTTCCACTTTCACCACAAGTTGGTGAATACATGGAGATTTGGCACTCAGATTCGAAATGTTCAAACAAAACTCATCCATCCTCAGTGAGAATATATGCGTTGGATACTTGTATTCCAAGTGATGATGGCTCCTCTTACATGTATAAGGGTTGTAAATCAAAGGTGACTTATTCAGATCTCAACTGTCAACATGAATTAGAAACTCGTCCTACTAGAAGAATAGAATGTTTGATAGGAGAAACTTTTCTCTGTAATAGTACTGTTCCCGAACAATCTATTCAACCCATTCCTAGAAATTCCTCTCAACCCAGCAGTTCTGGTAATCCAACTCATATCAGTGGTGGGTCCACAGAGTTTATATTGAGAAATTGTGTTGGAATTGTGGTTGCAGTGTTGATCATGACGAACTTTTTGAAAATCTAAATTTTGTGGCCATTGAAGACATTTCCAATAAATATCAACATTCAACATTTAGTGCAATCTGTAAATGTTTAAAAATTGCCTTTCACGATCCATTCTATTTGCAAAGTTGCTGTCAGCCATGAGGAATAAATATTGCATTTCATGACACATTGTTTAACCTCAGAATCTGATAAACCCTTTTGTTGATAGTCAAATCCACACCAATGTATCGATTTCTCGTATTTCCTCTTTCCAATTTAATCTCAGTGATGAAGCTTCCAACCATTTGTGCTGGATAAATTGTCTTCCATTTCCCACCTGTACCTAAATCATGGAAATTAGTTGGATTTCAATGTCGACGGCAACTGATTCGTTTTCGTGTCGAAATGGAACGTGTCATTCGCTCAACCACATTCACAACTCCTCTTTTGCGAAATCCAATCAACAACAACCACTCTCACATCTCAAAAGTTAGTAAATTGTGTTGAACACCAATTTCTCATTAGTACCTTGAGTTTCCACACAAAAAAAATCACAAGTGAAAGAACTTTTTTAATTTGACACTCAGAGAATGTTTCATTCTCAATTCAATTCCTTTCTTTTGAGCATTGCTGTATTCATGGTGCTTCTTCTTTCATGCATCACCTCTTCTCTTGTTCATGCTAAATATGAGTTGACCGAATTTTTCAAAGGTCTCTTTCCTGTAGTGGAACATTCCTTGAACAATGATTGCGAAACTAAACTCAATTTCTTTTCGAGTACCAAACAATCTTGCATCTATTTCATTCCACATTCACCAAAAGCAGGTGAATACATGGAACTCCAACACCCAGATAGAAAATGTGAAGTAACTCCTTTATCAGTGACTCTTTATGCATTGGATACTTGTATTCCAAGTGATCATGGCTCATCTTTCATGATTAAGGGATGTACATCGAGGGTGACATATTCGGATCGAAACTGTCAAAATGAAGTAAGGACTGCTTCTCTCACATTGATGGATTGTTTTAATGGAAATTCTGTTCGATGCAATCACACTGTTCCCGTATGTTCGACTTTTCCCATTCGTTTTTCATCTGGAAATTCACTTCATATTAGTAGTGGGTGTGCAACAGAGTTCATGTTGAGAAACAGCATTGGAATTGTGGTTACAATGACGGTTGTATTGTTGATCGTTGCGAACTTTTACTCTTCGAAAATCTAAACAATGTGGCCATGCGAGAAGGAAGTCGTATTAAGATCATTCAACATTATGTGCAAACTCTAAACATTTAAAAATTGCTTCCTATAGCCATTCAAAGTGAAAAGTTCATGTCAGCCATGAGGATTAAATATTGCATTTCATGACACATTGTTTAACCCCAGAAACTGATAAACCCTTTTGTTGATGGTCTTATCAACATCGTAGTATCAATTTCTCGTCAAATCATTTCAACCTCTTTGAATCTCCAATGTCCAAAACTGTTGTAAGTTCAAAAAGAAATGTCGTTGGCACAAGAACATTCAGCGCTTGATAAATTCTCCCCAATTTCCTAATTTGATGAGAAACAAGATTTTAGAAATTGAATTCCTTTATCGGTCAGCAACTGATTCGTTCTCCTTTCAAAATGGAATGCCATATGTTTATCAATGTTCCTAATGACATCTTCTCTCTCACTTCTCTTTCATGAAATACAAACAATGACGACTCTCACAATGTCTCATTCTAAAGTAAGTTAAATGTGATGCACCAAATTTTCTCATTAGAGGTCAGAAATACATCTCCAAAAAAACAAACTCAACACGTGGTATTCCATTGTTCACAGAAAATGCTTCATTCTCGTTCCAGTGCCTTTCTTTTGAGCATTGCTGTATTCATGGTGCTTCTTCTTTCATGCATCACCTCTTCTCTTGTTCATGCTAAATATGAGTTGACCGAATTTTTCAAAGGTCTTTCCTGTAGTGGAACATCCGTTCTCAAGATGTACAAGTTTGATTTCAATTGCCACTCGATGAAAAACCTATGCCTAAAGAAACCTAATTTCTTCTCGAGTACCAAAAAAACTTGCATCCATTTCGTTCCACATTCACCAAAAGCAGGTGAATTCATGGAACTCCAGTATTCAGACAAGGAATGTTTAGTAACTCCCTTGTCAGTGACCATTCACAAGTTGGATACTTGTATTCCAAGTGATCATGGCTCATCTTTCATGATTAAGGGATGTACATCGAGGGTGACATATTCGGATCGAAAATGTCAAAATGAAGTAAGGACTGCTTCTCTCACATTGATGGATTGTTTTAATGGAAATTCTGTTCGATGCAATCACACTGTTCCCGTACATTTGACTTCACCCATTCGTTTTTCATCTGGAAATTCAACTCATATGAGTGGTGGTGTAAAAGAGTTCATGTTGAGAAGCTGTGTTGGAATTGTGGTTTCAGTGATGACTGTTCTAATGATGATGATGTAGATCAAAATCATCTCACACACTCAAAATTTCAAACATGCGTTTCGTCGAATGACATGTGCTCACTGAGTGAGTAAAAACTTAATAGAGAGAATTCAAGTGGGAGGAGCTGCTGTTATGAAGATGATCGTTTTCCAAGCAACATACAAGATTACAGGAAACTTCTTACAAATATTATCCAATAATTGTAATTTACAAAATTTTTAAACTCTGAACTTTTTTACAAAAGCCATCACGGAATAGTTCATCATCTTCAAAAAATAATTCTCATCATCGTTGTGTAATCGAATGATAGCGACACCTCCCTCTGTGGAGCCTTCTTCCATGCTCTCCAGCTCACCATCTTCATTGTCGTCGGATCAGTCCGAGAATACAAATGATGAAATGGAAACAAGGCGCTACGATCGACAAATGAGAGCCATCGGAAAGGAAGCCATGAGCCAAATTGGATCAGCACGAATTCTGCTTGTTGGATGTGGTGGACTTGGTGTTGAAATGGTCAAGAATTTAATGTTGATGGGATTCAAATCAATTACATTGTTTGATGACAAATCTACAACGTATTTGGATTTGAACAGTCAGTTTTATTTGAGCGAACAGGACGTAGGAAAGAATCGACTTGAGGCATCTTTTGACAAGCTCTATGAATTGAATCCATACTGCAAATTGGAAAAACTGAGTCCTGAAACTGTCATTGATGAAACAGTCATTACCAAATTTAATATCGTGATCTGCACGGATGATCTTATTGTCTCCGACAAGGTAGTTCGAATTAATCAGATTTGTCACGACAACAATATCAAATTTATAGCTGGATATACTTGTGGATTGTTCGCTTCCTGTTTTACTGATTTCGGAAAAGAGTTTACAGTCAAAGATCCTGATGGTGAACCTCCATCTCACGGCATTGTTTCTGGAATTGAGATTGTGGAAAGAGATGGTGTTAAAGTTGCCATTGTGAACACCAAGGACGAGACTCAACCAGAGCCTCATAATCTCTCAAATGATGATATTGTAAAATTCCACTCTCTTGAAGGAATTTCTCATCTCAATCACAAAGAAATACGAATTAAGGTTGTTGATGTTTATCGATTTGAGTTACTTGATGTAGACGTGTCATCCTTTGGAAACTATACTCAAGGAGGTTACTACAGACAAATCAAACAACAGAAAGTGATGCACTTTAAGAGTTTACAACAGTCTTTAGCGGATATTCATGCTGGTTTGCATGACGACATTTGCTCAACATTCCTTCTGTACAACTTTGCAGCCATGGATTATCCTTTGAAGTTGCATTACTTTTTACTTGCACTCAATGCATTCATTTCTCAAAAGGGAAGACAACCAAGAAATTATGATTATGACGATGCAAGAGAATTAATTTCTATGGCCAAGAATATTTTGCAAAGCTCCACCGAACGACAAGGTTGTGAACATTTGATCGACGAAGGACTATTCTCTCTTCTGTGTTACACCACCACTGGTCCACTCAACCCCATGTGTACCATGTTGGGTGGTTTGCTTGCCCAAGAAGCTCAAAAAGCATGTACTGGAAAGTTTTCACCTCTATTCCAATGGTGCAACTTTGAGTCCATTCGCTCAATTCCTGATTCCATTCGTATTCCTATTTTGCAAAATCCAAGTTTGAATATTTCAGAGCTTCTCCATCGTTTAGATCTGGATGTCCGAGCTAAGAACAACAGATATGACGCACAAAATATGCTCTTTGGAGCTGAATATCAGCAAAATCTTACCAATCAACAAACTTTCCTTGTTGGTGCAGGAGCCTTGGGATGTGAATACATTAAGAATTTTGCATGCATCGGGTTAGGAGCTGGCCCAAGAGGAAAGCTCACCGTCACAGATATGGACAGCATTGAGGTATCGAATTTGAGTAGACAATTTCTTTTCAGAGAAGGACATGTCGGTAAAATGAAGAGTGAATGTGCAGCTAAAGCTGCCCAAAAGATGAACCCTTCCCTCAATTTACATGCAATGTGTGATCGGGTGGGAAAAGAAACGGAAAATGTTTTCGATAGTGGTTTTTGGAGTGATTTGAATTTGGTTGTTAATGCTCTGGATAACTTGGAAGCTCGATTGTATGTTGACTCAAAATGTGTCTACTACAGAAAGCCTTTGTTAGAGAGTGGAACTCTTGGAACGAAGGCAAATAGCGAAATTATCATACCTTATGTGACCAACAACTATGGAAAGCACAAGGATCCACCTCAAAAGCAATATCCAGAATGTACTATTCACAGATATCCAAATATGATTCAACATACCATTTCGTGGGCAAAGGCTTTCTTCCAGTCCTCTTTCACAAAATCTATTGAAGAAGCAAAACTCTTCTTGAAGAGTCCACAAAATTTCTTTGCCGAAAAAGGAAATAATATTGTAACATTGGAATCTGTTTCGTTGTATTTGTGTCAACGACCAAGAAGCTTTGAGGATTGCTTGAGTTGGAGCAGAATCAAATTTGAGGAATTATTCAACCATGCCATGAAGAATATTTTATTGACCTATCCTGAAGACTTTGTGACAAAATCTGGTTCAAAATTCTGGAGCGGCTCAAAGAAGTGCCCACATCCTTTGGAATTTTCAGTCGGTGATGATACTCACATGAAATTTGTATATTATGGAGCTCTTCTTTATTCATCACTATTTAATATTCCAGCTCCTGGAGATGCACGTACTAACCATCTACAATTTTTCAACACGAACAAACAGTATATCAAGGATATTTTGACTCGGACCGTTTTGCCGAAATATATTCCAAACCCCATCAGCAGAGATGATGATGACGCCAAGGATTCTCATAATACAGCTCAAAAACCACCTGAATTAACAGAAGAAGAGCTTAAAAAACAACAACAAGATATCGAATTTTACATTAAAAGAATGCGAAGCGATTTGACATATATTTCGGAGAAAGTTGACAGCGATCGCTCGTTGGCAGAGACAGACTTTTTCCTAAATGATGTCGATTTTGAAAAAGATGATGATTTACATATGGAATTCGTAACCAGTGCCAGTAATTTGAGAGCAAGATGTTATAACATTCCAGAAGCTGATGTCTATGAAACTAAAGGTATTGCAGGAAGTATTATTCCTGCAATGATCACTACTACAGCTCTCATTACTGGTTTGGTAGGATTGGAGCTGTACAAGATTCTGGACATTAATGTTCCAAACCTGAAAGGAACTCTTTCTACTGAACAAGAAAAGGAAAAGTTCCTTGAAAGGTTTAGTAATTCATACGTAAATATTGGCATACCATTCATTACTCAATCAGATCCAATGCCATGCAGAAAAGACGTCGCCAACAATAAGTATGACATTTGGGAGACCATTGATGTTTCTAAACAAAAAGATAACGTAGAAACTTTGAATGATTTGATTTCACATCTACAAGCAGTGACAACTTTCAGTGTGACAAGTATTACTTACGAAGGAGCTATTCTCTACACTTGCTTCATGTCAGAGGAAACCAAACAAAAGAGAATGTCATTGCCACTTGATAAGCTTTTGAATAGCATATTTAAGTCTGAAAAAGCGAAAACTGTTTTCAATTTGGGAGTACTTGCTATGGATCTAAAATCCACTGATTCAGATATTATTGCTCTTCCCACAGTTGTTTATTCGTCAGAAAAGGCTCGTATATCTGATGAGGAAAAACGAAAACTCTTGTTGGAAAAGAAGAAACAATTACTCAAACAAAAGCAACAACAACAACAACCCTCCTCTGAGTAAAGAATGATAGAGGCATGATTATTACGCTCAAGGTGACCCCAAATAAGCACCAAAATAACATTGTTCCATCCTTTCATGCAACAATTCTTCACTGTAATCCAACACATATCCATTGCATTTGAGAGCTTGCATCACCAATTCAGGGTCTTTTTGCAATTTTGTACTTGCAAATCTCAATGCATATCCATTGTTCTTCACTGCTTCTAACACGATTTCCTTATCATTGAGAAATTGTGAGTAATAGGATCCGATAACAGCAAGACTGTTAAGTTTGGTGACTTGTAACACAAATTCTCTGTCTTCCATAATTTCTTCTGGTACACGATTGAAAATATCTCTACATCCGAGTTTGGCCAGTTTCAATAAGAATTCTTTGTCACACAAAAGTTCTTCAGAAGCATTTTCAAAAGCTTCATTGTTTTGTTTGATTGCTTCGAATATAATTTCTTGATCTTTCTTCAACATTTCATCAGCATATTCAAGAGCAAAACCATTTTGTCTGACAGCTGTTAAAACTATTTCTCGATCATTTTTCAACTCCTTCGATGCATATTCGAGTGCATATCCATCTTGAATCACAGCAGTCAATACAATATCTCTTGTTCCCTTCAACTCAGTCGAAACAAACTCCAATGCCAAGCCATTTTGTTTGATTGCATGAAATGCAATTTCTCTATCATTCTGCAAATCATGAGAAGCATATTTAAGAGCAACACCAAAATTTTTCACAGCATTCAAAACAATATCTCGATCATTCTTGAGTTCTTCTGATGCAAATTGCAATAAAAATCCAAACTCTTCAACAAGTTTTAACATGAACTCTTTGTTTGCATGATTAAAAGAGACTAAATGATGAAATTCTGGATAAAGTGATTTGATGGCTTTTAACATTAGCTCTTCATCTTGGGAGATCAATGATAACCATTGAAGGGCTTTCTTATTTTGTTTGATTGCTTCAAATATGAATTCCATGTCCGTATAAAGTTGATCTAAAGTAAAATATAGACATTTATCGTTCCATCGAATAGCTTCCGTCACAAAATTCTTGTCATTTTGAAGTTCAATTGAAGCATACTTCAGTAAATACGCTTTTTTCTTTATAGCTTCCAATACCACTTTTTTATCATTGCGAATAATGTAACTGGAACATCGTAAATTATCCTCATTCAATTGAACCGCTTGCAACACAAAATCTTTGTCGTTTTTCAGCTTTGGTGATGCAAGTCTTAATCCATAACCATTCATTTTGATTTGATGTAATACAAATTCCTTTTCATTCATAAACTCAATTGGAAAGAAATCTTTGTATTGTAATTCTCGATTCAATAGCCATTTCTTCTTTCCTTCTTGTTGCAATGAGAATTTCTTTTTCAGTAATAATTCTAATCTCCGAATATCATCAACAATTTCCAAGTTTTCATCATCATGTCCATAACGATGAGTATTTGAAAAGATTATCAAAATCATTCCCACATGATGAGTGTTCTTTTTCATCATCATTAATTTTTCTGCCAGGTCGTTCTTGACTTCCACAACAGAGAGGCATTGCTTTCTTTGCAACATTTTTTTAATGTTGATTCTGATCCTGCAGACTAATGCAATCCGAATGCAAATCATGAACAAATATATATGAACATGACACTCATCACATGTCCTTGAATTTCATCCTCACGAAAGCAACGTTTCCCTACAATGTCTCTCAAGACGACACGAGACAAGATTCTTAAAAAAAACAAAAAAGACGCCAAAAAAACCACACACTTCTCTTTTCTTCAATATTCTCTTCTTCATCCTCAAAATGGGTCAATTTTTTTCAATCTTCCAAAAGTCGAATATCACACAATCTCGGATACTACTGCTGGGTCTAGATAATAGTGGCAAGACGAGTCTTCTCATAAAGATGGGTCTTGTAACGAGTAGCTCCAACGGCGATAAGAAATCTTCAAAATCATCATCTCAAAATAATTTGGAGGATGATGAATTAACTGCAACTCCGACAATAGGATATAATGTAAAAGAATTTGCTTATAAAGGAGTTGTATTTAATTGTTGGGATTTAGGAGGCCAGAAGAACATTAGAAGTCTGTGGAGTAAGTGTTTTGTAATTATTGAGAGAACGTTCGTGAGAAGATTTTAACTATAACATGATGACCGTAATAACATTGTTCCGATGCATCGGATGTGGTATCCAATGTATGGATGAATGACATTTAAATTTTCAATGGTTGTTGATTCAAAATCTGTTATTGATGAATAATTTATTATTGGACGACAATTCAACGACTGATTCCGATTGAATTCATCATATGATGATCATGAATACAATTTATTGGTCATCCATTTTTGCAACAACGAATTGGTTCGTCTGTACTCAGAGCACTACTATAAAGGATCAAATGGAATAATTTTCATTGTGGATAGCGCTGATCATGGAAGACTGAAAGAGTCCAAACATGAGTTGTATCATTTGTTGGAAGATCCTGATTTAAGAAATCTTCCTGTGTTAATATTTGCTAATAAGAGAGATAAAGAAGGTGCAATCTCTGCGACAGAACTCATAGCTCAGTTTGAACTAGAGGATTCCATTCAATTAGTGAACGGTAAACATGATTGGTATGTGGAAAGTGTCAGCACGATAACAGGAGAAGGAATTGAAAGTGGTTTGAAATGGCTTGTTTCGAAACTGAAGCAAAAACCTAACAAGGAATAACTGAAGAGCTCAATCTCATGTGGAATGACTCTCATTGAACCTTGAATTTCGTTTCTTGAAATGTTCTACTACATTCTGTGTACATAAGCAATGCTCGTACATCATCTCTCTGACCGCAATCAGTTTGTAAATACCCATGTGTATTTGAACAACTTTTAAAAGTACCTATTCATTGTTTGAAATTGGAGGCTTTGTTAAATTTGAGTAACGAACTCATCGGACCACTGTTTGCTCTTGTCATCCTTTTGTTGATGCCATCGTTAAAGAAAAAATTTGAAGAAAAAAAATGGAAACACGAGACGTTAAGTTTATGTTCAATTATGTGTCGAAGGTGGCAAAGTATTTAAACCTGAGACCGGAGATTGTGGCATCCCGAGGGATTAAATTTAATGAAATACCATCAATGGTTGAACAATTACAATCCCGAGAGGAAAATATTGAAGATGCTAAACATTTGAATTATTTAAAAGAAAGTTTATACATTTATGAGCTTCCGATATTCAATCATGAGGATATTTTGGCCGGAAAGCACAAAAACATAACGGAAGAAGGCAATGACGAAAACGATGAGGAAGTTCATCCTAACCAAGATCAATCCAACCAAGAGTCGGCACCCGAGGCTTCTAATGATAGTGGCTCTGAAGTGCTCAATCAAAAAGACGAAGAGACAGTGGAAACATCTGAAGAACCATCAGAAAAACAAAAAGATAAAAAAGTTAAATCGAAAGACAAGAAAAAGAGTTCAACGAAGAACGACAGCAATGCAACATCAAAAAAAAAGGAAAAATCTAAAGGCATTCAAAAACAAGAGAAAATGAAGGAGAAGCTTCACAAAAAGAAATAATTCTCAATTTTGTAATAAATAACGAACTCTTATCTGTTTATTGTTGGTGATGTGATGATGGATTATTATTATGCATCATAAAATGGTGGTGTGGAAGATGGTGAATTTCTGATGGTGGAGGATGAGAAGTGTTGTTGAGTATTGTTCGGTTGTGTTGTTGTGACATGGCTACAAAATTAGAGGGCGAATTTTGAGGATGCAAGCCATGATGCGGTGAGGCATGCCCTCCTTCATATCCAGCATTTGTGAAATCTCCAAACCCAAATCCACCTTCTTCCAGAACAATCTCGGAGGTATTTCCCTTTTTAGGTTCAGGTTGTGAAAACGAATAGCGTGTCACATCCGCATTGTTGGAATTGTCAAGTGGTGGTCCATGAAGTCGTGTTGGGAAAGCTTGAAATGGAGTAAGAACTTCATTGGAGGTAAGGTTAATGTCATTTACAACATGGTGATGAGCGTTTGTTGAAAACCCAGCCTGATTGGAAAGAGTTCTCATAATCATTCCAGTGTTGTCTCCTTCGGAGGACTGAACTGGTTGAAAATTATTGCTAGGTGTTGTTGATGTTTTCATATAAGCTGGAATGTTACTTGTGGCAGTAGAAGCTTGGGTATGGTCGAATGAATGAGCAAATGCATGAGATCTTGCAAATTGGGAATGTTCTTCTTGTTGATTCGAGTAGGGCATATAAGGAGGGGAGGGTGCATTATTTGGATGGGCGCCTTGTTGAATTGAGGAAGGAGTGGAAACTTGTGAAGACGATTGATGCGATTGTAATAAATCTTGAAGAGATGGTATATAGTGACCAGTGGCATTGTTGTCATGTTGTTGTTGACAGCTAACTGTGGCCAGCACATCCATGAATCCACCGCCGCTGGTGGTTGTTGGGGAAGGTGTGGAAACTGAATTCTTTTGTGATTTTTTCGATGTTCTCCTTAGTTGTGAATTGTTACTAATTTGTAATGACGAAGAGTGAGATCTTGGTGGTTTGGTACTAGTAAGCGGACTTTGCTCCATGTCATCAAATGGAGAACCCTTCTCCTGCACATCACAAGCTAGAACGGACAGCGTGAAAAGATCTGGAGTAGCAACCTCAGGATTGGTCTCCACGTAAGGAATAGGTCTTCTTTTTTTCTTTCGTCTTTTGGTTGGCAAAGTAAGGCCTAGCTTAATCTTATAATTGAGGAATAAGCTTCTAATTTGAGTCTCTGTTTTAGTTGGAATTAACTCGGCTAATTTTTTCCAATCTCTTCCATACTCTCTGAAATACTCCAGAAATGCATCCCTTTCGCTCACAGTCCAAATTGAAACAACTTTCAAAATTTTCTTTGTCTTGTTAGGTTTGGTAATTGCTGCAGGCGATGGAGGAAGTAGTGGAGTAGATTCTCTCTTTTCTGATACCACAGGCTCCTTTGTAGATTTTCTTACTGTAGGAGAAGCGGTAGGCGTAGATGTTGTAGATGCTGTCTTTTTCTTTTTCTCTTTTGGGGGAGGAAGTACAAATTTGTACTTGGTTTTGTTTTCCTCAAAGAATTGTCTACATTGCTCCTCGTCTTTTGTTTTGAGCTTTTGTGCAATTTTCTCAAAGTTTGATCCAAATTTGGTAATCAAGTTTTTGAGCTTGTTAATTTCCACTTGAGACCATTCGTTCGGGCTTTCTTCTTCGTCCTTTTTTTTAGATCTAGAGCTGGATGTTGATTTGGGTTCTATAACTGGAGTTTCTGGAACAAATGTTGGCTCTGATGGTGTCATTGGAGAAGCAGGCTCACGGTCTTTGGTATCTTTCCTTTTACCCTCGTCCACAAATCTCTTTCTGTATTTGTTGGTTAATTTCAGATCATGTTTCATCTTTTTAAAATCCTCAGTTAGCTTATAATTATAATAGAATGTGACAACATCTCCTGTAGTTCTACTAGGTAAAAATCCAGCAATTGTCCTCATCTCCTTAGGGTGCTTTGTGAACTTTTCTGCAAAAATTTTCTTCTCTTCTTCTGTCCATGTCTCCTCAAGAGCTCTCTTCTCTTGATATTCTCTTAGAACTTGCTCGCTGGTCATATATCCATTTCGTGATACAAATGCATTTCTTCTTTCTTCCTCATTCAGCATTGGAGGAATTTTGGCTAGTTGGTCCTGAAACCGTATATTTTCATTTCTTACATCATCGATAGTTATCTTATTTTTCTTCCACCATTCATATCTTAGACGTTTGAATTTAGCACCCTCTTCTCTTGCTTTTCGTTCAATGTTGTGAAGCCTTTCTTGAATAATGGCAGTCAATTCCGGTATAAGTTCTGTGTACACTCGTTCATTAACTTCGTAACAATCATAATCAGTTGGATTCCTAGGTTTCTTTTCGAATTTATCATCATCTTTGTGTAGTAAAAAGTCTAATTTTGCCTCCGCATTCATTCCCGATATCATGTTACAATAGTACAGTTCTTGTATTTTGGTTTTGGGAGTGAAATGAACAGAATCGGTCATTTCAACATCGCAATCACCAATGGAGTTTGGCTCATTGTCAAGTTGATGAAGACGTTCTTCACTTCTCTTTACAACTTCCTCTAGTTTTTGAATTTCTCTAGTAATTTCTTCTGGTGTTGGTTGAGATCCGTTGAACAAGGTTTGAATTGGATCATCATCATGTTTGATCTTTGAATCAATAGTTCGCTTGGATCCTCTTGATTCGGTTTGTTTGGTTGATCGTTTCTTTTGTTGGTTTGGTGATGTACTTGGTGATGAGGTGTTTAATCGGGTATCTCCGCTGGAGCTACACACGATAGAAATGTGATCATCATAGTGAAGTTTTTATTCGGTGATGATGATGGTGATGAATCGTCAGATAAGGATTATATTCCAACAACAATTTAAACATTCATTGTTAATTTTTCAAATTATCCATTGGTAATAACTTACCCTTTTCGTTTCGTAGAATTGGTGCTCATTGGGACCGTATTTATGTATTATGATGATGGAAGAATATTTCTGTTACGTAGCAAGATGATGATCACAACGAGCGTTTGAAGAATTTCCTTGTTGTAAAATTATTATATAATTTATGATATAAATTCTTTTGGTAGTGATGAAAGAAGATGGATGTTGTACTCTAAAAGATGAGAGAGAGCACACAAAAATCTCTCAAAAATTACTTCAATAACTCTCCTGTTAAGCTGAAATCATGCAATATTTAAAACCGTTTGTATCCGAGAGAGAGCAAATGATTTCTCTTTTCTTTGATGATGTGAGTAACAAAGGCTTTTAGGGATACAACGGCCAATGAATTTTTTCTTTTTGATGTTTTGAAAAAAAAATTGAAATGCATTTTGGTGGTGATGAAGTCAGTAGCTTGATCTTGTGCAACTTGGAAGATGTTCCGAAAGTACTGAAAAGATCATGGTGAGCTAATCATCATGATCGATCCCACAAAGCGCACTTGATGCTACGGATAGTCAACGAAAGGATAGTTTACTCTTTGAACAATAGTAATAATATTCATCCTTCACCCTCCGCACAAGCGATCGTTAAAGATAATTTCCTAGAAAAGAAAAGGCCGCTCTTTAGAGAAAATATTTTGAATTTCTAAACTATTCAATCAAGAATTGTTGTTACTTTAGAAACAAATAGAATAGGATGCATCAACAACATCCGTGATTTTATAATTATCTTAAATGCTGTTGAAACGTCCCTCATGTGTTCGTTCTCTTCTAAAAAACAACCAACATCACAACAAAACCTTTGCTTGCATACACCTCAACATGCCAGATTTTGGTACTAATAGTCACAATTACCACCACAATCAGAACCGCAATCATAGCCATCTGTTGCATCATCCTCATAGCACGGATTCCTTACCATCGTTGCATTCACCTCATGAACATTCCGAGGAGTTGTTGCACAAACCCTTCTTTTCCATCCATCCTCAGCGCCATGACCATCCAACATCTCCCCATCAAGGCCTGAGATTAGACTCTGACGACCTCACAACAGCAGATGTTGACATTCCAACATTACTTATTACACCTCCTCAGGAGGACAATTCATCTCTGTCTACTAATAATAATATTAACATCACAAACAACAACTACACCTCAGCGAATGCCAACAAGAACATTTCAAACAAATCAAATTGGGCAACCAATGCCTTCAAAACCTTGCACTCGCGATTTCTTTCGAATCCACTACGAAAATCTACCAGCATGTTCAAGTTTCCTTCCAATGTGGTATTTTCAGAACAAGAAGAATCAGAAGGAAAAAATCACAGAACCAAAACAAAAAAACAAGGTTCCACCTACCGTCATCATCTCAGCCCCACCACACGACTTGAACGACACCATCATCATTACCAACCTCCTCCATCACCAGCAACAATGGGGACTGAACAACAAGAAGATAATTTTGACCAAAAAATGAGTTCTCATTCTTCGCCCTCTTCTCGAGAAGCCTTGGAGGAAAACTCGGCCATCTCCAGAGAGGTATCTCCACCATCACTACAAGGAGGACTGAAAGAAGTAAATATCGGAGATGTGGTGGAGGGCAATAATGTAATAATGGGAGATTCAGATCGTATCGAAAGTAGTCTGGCAGAGTCAAAACCTGCAATGATGAACTACAAAAACGGAAGTGAGGATGACATGACACGATTGGGTGATCAAATGATGCAAAAATTAATGATGAAAGATGAAACAGTGCCACAAAATACTCAACAATTTGTGGATAGTTTTTTCATGGTTGACAAGGACATGAAATTACCGTCGTCCAAGCTTTCCGTTGACGAAGAAAGTGAAGAGCTCTTAAAAGATAAAATGAACAAACCTTCTGGAGTCGATGACATGTATGGACTCGACATTTATTATCATAACAACAGAGACTTGTGCAAAATTGAAGGACCGGAAGATAGATTCACTCTCATCGACATTGCATTGGAAACTGCAATGACCATTCAAAAATTATTTCAAAACGAGGCAAAACGATATGAAAATAACGTTTCCAATGGAAAAATTTATCTGTTCCTCAAAATGCTATTAGAAGTGTCAAAAGACTTGGAGGTCAATTTAAAACATATGAAAAGTAGAATAGTTCAAATAGAGCTGAAACTGGCCGAAAAATTCCCAAATCAGTTCAAATTTGAAAACCAAACTTGTATAGCACATAATGATAAGATGGCCTCATTCGATTTGAGTTTTCTTGACACCTCCTTCCATTTTAGAGGATGCTTTTTAATATTAATTCATACCCTGAATGAATGCAAGTTATCGATTAACAAAGTGATACAGAGTAGAAATTCCTTCTTTTTGTTCACTACCAGTGATGCAAAATACGAGAAGAAACTTGATGTGTTTCAACAGAAATTTTTAGTGCTCAAAACCATGTTTAACGTTTCCAATATGTTACTTCAAGAGCGATTGGACAGTATAGACTCTAACAATCCATCATATATCCCATTTTCACAATCTCTAAAAATTAGTGACATGGATATTTTAAAGGATATTAATCCTATCGTGTTTTGGCAACACATTGGTACCTTTTACGACTCTGAGATTGCTTGGTTCCTTTCTCTCATTGTTAAGACTACAGCATCCTTTGGACATACTCAAGAAGTACCAAGTAAGCTCAAAAAAGATTTGATTTTTTACGCAGCAAGTGCCTACTACCTTATCAATCCAAAAAGTGCTGCAGAGAATTGTGCTACACTTTTTAACAATAATCCAATTGCGAGTAGCGAATTTTGGAACATACAAGATGAAAACAACATCATCAAAACCTTTACGTATCTGGGTTATCCTTTTATTGAGACGTCACGCAAGTTTAAAATACCATTTCCTGGCAGGAAAATTGTCGACTCTGTTGGCCTGAACATTGATGGTGATGAATTTGAGTTTGTTTCAGTTTCTAAAGAAGCCCCAGAGGATTCATCCATAATATTATTTAATAACAATAACGAGCAAAGCGAAAAATCTAACTCGGTAGTATATTACTCAGAAGATGACGATGATGACGGAGAAGAAGAATCAATCGACCAAAATGCAACGCCGGTGGAATACCGAGCAGGAAGTAGTATGATCTATCCACAACTGGACAATTTAGAGGAAGTGAAAGAAGGATCCTCATCCCTTGAGGTAAATTTGGCTGAAATCCAGAAAAAGATGAAAAATCATGACTACCAAGACATTGCGCTACGAATTATTTCAACGAAACCTCTAACTGAAGTACCAGACTACATTGCTCACAATCCACAAGATTTCCCTTACCTGTCTCAAATTCTTAAGGCCATCAATTCAATCAAACTCAAACAAGTACAACACAACACTACGTTTGACGGAAAAGTAATTTTGCACATACATGGTGGAGGCTTCATAGCCATGCAATCATTTAGGTACGTTTTTAATAGACAAATTGTTTTTGTACAAATATTTATGCATTGATTGACACATATTTCAGTCATGAGGTGTATTTGAGAAAATGGTGTTCTGCTACCAACATGCCTATCATTTCAGTGGACTATAGAAGGTTTGTACTTTTACTTGTTCCAAGTGTGCGAAATGTTTTTATATTCTCTTCATAAATAATACTACTCACAACAGATCACCTCAATACAAATATCCAACCCAAGTCGAAGAATGCTACTCAGCCTACAAGTGGCTGTTAAGTAATTGTGAAAAACTTTTAGGAGCACCATTGAAAAAGTTTGTGATCGCAGGAGATTCTGCAGGAGGCAATTTGGCTCTAGCCACAATTTACAGAGCCATAAGAGATGATATTCGTTTGCCTGACGCTGTCGTTTTGAGTTATCCTGCGACATACCTTGATTTTAATCCATCACCAAGCCGTCAAATTTCTGTCATTGATCCTCTTGTCAATATTAACTTTTTGAGGTTGTGTGGTGAGCTGTACTGCGTAGAAAGTGACAATGCTCGTTGTAATCCATTCGTTTCTCCATCGACCATTGAAGATGGTTATTTGAAACGTTTTCCACCAACATACTTTAACTTTGGAACATTGGATCCACTTTTCGATGATGCCGTTTACATGGCCAAGAAAATTTCAAGGAATAACGGTGGTCGAGTGAAAATTAAGCTCTATGACTCTCTTGGACATGGTTATTTGAATATGATTGATGTTTCTGGAGTTGCTAGACTTGCCTCAGCTCATATTTGTGAGTGGATCAGCAATCAAGTTGAAAAATAAGAGAATCCTCTATGATTGCCCTATGATTGAGCTTAATCAGATTTTTGTGTGTCATTATCATCAACATCATGTGTACATAATAATTGCAACCATTTTGTGAGGTAAAAGAAAAACCTTCTCTTCATTATCCACTAGTATATACTGTTTAACCCGGTTCATGAATGATGATAGAGTCAATTAATGTGGATTGCCAATTGAAAGGTTTTCGAGGATGCAGCTACAACATTGCATTCATGATGAAATCATCTTCAAAAAAAAATGAGCGTCTTTGATCAGGCTTCATCCTCCTCGAATTCTAATGAAGAACTTTCCAACAACAAACACACCTTCAATGATCCATGCGATGAATTTGCACCATTCAGCGATTCTGAACTCAAAGAACTTTTGCAAAATGACGAAATTCCAGTGAGTAAACGGTCCCGAATGTTATATGCTTTGAAACAATGGACAGAATCGGAAGACAAGATGAAAAGAGCTATTGATATTCTGTCGGTTGGATTCAAAAGTAAAAGTGCTTTATTGAGACATGAAATTGCCTATGTGATGGGACAGATGCGTTCTGAAATTGCCATCCCCATTCTTGAGAATATTTTGAGTAATTTGAGTGAAGACTCAATGGTACGACACGAAGCTGGTGAAGCCTTGGGTGCCATCGGAAGTCCTTCTGCTCTGCCAACTCTTGAGAAATTTGTGAATGATCAATATAGAGAAGTGAGAGAGACTTGCGAATTGGCAATTTTGAATATTCAATATCAACAAGAAAAGGCCAAGAATCCACAAAATAATCAAGACTCCATCTTTTCACCATTCTCGAGTGTTGATCCTGCACCTGCCTGCTCTGATGACAAGAAGCTCAAATTCGATGACATTAAGAATACTTTCCTCGATTTGAACAAGCCATTATTTGAAAGATATAAGGCCATGTTTACATTGAGAAACATTGCTTCCCAATATCTAGAATTAGACAAGCACGATTACATGTTGTGCTACAAGAGAAAGGCTCAAGCTATTGAAGTTTTATGTCAAGGATTATTGAATCCAGAAGAAGGAGCACTTTTCAAACATGAAGTTGCGTTTGTGTTGGGTCAAATTCAAGAACAATCCGCCGCTGACGCTCTCGAGTCAACCTTACGTGACAAGAATCAGCACGCCATGGTTCGACATGAAGCCGCAGAAGCATTGGGTTCCATTTCTGATCCTGAATCGCTGAAACTTTTGGAAGAATTCCAAGCCGATGAAGTTGAAGCTGTGAAGGACTCATGTGTCGTTGCCATTGATATGCATAATTATTGGTCTGCCTTTTTGTCATTGCACAAGAACAACGATGAAGAAGAGCAATAAAATTTCGATGATTGTGTAACATTAAGCTAGTTTAATGATAAATAATATTGTGGTGCAGATTTGATTTTTCACACTCACTCATAAAATAATAATTCATAAAAGTCAAAAATAATTAGCAATTTGGAAATGCATTATTCTAATCTTTGTGGAGGTTCGAATTGTTTCTTACACGCACAACATGACAAAATGAAAAAAACAATCATTCCAATAATGGCAATGACCAATACTGAGCCCACAATGGTATAAGTAACCCATAAAAATTGAATAGCAAAGTCCTTAACCTCAGAATAACACTGTCCTCCCTGTCTCAATTCGAACAGGTGGCCGGTTACGCACATTAAATAATAGGTATAGTTTTCAATATTTGGATAATAAGGCTTCAGAGCCTCCACAAGACTAGTCGTGTTATAGTACGAGCTATTTGTCAACTTTTCTAACACTTTCACCTTAATGGTGCTGATGAATTTTCTATCACTGAACTCCTTTGCCACAAGATTATACTTCACCTTTTCTTGTGCTCCATGAATGATTATATCTGTGACTTTAACATTTGGATGAACCCTTATAAAGAATGATTGATCGAAATTGCTTTTTGGAGGTATAAAATAATTAGTAGAAAGGACGAGAGTAAAATTAGTATCCGTTGGACCAATTAGCTCAATATCTATTGGATCTATCTTTTCCCTTGGAGAATACAAACGTTCAGCATGATGAAATGCAATGATAAATATCTTGTTCGTTGGTTCCCAATCTTCGTACCATTTAGCACCAACACTGTTAATTCTATCTTGGACTTCTTTACCTCTGACACCAAGGAATGAACAATTCGTAGAGGTTATACATGGAGGTTGCATTGTTGTTTGAGATAAACCAGCCACAGTTGAAAAGGGTCTATAGTAACACTCAGCACACAATGAGACATCTTTGTACATTCTGATGCCAGTCTGATCGTCTTCAATTGTGACTGCTTTTGAAGTATTCGGAACTGTAAATGGTATAGAGGAAACGAGAGAAGAAAAAGTAGAAGTGAGTGAATACTCGTCGTAGTTTGCATGCTCCGTTATGGGTAACCAAGAAGACCAGTCATGTATGGATGCTCGCCACAATACAACTGAACTCACTCCAATAATTAAACTCAAGAAAATGAAAAACGTAAAAACTCCAGTCTTGATATTCCTAGAAATACAACAAATTTCATCGTGATGATGATGATGAGAAAGAAACTTCTTTTTTCCGAAAGGCGTCTGCTGTTGTTGTTTTGAACAGTCTTCCTCCGTGGTTGTCCTTGTGAGGATCATCTCTCTTTCATTATTCGTTTGGATCTCTTTTGAATGATCATCGCTGGATGAAGAGGTCCATGATGATGTGATCCACAAAGATGCTGATGAACTCCCATCCATCATGATGTCATTATGATCACTCCGCCGCAGGTCAGAAATTTCAAAATCATTGGACGTTCCGGATGAAATCATTTTTTTCTCTTTTCCTTGTCCATATCCTCTTCATTCTATTATAGATTCTTTCGATTGTTCTCATCATCTTGATTATCATTTTCATGAATCAGAAGAGAGGATACCTCTTGAATTTCTCAGTTTTGCTCTCTCCAAAGGGCTGTTGTTTGGATCAATAATTGAATTCTTTTCAGAAGAACAAAAAAATGTTGCGAAAATCATCATCGTCGATCTTCTTGTATGTGTGTTTGATGGTCTTGTTGTTGGCTACCATCACTTTGGCCGATGAGGTAGAATTGGAGAATGATAAGCCTATCAACTATAGAAATAGAATGTTGGTGGTTTTGGAATCCACACAACTCAAGACAAGCCATTCTAAGTTCTTTGAAGGATTGAAGAAGGCTGGCTTTACTATTGAATTTAAATTGGCTTTTGATTCTGTTTCTTTGATGAAATATGGTGAGAATTTGTATGATCATTTGCTCATTATGGCACCAAAAGCAAAGAGTAAGTTTTTGATGATGATTGATGAATTTAGAGTGATTCAATAATGGACACTCCCCAAGAACTCGGAGGTGATTTGGAAGATGCCAACAAAATTCTCAACTTTATTGACCGTGGACACAATGTTTTCATTGTTGCTCATACGGGTGGCCTCTCACAAACTCTCAGAAAGGTTGCTGCTGACAGTGGAATTGAATTGGATGATGATGGAACTAATGTCATTGATCATTTCAATTATGATGTTAAGCTTGACTCGGACAAGCACACAACCATTGTCATTGGAAATGAAAAACAATTCCCATCAAAGAAGACAAACATTTTGGGAGATGCCAAATTCTCACAACAACCAGTTCTCTATCGTGGTCTTGGCATGCTTTTTAAGCCAACAAACAAATTACTTGTTCCAATTCTTAGAGGAGCTTCTACTAGCTATTCATACAGCACCTCTGATGAGAGAGTACAATCTGAACCTTTAGTGAAGGGAAGAGACACCATTTTGGTGGGTGGTAATCAAGCTCGTAATGGGGCGAGATTGACTATTGTTGGTTCAATGGATTTACTCTCAAATGAATTCTTTGATGCTTCTGTCACTCAATTCAGTTTAGATGGAAATCACAAGACATTTGCTCATTCTGGAAACGAATTGTTTGCTATGGAGCTTTCCAAGTGGGCTTTCCAAGGAAGAGGATTGTTAAGACACACTAAGGTACATCATTATTTAGCAGACGATCCAACTAAAACTCAACCTTCAGCCTATCGAGTCGGTCAAGAATTGACTTATACTGTTGCAATTGAGGAATGGAATGGAAAAGAGTGGACTCCATTTATTGCTGATGATATCCAAGTAGAATTTGTTATGCTTCATCCATATCAAAGACAATTCTTAAAGTATGATCCCGCCACTCAAAAGTACACCAGCACATTCAAAGCTCCTGACACGTATGGTGTTTACAAGTTTGTTGTTGACTATAGAAGACAAGGTTACAACCAATTAATCTTTTCTGATCAAGTCACAGTTAGACCAATGCACATCAACGAATTTGAACGTTTCGTACCAGCAGCTTATCCATACTATACATCTGTCTTTGTTATGATGGGAGCATTCTTTGTCTTTGTCATTCTTTTGACCTTCACCGAAGAGAAGAGAAAGGAAGATTAATTTTGTAAACAAAGTTTTCATCCATACGATATAGTCACTTAATTAAATTAATACATCTTGAGATAAAATTGTGATTTATTTGTTTCTGAGATTTTATTGATCCATTCTACTTGTCGTTTGTGGCTTGGCTTTGTCCTGAAATGTCGATCCAATGTGAAAACACATTTGGATACAACAATAAATCTTTTACAACCTTGTGAACGAGCTCCTTAATAAAGTTAGAAATTTCTGTCTTATCCTCCAAAATTTTATCTTCACCAGGAAGAGGAAGTTGTTCTCGTGAAAGAGAAGAGCCCACTCGCACCGTAACATTGAATTCTTTCAACGGTGAATATTCTCCAGTAGATTTAACAATATAATTAGCCATTAACTTTTGATCGGAAAATTGGGGTAATTTCGTTTCGTCAGCCTCAAACGATGGCAACACTGGATTTTCGAAATAAATCAACACCTTGTCTTGAGGCGAGTTTTGTTTCAAATTCGAGGTTGGATTGTGATAGTACATAATGGTCAGGTCACCATCAAATACAAACTTTGAAATCTCAATCTCAATTGGGATTGTAACAAATCCAGGAATTGGCATGTTGATTCTAACTTCTGAGACAATCTTAATGGAGGCATTTCCACTGTATGAAAAGTGGCCTGTAAATTTAACACCTCCACCCTTGCCATTTCGTTTCCCAGTGAGCAAAAATCCTGGATCTATCAAATGTTGCTTTACAAAGTTTTCATCCCTCAAATCTATTGGAGTGGTAGATAGCTTGTCTGATCCATTGTTCAGGATTTGTACCGGTGGAATGAAATTATTCACATCTCGCTTATTTTCCAAGTTTTGTAAACGTTCTTTCCACCAACTAGCCCTTCGTTTTGTTTGAGCAATGAGATCCCTTCGTGGTTTGTTTTCATTAGTAGCGAGCTTGTAAACAGTTCCTATCGAACATATGTGTGTTTTTTGAGGAGCTTTTCTAAGACTACTTAGATTATTTGTTCCAGGAGAAAATCTCGTGCTCGTATTGTCCATAGTTGTTTGTGAAAAAACATCGCTCATTGTTGCGCTTATTGGGCTTGGATAATAATAGTGTCCAGAAGCCATCATGAGAGAATTGTAAGCCAAAGGAGAATGCATGGGATGGCCTGGTCCTAATAAATTCTTTCGATTCAGAGATGTGAGAAATCCTGGTGATGGCATTAAAAACCCAGAGGTAGCGACTGAGGAAACACTCACATTATCATCGTGAGTTGCTGTCATTGTTATGATTGGATTTTGTTGTGTCGGTGTTGATGGTGGAGTGGAATAAGTTTTTGATAAATCCACATTTGGTCTATGATCCTGCGCTGTTCTTTGTTTTTGAGCAGGATACAGCCGTCCATAAATTTTGTTTTCATAATATTTAGCTCTCTGCATAAAAGATTTCTCATCGGGAGCCTGTTGGATATCTTTGATTTGAATATTTGGTGCCGTTGTTCCCAAATCAAGGCTATCAATAATTAAATAACTCAAAGATTGAGTGGGTGATATTTCTAATCCATTCCGATTGGACCTGAGCATTGAAGATGAAGAGCCTTCCTCTTCTTGATTCATCACTAAATTATTTTCCTCATCTCGGACACTCTCATTCAAACTACTGCTCATACTCGTACTCACGCTACTATTACGAGCATATTTCTTTCTTGAAAATACCAAAACCTCCAATGTTGAATTGAGTTGATCCTTCAACTTTTTATTCACTTCGGGAGTCAATAACTTCCAATCAAATTGTAAAGACATTTTTTAAATGGGGTTCGAAAATTGACAATCAAAAAAGTATTCACCAACTTGAACACTTGAGCGATTTATATTTGGAGGTGGTTCTTTTTAAAACATCCCAAGTAGATTTGTCGAAGACGCTTGTTGTTAATGGTGCCAATATTACTCATCTTTTTCGTCATCTGAAGAACTATCCAACAATGAGAACATGCTTGCTCGACTTGACAAGTTTGCAAACAATGGCGAGGTTGTAGCTTTATCTGTAAAAGGGAGTGGAGTGCAAAGATACTGTTTTTGTTCTTCTTCCGATGGTCATTCACTGAATTTGGAGTATGTGATTGTTAACGCCATTAGCAAATTGCTTTTAATGACCTGCTCCTCCGAAACTTGTTTAAATTTTGACGAAAACATAATGACTTGTGACACAGGTCCAGCACTGAGGCAACATCACCCTTCCGAAAAGGAATGCAGCAAAGCCACTCTCAATACTAGATTCTAAAATACTTGGGAATGCTAAGGTCAAATGATAATGTTATTATTATATGAACCATGACCTTTATCCTGAATCAACTCCTACAAAAATTCAATGAGAGAAAAAGCACAACCATACAATAATATATACAGAGATATTAAAGGTGGTAATGGTGCGAATAAATATATTAACAAAGAATCATTCCAACTTTGATTGTTGCGTTCACTCGGAAGTGAAAACTCACTTCTGAAATGGCAACGACATTGTTTTTCATCATCCAAAAAAAAGAAAATTCTCTCTTGTGGTTCAACCACCTCAAAAACGCTACAGCACCATTTCTTGAAACAACAGCCACACGAGTTTCTGTTGTCTGGATCCAGACAGTGAGATCAATAACATCATCCTTGTGCTCACGCGAACGAGTGTGTGTGTGTGTTTTTGAAGAAGAAGAGCATCAGTGATTCTGTCCAATTCATCTCTCCGCGCGTGTTGTCAACTCTTCACTCAACCGACCCTTTGAATGTTCGATTGATACTCAAACTCATCAAACTCGATCAACCACTTCATATCAACCGAGTGAGCTAGCTTTATCTCTTTTCATCCTTGAATAGAGAAAGTCTTGAATCCTCTATCAAATTTTCCTCTCTCCAATCAAAGAGATTCTCTTTTCATCATGATGAATACCACCACCACTACGAATACCATCAATACTTTATCCTCTACAAGCCTTTCCAACAATAGTACGAGTAACAGTAACGGCAATAATGATAAGAACAGTTGTAATCGAATCCAAACTTCTCCCTCTGTTCCAACCATTCTCATTCCTAATAATAACAATCATTCAATGACCTCCTTTCAACAACAACAATTGAATGGCTTATTGAGCAATAATAATAATAATAATAACAATAATAATAATAGTAACACTCTCACAACAAATAGAAATGATGCTCCATCATCTTCCAATAATAATATTAATAATAACGGTTCCTATGATGACTCCATGAATACGATGATTCATCAATGGAATGTATTATCGCCCCAACAACAAGAACAATTACTCATGTTGTTCCATGCTCAACAACAACAGCAATATCAACAACAATTATCCATGATGAATTTGGCAACACCAAATCAAGCAACAACTCCACCAACTGCTTCTTCTGCTTTCAATATTGGAAACATGATGACGCCCATGAATATGATGAATCATCCAATGAACACGATGATGAATACTAGCAATAACAATATGGATCAACATTTCCTTTCATCCATCATGATAACAAATCCATCCACTCGACAACTATCATTGCCCATGATGATACCAAGCACCTCCATGTCAACAACAGCCAATTCTTCTTTACAGAGTGATGACCAAGGGTCAACCAATGTATTGAACCATCTTCTTTTGGCATCTCACAACAATCCTCTCATGGCCAATCCTGTCCTGAATACTACCATGACCACACCAACGTCATCCTTTTTTGCTTCTAATATCAATCCTCAACATAACAACACCACGACTAACGTTCCTTTTAATTTCATGTTTCAACAACAACATGCACAAGAGGTCAACATGTTGCAGTTACAACAACAATTATTATTATTTGGGAATTTGACAATGAATGCAAGTAATGAAAATAATAATAACAACATTAATAACAACCACAATCAACATTCGACAACCCCTGTCACAACGACCTCTGATTTTGCACTATTCAATGAAGCTCTCAGTTCTGTTGGTGGAAATATGGATGAAAATCCTTTGAACTTTGTCACGGATCAACAAATGCAAACAAATTTAGAAGAACTATTTCAACATAATGACCAACACACTCATCATGTGTCACCAACACTTCAAAATGACCAAGATGCTAATTTATCCCTCAATTTATCCAATATTCATCATCATCATGTAAACACCATTTCATCGTCACAACCTTCAACTCCTCGTGTGGAGGGAGTTTTATTAATTGACCAACAATTTGATACCAACACACTCACCGATTTTGGTCTTGAAACTTTTTCCGATTCAAATTCCTCGTCTTTCGATAATGTGAATGTAATTGTTGAACAAAATTTAAAGAGAAAATTGGATGTGTTTTTGGAGCCAAAGTCAAGTTCTGGCACTACTAATAGTGGAAGTGGCAGCACGAGTGGTGGATATAGCTCTCCAACAGCTGGAAGAACTTCACGATCATCTTCAAATGGCGGATTAAAACAAACGAGTCCACTCGCTTCCACGACTCCATCTGTTCCAGTCTCTTCTGGTTTTTCAATTCTTGATAAATTACCACCACATCAGCAACGAGAATATTTCAAACGAGTGAAAATGTTATTAACAGAAGATGAAGATTCTAACACAAATTTAATGGATCAAATTTTCAGTGACAGTGCCAGTGGAGGAAGTGGAGGCTCTGATGAACGATTTAACAACTTTCTTGATTTTGATGAAGATCCAACAGCAAGTCTCTTTTCGAAAGTGAAACAATCACCTCTTACTGATGATTCGAGTGAAACCAATGTATTGGGAGCTGAATTTGAAATTAATCCAATGATTTATTCATCTCCTCTGGAAGACAACAAGTCACCTGGATATTACGACGAGTCCACAAATGAATACTCGTCACAACAACCAAAGAAATCAAGATCTTCAAGTCCTGTTGACACCCATCGACGTGTGATTAATAGTCAACAACAACCTACTGTGATTGTCATGTCAGGGAGTCAAAAATCAGATTCCTCTCTCTCTCCAACCTTATCGATTCCTATGGGTTCCAATCATTACATTTGGAATAACACCACCATGAGTGTACCTGTCTCGGTCATGAGTCACACTTCCTCTTCATCCACTCCTTTCATCGCTTCTCAAGAAGTACCCAAACGAAAATCCAGTGGTGCAGTGAAATCACCCTCAAGCAGCACTTCTCCATTAATGCAAACATCTCAATCGTCCTCCTCTCCAAATACTACCACCACAAATAATGGCCATTCAAACAGTTCTTCCACCTCGTCGTCTTCCTCTCGAATTTCACAAACCACTACCTCAAAATCCAGACCCAGTCATCGAAAATTCCCAACCAATTACTTTTTAAATATGGTAAGAGCTCCACCTAACAGCCCAATTGGATCAAAATCAAATTCTAGGGCCAGCTCATTGGCAAGCTCTGCAAATAATTCGAGAACTAATTCGAGAACAAATTCTCGATCCAATTCACCCACAACAAGTACTCCACCAAATTTTTACATTTCTCCCAATTTGCAAACGGATGCGTCTGATCAACAACAAGTGTTTGTGAATTCCGATTTCATGCTTAAATTACAAAAGAGTTTATCGTCGCTGTCACAAGTCAATAACAACCCATTCTCTGCCAATAATACTGTAAATAATGCATCTAGAATTTTAGTGACACCAACTCCAGAACATCACTTTGTGAACATTCCAGCAACGACAGGTGCTATTGTTGTTCCACAAAATCATTATCTCACTCAAGCAAAACCATTTATGGATATTGGAGGAATGATGACACAACAACCTGGTGGAAGCACTGCAACAACGAATAGAGTTGGTTTGGCCAATAACAAATCTCCAAATACAGTTCATGATGAACAGAAGGATGGAAGTAATAATAATCATTCTCTGAACATGACGACTACACACGATAGTAGCGGTGGAGACTTTTCTGGTGATCTCTCGAAACAACGAAAGCATTTTCTGCCCACAAATGCGACCGAGGTTTTAAAGGATTGGTTTTTGGAGCATATTCAACATCCTTATCCGAGTGGACAAGAAAAACAAGCATTGTCGCAGCAGACTGGTCTATCGTATGTACAGGTTTCGAATTGGTTTACCAATACAAGAAAGAGAAGCTGGCAAGTAATGAAGAAAGAATACGAGAAGAGAAATGGTGTGGAAGGATCATCAGAAGCTGCAGTTCCAGGTCTCTTGGAGGATGCCAACAATAAATGACCCAAAAATTTATCCTTGTTGAAAGAACAAGTTTATTGCGATGGCAACAAGACCTTAAACATTCGCTCCCTTAAAGAAGAGTGAAGGTCTCAAATCTTGAACCTTGTTCACATTTGACTTGGCTATAACGTTGGTTGTCTTTAGAGAACAGTTCACAGCAATTTCGAAACCACGAATCGAAATTCCACTTGGCGATAACAAATCATTGCTTGCCGGAGAAACAGAAATATTTTCCTTACTTCTATGTCTTCGAAGAGGTTGTGAGGATGTCTTGTCACCTTGATTGTTATTACTCTTTTCAGATAATTGACTCTTTTCTGCTGATGGAAGAGATCCTACATCCTTATCCTTTGTAGCAAACATCATGTATCCACAATATTTACACTTGTGTACTTTCCAAATTGGTTCGATATATTCTCCAATTGGAATGTTATCTGGAATGACTTCAGAATGCTGTAATACTTCAAATGGTTCTAAAAGTACCTTGTCCTTAGTTGTGAATCCCATATTCACCACATTGGCATTGTAAAAATAGAGTAATTTCATTTCTTGGAAGGAATGAAGGCCAAGTACGCAAAGGACTGTGATCGTGTGTGATATTTCCAGAGTGGAATCCATGAACTGAGAATGGTGACAATAAACCAACCACACATGCTCCACAAATGCATCTAAACCAATGAACAGTTTCTTCTTGTTTTTGTTTCTTTGGTTGTTGAGCAGTGGTGCTGTTAGTGGTTGATGTTGATGTGGTGGAGGAGGATCCTGCTGCAGTTGTGGTGGATGAAGAATTTTTACAAGTTCCTCCAGAAGTACTACTACCAGCATCCTTATTTCGTTTTTGCTCCTCTTCTAATTGTTGTTTATCTTTCAATTTTTTCATTTCCAACATTTTTGAAATACTTTGATGAATCTTGTTGAGCTTCTTGTGAGTGTGTTGAGGTGGAGGTTGAAGGAGTGATGGAACTGTGGAATGTCTATTTTTGAAAAGTGTACCTGAGGAAGATAATGTCTTGAGTTCTGAAAGTGCCTTCTTTTTTTGTGACTCGACGGATTGCATTTGTTTGACTTTGAGAAGGAAATGCAAGAAGTGTGTTAAAATTTCAGGTCGCAATGCTGGTCTTCGACTTTTCACAAACAAGTAGGATTCGTAGCTTGACAAGTTATAAGTATCCATTAGAAATAGGACCACAAAGAGTCCACTTCTACTGAGGCCTTTTCCACTGTAAACGAGTACTCTTCCTCTCTTTTTAATTGCATCTCTGACAAATTCAAATGCCTTAATGTATTCACCGTAGGCTTTTAAGGAACTTTCTGATAAATGTTCTTTGAGATTAAAGTAGAAAAAGTTGTCAGGGAATTGAGACTTGGAAGTAGTGACACAGCAGTTCACAATGTGAGTAATTCCGAGTTTGTTAAGAACAGACTTGTTGTAAGCCAAATCATCAGAAACTAAATAAAGACGATTTTTCATAATGAAAGTAGCCTTCTTAATATAGAAATCAACATCGTCTTTTGTCCAATTATATGGTGACAGATAGTTGTGTGCTGTTGCTTCTTGTTGTTGAGTATTTCTATTGTTCTTAATCGCATCAGAGTTGTCTTTAGATGGAAGTCCAGTAATTGCTGGTCTATTCGAAGATTTTGAGGTGTGAGGAGTTTCAAGAGGATGCAAAAGGTAATCGTCGACATGATGATGAACAATCTTTGGAGGAGGAGTAATGCCTCTACTTGTCAAAGTACTTCTTGCACTATTAAATTCATTTTCAATATCCTCTGGAGACATTTCTTTAAGCTTTTGCCATGACGGCATGACATGCACAAAGTAAGAGAATCGTTGCAATAAATCATTGATGGATGGTCTTCTCAAAGGATCTCTCACAAGAATGTAGCTCAAAATATCCATCAAAAAGTGATTGTAGTGAATCTTGAGGAATCTCTCTTGAGAGATAAGAGTCTTCTTATTATCCGTCAGCAACACAAAGAAGGATGTGAAATCAGAAGCATCGAAAAGGAATTCACCAGAGAGCAATTCATAAAACAAGCAACCCAATGACCAAATATCGCTTGCACTGTTGGCCCCAACTTTTCTTCTTCTGTCGTAGTTCTTGCTCTTTGTGTCCATCATTTCAATCTTGAGCATTTCAGGACTCTTGATACATTCTGTACCTCTGTGACGTGTGGTATAGCCATCCTCTTCATCATTTGAATAAATAAAACTTTCACCAAAGTCACCAATAACCATCTCAAAGTGAGGCATATCAGATTGATGATTGAAAAACTTGGCCTCATCAACACCATCAAATGGTTCCAAGAAAATATTGTCACACTTCAAGTCAAAGTGATTGATATTGTTATCGTATAAGAACTTGTAAGATTCCAAAATTCTCTTGAAGATGTTCATGTAAAGTGGGATATTTTGCAAAAAGTGAGTGGTTTGTTTGAGTCTCCATGTCTTCAAGCTGGTCTTGTACTCTTTCATTACAATATAATAATTATCTTTGGTAACACCATAATCATACATTCTGCAAATTCGTGGATCAGCTTTGAACTTTTCCATGATCAAAATTTCGTTGAAGATTGTATATAAAATGCATGCCTCATCAATGAGTTTAGGAACTTTTAGCAATTTCACAGCTACAGTCTTAACAGAGGAGTGAGTAAATTTGAGTTTACATCTCCATACATCACCAAAGGCACCAACTCCTAAACGTTCTTCTTTCACGCTGTACAAGTTTGGTTCGAACAACTTTTCACACAACAATCTCAAGAGAATATTCAATCCGATAAGGTTATCGTTCATACTACAATATGACACAATGGTATCATGAAGAAGTGGAATAATATGCTCATTGTATGAATCGTTGATGTGGAAATGAAGCATGAAAGGAACGTTTGGAAGGTTCTTATTGAGTGGGAATTGGTCACAATATCTAGAGTCTAAGGTCGAGTTAGAGGTGATCAAGAGTGACATCAACAAGGTAAGAATGGCCACATGCAACTCATCATTTCTGTAGAGCTTTCTATTTTTCCTTTCCTTTTCATAGAATAGCACTTCATCTGATTCCAACATGGCTTCATGTCTTTCCACAAATTGTGCAGTAGATTCAATTAAGCTTGAAAGAACTTCTTCATCGCTCAGATCATCTTCATACAACAGATCATTCTCTGAAGATCTTGTTGAAGCGAGGGTTGTTAAAGCATCTCGTTTTGCTGACTTTAAAGATGTAATCTTTAACTTTTCCAAAATACCCTTTGAGCTATTACTACTGCTGTGTGGAGTTTCAGAAGTATTTGCAGTTGGTTCAGGAGGCGATTGATTTTTAGCTTTCAATGCTCCCAAATTTAATCCCAATGTGAGCATGGGTCCTGTTGGCTTGCTGACAGTTGTTGTTGTGGTGTTGCTGTTTGTTGTCACATTGGTTGTAGAATTTGTTGCTGCCACATCTGCGTTGGAGTTAGTGGTGGCAACATTAGTTTGCTTGGTTTCATAGTTTGAGCCACCCAATGAGAAATTAAGTTTTGGAATGGCGGTGTGAGATTTTGGAGCTGAGGGAGTGTTGATGAAATCAGCATCATCATCAGAATCGTCATGATCTTCGGTAGGTTTCGTTTCGTGATCTTTCTTTGTTGTCTGAGTTGAGGTTAATGATTTCGAGAAGGACAATGGAGGAATGGATGGTTTGGTTCCATTTTCTGAAGTAACAGTAGAGGTGGTGGTCTCTGAGGCGGTTTTGGCTCCAAACGAGAGCTTGGGCACAACAGATATTGGAGGAACAACTTGTGAGGATGATGATTGAGTGGTGCTATTGTTGCTGGCTTGTGAATTAGTATTTGTGGTTGAAGGTTGTTGTAAATTTCCAAGTTTTAAGCCTAATGATGGAATTGCTGGTTTAGTTTGCTGCTGAATGCTACTCGTGACCACAGGTGACTCCTTGTCTGTGTCAGATTCTGAATCTGAGCTCAAATCTGAAGTGTCTGTTGCAGGTGTGCTTTCTGATTTCTCCTTTGCAGCTGCTGGTTGAGCATTTGTGTTAACAAGAGGAGGAATTTTAGGAAGGGCCAATGATGGTGTTTGTTTTGGCTCTGATGGAGAGGTGCTCTTATTGGCTTGTGGAGTTAAATTTAAACCAGGAATGAGATTGACTGGAGGTTTTGAGACTGTTCTGTTCGGAGAGTCAAAATCACTATCGTCTTCATCTTCTTCTTCTGAAACATCCTCTTCTCCAGAATTAGCAGCAGTGTCATCATCGGATGTATAGGTATCAGTGGTTTGATCATTGGGTTCGTTTTGGTTGAGCTGTTTGACATTTTGTGCGAGCTTGGCGGCCGATTCTTCCATTTTCTTTTGATTTTGATGTCTTTTCTCATGGATTTTGTGCTCAAGGTTAATTTCTCTTGCCAAAAATCGAACCACTTTCATGGTGAAAAATCGATTGACAATTTGGGTTGTCTTATTCATGGAGAACGCGATTAGTACGTTGAGGTGAAGTTTGCATGCTTCTACAGTAATATCATCAAAAGCCTCTTCAATGTACAATCTCACAAAGTTCAAGTAGTGATATCTGATGTAGGTATTTACATAGGACTCAATTCTAAGGAAAGGCAAATATGGAAGTCGGAACATCTTTTCTAACAAGGTCAACATTTGCTTTTTCACAGTGTAATTTTCAGTGATGGGCCCTTTTGTTAAAAAGCTCAACACCAAACCATCACCAGGGTTGACCAAGAAATCAAATTGTTTCATGACTCCGCTTTCATCCTCAAGGAATGTCTCTTCCCCATTCGATGAATTCATAGCACCACCAGACACACCACTCGTTTCGTTCATCATCATATAATTGAGTAAATTCTTTTGCTTGACATTATGAGTGTTTTCTTCTTTCTTAGAAAAGAATTCTTCTCCTAAATCTTGGAATAAATCCATTAACACTTGATAATGTTTCAACACCCGAACTCGTCTATCCTCCAATGTGATTGGGAAAGATTTAGTATGAATATTGGTGTTACTATCTTCTCTCAATGTGAAGATTGCATAATCTCTTAGCCATGCAAATGTGTCAACATTTTCAATGAGATTAAAGTAAAAGAATTCCATCAACAAAGGATGTCTTTCGGGACTGCCACAGATAAAATCAAATATTTCAAGCAAAAGGTGTATGATATTGACAATCACTGGATTCTTTTCAGCTAATCCCTTAAATTCATATCTGTTATAGATATCTCTACTCTTTCTTCGACATGCCACTTGAATTTTGAGCAATGTTTCCAAGCAAACAGCCGTACATTGCGAAGCCTGAACTCGTGAGACACAAGAGTACAAGTATTTGGAAAGAGCTTGAAGTTGGTAATGTGTTTCTTCCCAATCATCATTATCAATGGCTTGTTCTGTGATACCTGTCCATCGCCAGAGGAAAATATCGAACTTTTTTAACGTTCTATCTCTCGTTGGATCATTACTCTTGTTAGCATTATTCATTCTCCAAAGTCTGAAATATTTAGCCTCAACATCTGCAGCATACTGTGAAAGAATATCATAAATGATGGACATGTTACTCTTTTCGACGTCAATCACAAAAGCTTCGCTTTCAACAAGGTTAATCTTGTAGCTAAGCGTATTTAAATCATGCATGAACATATTTACAGGATTTCTTGCAAACTTTCGAATCACTTGGAATTTCGACACTGCTTGAAGAATTTTGAGAATAAAGTGCCTATGTACAGAAATGTCGTTGGAAAATTTTGAGAAAATTACTTCTTCCAAACTGAGCGGCTTTTTAGGATCTGTCTTTTTTTTAACTTTTTCCACAGTGGTACAATTTTCTTGTTTAGGTTCCTCGTTTCTGGATATTTGCATGTCAAGATCTCGTTTAATAGGTATGAGATATGTCAAGTCGTAAGCAATATCTAGAAAATTCAACAATTAATACCCAATAAATGAATAGTAAAATGGAAACTTACATAACTCTCCCAATTTTGCTGCAAGTGAGTCTAAATGTTCAATGCTCGATTTGGATTTTTGTTCGGCTTGCACATTTTCAGAATTGTTGTTTGCCTGAGATTGTGTTCGAAGAGTGTCAATACTCAGTCTTAAACCTTCCAAATTCACCAAGTTAGGATCCATTCTTCTTCTTATTCTGGTTGCCGTATTTGATTGATTCTTTGGTGGTAACTTTAGGGGTGGTACTTTGGATAACCCAATCACCGTTCCCTCTCTGGGAGTGGAGGTGCTAGAACTTTTGTCCTTATCGTCAGAAGTGTTGCTCCTATCAGATTGAGGTGGACTTTGTAAGCTAATGTTTAACAGATTATTTTCACTTGTAGTTGGAGATGTGTACATGGATCCAAAGTCTGTGACAGCCTTATCTTTCCTGTTTTTCAAATTCTTTTCGAGTTCTGCATTTATACTATTGTTGAAGGAAGCAGTATATAATTTAGGTGGTTTTATCAAGGAGGTAGATGCGCTTTTTCTGGGAGTAGGAGCAGTTGAAACTCTTGGAGATTTGATAAAGTGTTGAGTGACATTTTGTCTTAACATTGGCTTTCGTGCATGGCTGTACTTTTGGTGTTCAATGTCTTTGATAAGTCTCTTTCGGTAAATGTCCAACAAAAAGTTGCCTCCCGATCGATTAATAAATAACTAGCAATTACAAGTGTTGATGAATAGAATCAAATGTTAAAACAATCACAACTCAAGTAGATACGTACTTGCATAAAAGTGTCGTCCTTCATAAATAGTATTCTGTATAAAAGATATAATAAATTGGTAATGTTACTCTCTTCATAAACAAAATCGTTAAAAACATCGAAAAACAAAGCAAAGTTTTGTGGTTCTGCCAAATTCGTTGACAATATAATTTTCTGTACAATTTTGATTGTCTCAATACTGATTCGTTGTCCGCTACACAAGTATTGAAATAGACAAGGATATAAACCTAACTCCAACCATTCACTTTCACACTTTTCTGTTTCAATACTCTGAAGGATTGAATCCAGTGCCTGATGATGTTAAAATTGGCAATAGATTCCAAACATGGCGTTTTTGACAAGTCGATAATGTTCACACGTTATAAATCATCGCATGTTTTCAACAAGTTGTTTTCAATAGATCAAAATCTCTTACCTTCAATTGTTTCTCTGTGTGATAAGAAGCATCAAATCTCGAGCTATTATCACAGAGTAATGAGAGAATTTGTAATTTTTTGCTTCTTCGTGCCAACTCCTCTTTTGTCAGTATGACATGATCCGATACTATGGGTGATGAAACACGAGAAGAAACCACAACGACATTGTTTGTATCGATGGCAAGATCATCATTGGATGGTCGTTGAGGTTGTTGTGGTTGTGGTTGGTCATGAATCGATGTACTTGTAGATTCATCTTCGGAGAAGGTTTTGTTGGTGGAGGGAGATGAGGCTGTTGCGTTGGTTATTGTTGTTGTTCCTGTGGTAGTAGTCATTTGATGATGATGATGATGATGATTTGAATAATGTTTGATAATATTATAGAGAAATAATGCAATTCTACTTGATGATGACAATCACCAAAGAGAGGAGGTTCAATTGATTTTTACGAGGAATAACAACCTTGTGTTATAAACAAGAATATAGGAAACAATTATGATGAGAATGATGGATTGGAATAGATGATGGATATTGAGCTGATGATGAAAGTAATGAAAAGTACTCTCACAAGGCTCGGAGGTGATGCAAATAAATAGAGTAATTATAAAAGAATGAAGAATGGGTTCTGTTTTGAGTTATGTCTGAAAGGAAGGACTCTCTCGCTTCAATCAGAAAAACAAATGGAGAGGATGAAGGTGTCCGTGAACGACTGAAATTCAATTATTTTTTTATGGGTGATGTCTGAGGCGGTTTTTTTCAAACGGTTTTATTAACATTTGACGTTTGACGCAGAGAAGAAAAAACCTTTTTGGCTCTGACCGGTTCAATGAATTCATAAGGTTCGACTTCATCTCAATAAGTGTGTCTTCTCACAAGATCTGAACTACTTGTCGAATACCAAGGTCTGGTTATCTTTCATAGGGTTGACAATAAGCGTTGATTTAAATAAAATCGAACTACATGTCTTGACACCAATGTCGAATATCAAAAGCTCTAGATCTTTCATTGGGTTGACATTTAAGCATTTGTAACAACAAATCAAACAGGAAATCATCATATTGAGGCTTTACCTGTTTCATGTTGTTTTTGATCCTTTCATGAGCGAATTGTTCGAGTAAAACGTTTGGCGCACCGTCCTTAATGAACCATGAGGATAGTTGTGTTGTCTGATCAGGTCATGTAAGTAATTAATACTTTCATCGTTAAGATTAACACAATTTCATACTTACAAAGTCTCCCGTAATAATCTGATAAATTGTACATCCCAACGACCATATATCACTAGCATGAGAAAGATCTCCCTTTCCACAAATAATCTCTGGAGCCAAATACACCAAGGTGCCTTTCATCGTTGGCACATTCGATTGAGTTTTCCAATGAAGCAAAGAAGTAGGAGAATATTTGGTCGATTCACCAAAATCACCAATAGCCACATGCACCCACTCTCTGTTTCGATCAATTTCATCGAGGAAAATATTGCTTGGTTTAAGGTCGTTGTGAATGATGGATTTCACTTCATGTAAGTAAAATAAAGCATCCGATAATTGTTGGATAATGCTCACCATGATTCTTTTAGTGAACACAAAATCAGGATTTCTCTCAATGAAGGTTTTTAGGTCACCAAATTTGTAATAATGCATGACAAAGCAAACCGACTGAAGAATTGTGCAAGGGAACACATCCGTGATGGTAATAATATGAGGGTGCATGCATTCAGTCAACCTTAAACCTTCTTCTCTGACAGACCCTACAAGATTCTCGTCTCTGTAATCGTCAATGTGGATAGATTTTACAGCAACATGAAGGTTCGTTTTTTCGTCTAATGCAAGATACACGGTCGCAAAGGATCCACGACCAAGTAATTTTTCTGAATCATGATGAGTTTACAATATTTCAGCATCAACATGAATAGTTGTCAACCCCAAACCGAGCGATTCGAATGCGCACTTACCAACATGATATCTATCTTTCAATCTATTTTCATTATAGACTCTCCCACTGGTTGCATCATTATGACTGTCGTTAGTGTCGTCAGTCGATCCTCTTGTGCCCAAGTTGTAATCTGACTTGTAGGTCTCAATGTTGCTTGGGGCACTATACTCCAGTCCCACTTCACTGTCACATCTAATTCGTTCCAGATAGAGCATATCAGAATTTGAAGCAACTGATAATCTCATACCATCGATGGTTGTGTCACCTGGTGTAAGATATGTTGGATTTGGCTTGAGTTTAGGCGAAGATTTCACAGAGGACAATCTGGAGGAAGACCTAAGTGACTTTTGTAAAAAGCTCGATTTGAGTGAAATGATCTTATCCTCAATATGAGGACTATTATTCGATTTCAAATTATGGTTATTCATTGGCTGAGACTCCATACCATGGTTTTGTTGCTGCAAATCTCCTTCTTCACTGGCTGTCTGGAACGAAATCGCAGTGTTACTGGTCAAGGCTCCAGCAGCATCGCTTTCAACCACTACTGGTGAGTATTTTGTTGTTTCTTTAACAGATGGAGCAGCTATAGGTTTTGAACGTTCTTTCTTTGGGAGTGAATCTTTGGTAATGTAGCATGCATAAAGAATTAACATCATCAAGACGCCAATACATGTTCCAATTAAGCATACACCGATACACACCATTCCAACAGCAAGTCCAGTTGTGTCAAAAGTACTTTTTCTTGATGTTCTTACAATTTGCATGGAATACGAGCAAACTCCAGTGCAACCGCTCATCACAACTGCAACATAGATGGATGCAAGAGGATAATTAGCATTATCGAGAGGAATGGTTGATGTGCTGGATTCAGGCTTGAATGTCACTCTACGTTGTAAATCATAGTTTCCATTTGGTGTTGCTTTCTTATTGACTCCAATGAATGCATCAAGATACTGAAGGGATCCGCTGGCTGAGGGTTGTGCACTGATCACTAACCCGAAAGAATCTGTATTAAAGTCTATCGTTGAATCTGAAGAAAGACAATTCGGGCAAAAGTAGTAATCTGTTAACAAGGAAGGAGTGGAGTAGGCTTTTGGCTGATTGTAAGTCATGAGTCGGTAAAGTTGCAGAATAGAGAGTTTCGTGAATTCCACTGGCCTATCTAAAGGATTAAATAACACAAAAGAATAGGCTGTATCATAGAGCCCAAACATGTAGTCTGATTTTGTGTAATCGGTCGTTCCAACATCAATCACTGAAAGCATTGCCTGATTTTTAGTAGTGTTAAATAGAGGAAGGTTGCTTGTAGGAAGATAAGAAATAATGTATCCTGGCACACTTGTTTGAAATTCAAACTTCCAAAAACCATAGGTGAAAGGAAAGGAGAAATAATTCTTTGATGAGAGTCCATAAATAGTATTTTGTTCGAAGCTTTCAACCTTTGCGACGCTCCTTAATTTAATATTGCTATTGGTGATTCGTGATGTAACTGCAAGTTGATGATTATTTGTTTTGGTTTGATCTATCTGTGACAATCTCTGTTGTTGATGCTCTTGTTGTTGATAGAAATACAGCTCCAGCACAATGAATTTGCAAAGAATGATCAGAGAAATAATAAACACCACTGGCAGCCACCTCGACATGATGCAGTTTTTTCTTCTTGGTGATGTTGTGGGCTCTTTTCCAAATGAGCTGGGATGCCAAAAATGCAAAATTTTCTTTTGTCATTACATTTTTGTAAATCAAGCTCATTTGGGAAAGGTACAATCAAAACAATACGAAACAATATTTCTGAAATTGGAAATAACTCTGTTTGTTAAAGGCCTTTTGTTCTGCTGTTGTTCTAGTCTTCTTTGTCTGATAGTGTGACATATTTCATGTTTCTGACATAAAGAATTAAATTTAACAAAGTTCCAATAATAAGCCCAACGGTTGTACAAATAGGAAAATACTGCCAGTCTTTTTCCCAGTCTAGAGGAATAACAAACCCGCTGATCCAAATGCAGACAGCATGAACAATTACGAATTTTCGCAATAATGTCACAGCTTGAAAATCAATTTTGAGGTTGGTCAATCGTGTGGTTTTTTCCAATGCAACTAACTTAACAGTATCCACAATGTCAGTCCATTGAGAAAGACTGCACAAAGGTTGGACAAAAATGATTAAACTAGAGAGTAGGCACCACAACAGGCATCTAATAATTTCTCCAATAGAAAAAGCGTAGCATTTGGACATGAACGCAAACACAACAATATCATCCGAGTTAATCATAGAGCTAGGAACAAGCTTTGTGCAAATCCAATTTTCATTAGTATTTTCCTTGGTGGCTGATGCAACAATTTCACTTCTAGCCGATTGAAATGTTGCAGAATTTGAGGAGTTAATTCTTAGGAAAGGTGTGAATCCAAACAAAACAACAACCGCTAATAAAAGGCATGATCCGAGTGCAATTGTTCCAAAATATTTGGCAATGTGTTTTAAAAGTAATTCGGATGAAGTGGTGTTGTTGTGTGATGGTTTCCTTTTGGCAAATATGCCAACCAAAGTAATAAACATGTAAATAGGTATGAGAACAACAATAAATCCTGCAATTGTTTCCGAGTAGTACCCCTTCACCAAGAAAGATTCCACTCTCCAGTAATCATCATCAGTAGGATTATCCGAAGACAAACTTGACTTGCTAAAAGATTGCATCATCCGAAGAGCAAAATAAATGACAAAAATTAAACTCGTGATGATTTGTGTCATTAGAAATTTATGGTAGGGGCTCATAGTTGATAACAGACGAAGAGGATTTTGCTGAACGTGTTGTTGAGGCTTGTTTAGTCGGGAAGATGACGATCCTTCTGAGGTGTTGTTGATCATCATTTTTAAATTTTTAAATTAATTTAATATAAAAATAAATTGAGAAAACAAACCAGACTCTTGATCATGAGTTGCCAACATCAAATTTATGCAAACAACATTATTGAAAAGATAATATTTAAAAATTTGATAAATCAACGAATCTTTCACGTTATTCGTAGGAATAGGAATCGAAATGTTAACTGTGTCTGTAATCAAATGATTCAGTCCGAGAGATGCTTCTGTCATAATGTCGGAAATATTTGTATGGAATCCGTGACCGATAAGGATCGTAAAGATTCCAAGAAAGAAATGAAGCGAATAAGAAAGGAGAAAGAAATTTTCAGTTTGTTTTCATATGTGAAACAACAGGAACAAAATAGAAACGATGAAGAAAATCAAAAACAGCAAATTATTTTCGAGCAACAAGTTAAGGCTTTGAAGGAGCATTTTGAAGCCAATTCTACCAACGAATCTACTGAAAAAGACAAAAAAGAAGTGGATTGGAATGAGATGACAGCCAACGAATTTCAACGATACATTCTTGAAATGTTGAAGAAGTGCATTCACAACATGAGTGAAACGAATCTAAGTGTGAAATTCATGTTAAAAGCAGAACCATCAGAGCCCTTAACAGAGCACGAAAAGAACTTTATTCGTGACAAGTTTAGATATTTAATGGACACAACTTCTGTACAGTTTTTTGACAAGATCACAAAAACCAATGTCGTTCGACCTGATTTTCTTGTGTTGGCCAACGACCGAAAATTTATTTTCGATGCCAAGCATTACAACTCCAAGAGTGTAAGAAATAAGGACTCAACACTCATTGGAAAGCAATTGATTTTTGGATCAGGAGCAAGCAGTAAACGAATGGTGAAGGGAGAGGTTAATATTTACGAAATTGTAAAACTTTACAGAGATATTCATGCATTTAAGGCATTGGGTGGAGGTCTTATTTTAAGTCCAAACACAGCATTAACTCCAAGTGCTCAAAATTTGGCCGTCACTCTCGGTTTAGTTATCATCAAGATGAAAAAGAGGGGTAAAATCGAAGAAAAGTTTGCAAAAGATCTTCAACAGTACCTGATCGAACATCAGAACATTCAATTCTCCAAAAACGACGAATAGACATTATGGAGAGTTTTTGTGAATAATATTTTCAAATAAGTTAAATGAATGATTGTGAATAATTGAAAGGTTACACAAAAATTAAAACAAGAACATGTTCATTACTAAATCACACAATTTCTATTTGCTTCTTCCTAAATCTTTATCCCTCGTTTTCGTCTTTCGAAACTCTGTTCAATGCGCCTTTCAGATATTTCTCGAAAAAATTGAAAAAAAATAACGGTCGTTTTTTTGAATTGAAGCAATCATCATTATCGATTCAAGAGATCGAAACAAACAACACCCTGTTTTTTTGATCTACAAACTCATTCCTTTATTATTTATTATTACCCAATTATTGTCAATTAATCATCAAAGAAATTAGGTAAGTTGAATTTATGAATGTCTTCATTTCAATGATGACGATGAACCATCAACTGATAAAACGTTATGGCCGATCATACATTCTTCCGATATTCTCAATAACTAGATAATCATTCAACATGCCATCTACTTACGAGGAGTTATTTCTCCCCAAAGCTCATGATAGTAACGAACATGAAATGGATCTTTCCATTGGCAATATTTCCGACCATTCAACACAATTCACTCTCTTTGATATTGGTCTGATTAAACTCGCTGAAGAAGTTGCTTCATTTGTACTTGCTCATGGAAAGGCAAAGTCGACCAAAGTACTTTTCAAATTATTCCAAAGTATTCAGAATAAGAGTGATCAGGAACAATTGGCAAGTACTTTTATCCAACTTCAACAACAAACGAAACATGAAATGAGTACTAGTAACACGAGTAATGGCACTACACCATCAAAAGAAGTATCTGCAAATTCAGTGTCGCCCGTAGTGTCACTGCAAAATATAAAGAAAAAACAACAATCAAGTGTGAATAAGCGAAAACAACCATCAACATCAAGTTCTAGTAGTAGGTCTGACGATGAATCAGACCCTAATGAAGATGGAACTGGTTCTTTTGAAGAAGAAGAGGAAGAAAGTGCAACTCCATCCAAAAAACAAAAGAAATCTCGTCAAAAGAAAGAAAAATCAAAAAAGTCGTCCAGACGAGGCGATAAACGGTCAGTGATTGAAGATGCTAGTGAGGATGAATCCATGGAAGGAGATGAAGATGGAAAGAAAAGAAGAGCTTCAGGTGGAAAACGAGCACCTCCTCAAAAAACTAATGAAGATAAGGAGAAATATTGGTCAACACATTTTCAGACCATGTTCTCAAAATCTTTACCAGAAAATTTCACAACAGAACAATTCAAACAATCGCTCTCAGAAAAGAATTCAGAGCCAGCCTTTGTGACATATGGATTTTTAACCAAGAGTCAAACAGAATCCGTGAAAAAGTCAACGTTTAAATTCTTTAAAACCTATCCAAGATTGTTTTATTTGATGAGCTACACACCTCTGATTCAGTATGGAGCAGCTGTGGCGTCAGAGTGGCTTGAAAGCCATCCAGCATATAAGGCGCAATTTATGAACCTACCAACCCAATATTTAACAATAGATAAGCTATTTCCAGGATTGGCAGACAAGTATCTTGATTAAATTGTTGCAAGCAATTGAATGATTTACTGCATCATCATGCTATAGTGGACAGGAGATTTATTGTAGCAAATGGTTTCACATTGTTTGTTGTGATCCTCGAGGTGTCACTTGTTGACCTTGAACCTTTCCAAAATGCTAAACCGAACACACACTGAGGAGATTACAAACTTTTCTTCCTTTTCCATCATACTTCACTGATCTGTCATAAATGCATCATCATAAATTGCCATCTAAAATGTTTTCGCCTAATTTCGATCCGGATCGGAGAGTTTGAAAAAGAAAAAAATGAATCATCACCACATGAGTTCATTGGCAGGTTCACACAACACTCCGATGATGATGGACCACTCCAATCATACCATGAATCATACGATGGGAGGTATGCCCATGTATTTTGTGAACTCGTATCAAGTTTCTCATTTATTGTTTGAACCTGTGGTGATTGAATTGTGGTGGCACTATTTGTTAGCGATTTTAATTTGTTTCGGCTTGTCGATATTTAATCAGTTCTTGGTGTTTTTGGTGAAGAGAAAGGTGACCATTCCGAAAATTAATGATGAGGATGAATACAGAAATTTGGAAAACAATAAGAAGAAGAGAAGAAAGAAAATGATTGCCTATTCGTGGTTCATCTTGAAACCATTGATTTATTTGGTACAAAATGGATTGGGCTATCTCTTGATGTTGGTCACCATGACCTATAATATGGGATTGTTTTTGGCTGTTGTTGCTGGTAACACTGTCGGATGGACAATTTTCTCAATGAGCAGCAATATTGTCCCAGAGGATTGCTGCTCCAACTAACGCTCTTAAAGCTTTTTGAAAATATCTTTTGGATTTTTCTTAACTTTCAGAATCACACACACTAAACTTTTGGCTCGAATAATTCATACAAAACAAGACAAATCAAATATCTTTACAAACGAAAAATAACATTGCTCAATTATTATTATTTATATTACTTCTGACCTTCGACATCATCATCGAAAGGATCCTCTACACGAGTAGAGGTCAGCACTAACAAGTCACGAAGATTATTCTTCAATTCTTGTGTCTTTTTCTCATCTAATGTCATATCTTTACCAAAGATACCAGAAAATTGGTAAATTCGCGGTAGTAAGTGACCACGTCTCCATTTCGTTGTTCCAAACATTCTACATCGGGGATGGTTGCATGATTTAAGATCAATCACATCTTCGAATGACCAATCCATAGGCTGATTTTCGTATGAGCCAATCTTATCCATCATGTAGTAGGAGAGTTGATAAGTAAAGTCGCAAAACTTGTCATAATCAACAATGATTTCATGGAAGTATAATCTGTATCCTGACTTGAATCGAGCTGATTTGGTATTCTTATCGTTCCAATTACTGTGACACTCAGTCACAACTAATGTAATGTCTTCCTTTCCCATAAAATAATCGTTTGCAAATTGTTGAATGAGCTTGATCCAACCATTGCTGATAATATCGAATGGAGAGTTTGATTTTGTAGTTTTGATATCAATATCGACATAGAGTCTGAATGCATGTTTCGTTCTCATTTCTTCAACATAAAACTTTTGGTTCTTCTCAATGGCGCTTTTCCAAGAATTGATATATTCATCGTATTTCTTTCTAGTATCAAAGATAATGTGATAGTGACCTCCTCTTTGAGAAATATGTGTTGGAAATTGTAGTACTAAATCTTCATTCTCTTCGTTGTGTTCTAATAGCCACAATTCCAAGTCATCGTCAGGAATGTATTCCTTTTGAACTTTTCGAGTCTTATTCTTTGAAAACAATACTTTTTTAAGCTTCTTGTTATTTCTATACTGAGCTGCATAATTTTCTAAAATTTGCTCGCTTGTTAAACAATTTGTGGCATCATTGGTCACCTCTTCATTGAAATCTTCTGCTTCATCTGAGGCGCTTTCTTCACTTGACGAATGGGCATCTTCTTCTTCACTGCAATCATCCATTTCTTCTGGAATAATTGAACTTGTAGAAGAGCCTACTTCTTGAGATGATGAAGAGGATGCCACAACCGCTAGTTGATTCTGATTTTTCTGATTTTTCTTTTGTTTACTCTCAAGTTCCATTTGTTTTTTCGTTCTCAACTCTTCTTGATGCTTCTTTACAAAATAATCCTCAATAATTTGTTCCAATTTTCCCTTAGATACATTATCAATTCTCTTCTCTCGATCCCAAATAACAATTCCATTAAAATATAGATACCAAATCCTATGGAATGGAATTTCATCAGATTCTTCAAATTCTTTGATGGTGGTCGTCTTTAAACCTTCAAATCGATCCAAATATCCAATCGTAAAATCATCTAAAAAGGTTGAAAATTTCTCATCCCATTTAATTCTGCTAATGATGGCTTGAGAGGTAATGAACCCTTTTTCCTTGTTGTTGTTTTCTTCAGTGGATGATGGATCGGACTTGGATTGTTTTTTGTTGTCCTTGTTGTTGGTGGTTTTGTTGTTGTTGTTGTTGGATGAAAGTGTCTTTTTAGAGGATGAATTTTCTTGAATTTTCTTTTCCTCTTTTGAGGCCATCGATTGTTTATTCGGAGATGATGATGCTGAGGAAGAGGATGGCAACATGTTGCTTGTGAAATGGTTCAATAATAAATGTTTGATCAGGATACGATTTGGTCAATTCAATTTTTTCGAGTTATTTTTAAAGGAAAAGAAGTTCATTTCGATTTGAATTTCCTGTTTCTTCAAAGCTGATTTTGAATTTCAATTTGAACATCGATTTCGTTTTGATTTGTACAGTTGTTGAAGAAGAAGATTACTTTGTGTGAATTTCGGTCTTTGATGTTGACTTTTGACAATCCAACTCATCCAAAGAGGATCACAAAAAATGTTTCGTTTTTGGGGAGGGCAGGCTAATCCACACGATGATCATTCAGATTTGATCGATCCCGATGAAGATACCGATTGGACATTCAACAACCAAGAACAACAACAATACCAATTTGATGACAACGAGTTCCTTCTTTCTTCCTCAATCATTACTTCCGAAGAAGTAGAAAACAACAACCACCACCATAACAATAACATCCATAATAACAACAACATTAATAACAGTAATCACAAGAAGAAGAAGAAGAAGAAATTACGCATCTGTATGGTTTCCGATTTCTTCTATCCAGGCTTTGGAGGTGTCGAGTCTCATATTTACTGCATTGCCACTGGTTTAATCCAACGAGGACACAAAGTCATCATCATCACCTCTTCCTACGGCAATCGGAAAGGCATCCGCTACCTCTCCAATGGTCTGAAAGTCTATCATGTACCAATCTTTAAAATTGAAACCGCAGCAGGAAGTGCCACTCTTCCATTCGTCTTGTCGTTGGGTCCACTGATGAGAAATATTCTCATTCGGGAAGGGATTGAAATTGTTCATGGTCATCAATGTACTTCCAACATGTGTAACCAAGCACTGTGCCATGCAAAAACCATGGGTTTGAAAACCTTCTTTACCGATCATTCCTTATTCGGATTTGGTGATCATGGAGGTATGCACATCAATAAGGTTTCGAGATTGGTCTTGTCGGAGGTGGATCATGTCATTTGTGTCTCTCATACCCTGAAGGAGAATTTGACATTGAGATCCTCCATGAATCCTTTCAAGATGACGGTCATTCCTCATGCCGTGGATACAGGTGTGTTTCAACCCAAGAGAAGAACCCTCGTAGATCCGAAGGAACGTTTGAAAATTGTGTCCATCTCTCGTTTGGTGTATCGAAAAGGAGCCGACATTCTCATTGCCATCATTCCCATCATTTGCAAAAAGTATCCCATGGTGGATTTCATTATTGCAGGTGATGGTCCCAAACTCATTGAAATGAATGAAATGATTGAAAAGCATGAATTGTTTGATCGGGTCGAATTATTAGGAGCCAAGCCTTACAGTGAAGTGCCTCAAGTGTTGCAACGAGGACACTTATTCATCAATACCAGTCTAACAGAGGCATTCTGTATGGCCATTCTGGAGGCAGCTAGTTGTGGACTCTTTGTGGTGAGCACCAATGTGGGAGGAGTGAGAGAGGTCTTACCCGATCGTGAGATGGTTCTCCTGGCCGATCCAACACCTGTGGCCATGTGTGAGGCGATTGATGTGGCCATTAAGGACTATGTCTACAAGTGTGATCCATTGAAAACTCATGCACGTGTACGTGAGATGTATCACTGGGAACAAGTGGTTGAGTGTACAGAGCAAGTCTATAATGCCATGATGGAGTCGGGCGATGAGTGTCAGGTTGAGGAAGAGGAGGAGCGTGGTAGTGCTTGTTCAACAACAAATTCAACGACGACAACAAGTTCTGGCAAGTTGATCGATCGACTCTTGTCCTATCACTCTGCAGGAACCTATCATGGAAAGATTAGTGCCTTAATCATGTTGCTGGATCATTTGATATTCTCAGTGTTGGTTTGGATTTATCCTAGAGAATCCATTGATGTTTGTCCAGATCCTACTCCTTTCTACATTAATTCTTCCTCTTTGAAGAATCATGATGATAACGGCAAGAAGAGTAAATGACATTCATCGAGGTTGATGAGAAAATGCAAAAAGAACGAGATGACAGCCGCCACGTGGATTCATACTGGTGATTCGTACTGAAGAAATGATCATGATACTTTTTTACAGATGAAGTTCTTCAGAAGCGTCTGGAAAAGCATAATTGTTTTCTTTTATTGCTTCTGCAAGATATGCCTAATCCCATTGGGAACCTCCTGAATATGGCTAGAAGAATCTCCATGGAGCCCTATTAATTGTGAACAAAAGGTACTAAAGAAAAATTTTAAGAACACAGATCATGATGTGAAAGTGACCATTTGATTTTCTGCTATACTACAGCAATGGACAACACATGTATCAATATTTAGCTTTAACGTTAAGATCTCTACGTAACTTCGTCTAAATGAATTTCCATGGAAGAATATTAACTGAGAAAATTAGCGACGTATCCGATGTCTAAAAAATTCTTAGATATTTTCAACGTTATAGTAATGCCATCTAATATTCTTGTAAACGAGAGCAGTTCAATATTTATCAAACATAAAAAAGGATCTATCCGAAGGACCTCTTATTAAATATAAACAGTTGAATTCCCATGAAACTGTAATAATGAAGAAATTCAACTCTGAATGTACCCCCAGCACTAAAATGCTCAGCAGGTGGTAATGAAAAATAATGCCACTAAATATTCTTGTAAACGAGAGCACTTCAGAACTTCATCACATAGACTCTAATCAAGTTCTTCGGATACTATACGAATATGTTTAGTTGAATTCCCATTGACCTCTCTTAATAGGCGAACTAGCTACGCAATATATTCTCCTTTGCCTGAAAAAGGTTGTTATCGCGAGTTCAACGAATAAACAGATTCTTTACGAGTTAGACAACTTGTGTTGAAATCTTTATCCTTTGATATGATTGATAAGATTGAAACGAAACCTCAGCTTAGGATGCTTCAACTCAAAAATCTGTACCACCAATGATGAGGGCATTTTATACCACTTCCACCCCTGATTTTGTTGCATTCTCAAAGGACGGTTATTATTCAATCCATTGCTTCCAAAAGGTTGAGTAATGAAACGATCAATCCATTGCTCTTGGAACAATTGGCTCAAAGCAATTCAACCAAAATTAGTGATGATTTGAGAAAGAAGTTTGAGCAAATTCAAATTTGGCAAAGAATCTTACAAAAATGCTTGGAGCAATTTCTAATCTTTGCAGTGAATATTGTGGTTTTGTCCTTGTATTTAGAAAGAAGAAATATGAGAGTATTAATATTTGCTAGTGCTACCTTCATCATCAGCAGAATATTGTTTGCAATTGGATACTTGAAACTTTATGCATTGCGAGCACTTGGATTTCCTGTTGGAATGTTGATGAATGTGATTTTAAGTGTGAGTGTGGGTTACATGATGATCACACGCGATCTATTACCTTATTTTTCAAGTTAGTTCAAGTTAATGGATGGATTGACTTTTAAAGTCGTTTTAAAAGTTGGGTTAAATGGCGAATACACCACAACCTCTTCTCTATCAATATCTAAATGTTCTCAATGTTTTACTCTGTGTGATAGCTGCTGTTGCTATTGTAGCATCAATATTGTTGGATGAAAGTTCCAATCGTGTTAAGTTTTGCATACACTCACTCGAGGCAATCAACAAAGCACCAAAATGGGTCACATTACTTCCATTTAAACATAACTCAATAAGTCATGTTAATATTTCACTAGTTGCGATAAATTGAACACCTCGATCCCCAATATTGTTGTCACTATTTGAAATATATTTGGCTCCTTCCTCTCCAATATGATTGTTGTAAAGACACAATTCCTTTAAATTATTCATGTATGTGATTGAAGTAATGACCTTTACGCTGTCATTCCCAATATTGTTGTTCATTAATTTCAATGTCACCAAATTTCTCATATTGTAACTTGATACTATTGCTTTCACATCGTGGGTTTGGACGAAATTTGAAGTAAAACTTAATGATGTCAAATTTGACAAGTACGGACTGTTAGCAATTAATTTAGTAGCCTTGAATCCAATATCATTACTGCAACATTCAAATTTCAATAAATTGGCTATCAATGGTTATTGACCAATACTTTCAGATGATCATATCCCACAAAATCTACATGAATATTCAATTCAATCAAATTGATTTTCATGGAACTTGTTGCAAGGAGATGCACATGATGAAGAGACGTCGTCGTTTTATGGAATGTCCAACAAATGGGCGTCTTTTGTGAAATTCTCAACCATTGCTTTGAAATCCTGGAATCAATGAAGTGGTTCAATTGAACGGAAATGAATTTCGAAATACTTCAAGACATGGAATTTATTTTAGAAGCAATCAAACAAAACAAGAGAGTACTTCGATGGGTACCACAGAATTTTCTCCAAGATAAAGAGTTCATGTAAAAAGTTATCAAATTCCTGTACCCAGAATTTGAAATAGTCTCTTTTGATTATTCCAACAAAAAAATTATGATGAAACTTGTGAAAGAATTTGGATTATTGTTACAATTCGCATCAGGTGAGCTCAAGAATGATCGAGACATTGTTTTGAATGCTGTGAAAATTGATGGTTGGTCTTTTTATTATGCCTCCTATAATTTGCAGAAAAATGACAAGGAAATTGCAGTATAGAGGCAGTGACGAACAATGGATTTGCATTGAAGTTTGCTAGTTCAGAATTGCAAAAAGATTCTGCATTGGTGATGGAAGTTCTCAAATGCAATGGATTCGTTTTGGAGTACAGAGAAGAAATGTTGCATGAAAGGATGGAACAATACTATCATGATGCTTATTTGGGATAATCTTAAACGATGAAGAGAAATATGAATTGTTGAACCAATTTCTCCAATTTTTATTGTTAAATTAATTTGATTCTTCAGCTCGTTGGTTGTGAATCGGTAAAGAAAGGAAAGGATCTTGATTAATTTTCAAGATGATTTCACAGTGAAATCGACTCTCATTATTCCAACAAAAACTAGAGACATGCAGTTGGTTACACGACAACATAAACGTGGTCTTCAGAGGTGGTACTGAGAAAAAAAAAAATAAATTTCCCGTCCAGCCAATTTTTTTCTCCTGGCTCGAGAGATCTCGTTACCTGTCACTCACACCCTGTATACGTTACTGGGGTTCTTATGTTGTAGTGCTGAGACTGTACTTCCCAACCATTCAAATTTGGATCCATGGCGACGTGTGGTAGTTGTTGGGAAATCCCAATTCGATACAATCAACGTTTTGGAGATTCCATGTGGTTCAATGTTGTTGGGAAGTTCAAGTGTCACAACAAGATTTGGGAACTCCAAAGTTACAACACCTTCACCATGGTTGGTGAAATGCTTTTAAAACTGCAACATTCGTCCAATCTAAAGATCCATTCTAAAAAAAAAGTCAACATCAGAAAAATGACTAAGAAGAATAATTCCTATAACCGTACACGTATGTCCAATGATCAACCATTCTTTGAGAAAGCTCCAACATCTGCTTGGAGAAGTGGTGCCACCAACAGCAATTCCAAAAAGAGATCCAAATATGGTAATGGCAAAACAGTCGATCAGATCGTTGGCATTGCAAATGAATCAAAAGCTTCATCTTTCTCCTCTTCCAAGAATCGTCCAGTCTCAAAGGACTCTCTTCTTCAACTCTTGGCAATTCAAGATCCCAAACAACCTGTGATGGTCAAAGGTGTTATTACAGAGATTTATCCTGAAGCATTTGCCTATGCCTTATCTGATCCAACGACCACCATACGTGTGGAAATACTTCCTGAGGAGGGTCATGAAGAATCATCCTGGGTCGATGTTGCTGAGAATCGATTGAAAGTTGGAACTCGTGTCCAATTAGTGGTCCAATGGAAAAAACCCAACCTCATTGATTTTGTTTGTTACCAATCCAACGAGGATTCTCTCAAGATCTTGCATCATCCAAAGAGTGTTTATGAAAACGATCAAGCATTGATGGATGCAAATACAAACATGGAAGACCCATCTCGATTGATCGAGGGTTGTGGTTTATTGATCTACTTGAAATCTATAGCGAGTTTTATTCTTATCAAAGGATATCCTCATCATGTGGCAACTCTTTACTATGCCTCTCGTTTTGCACAATTAAGGGAAGATATTCTTGAAGAACAAACTCGCCTGTTGCCAAAACATCTTCTCATCGAAATGAAGAAAAAAATTACAAAAAAATGGAAAAATTCCGTAATGGACAAGTGGATGCGAGATCAGGCTGAATGTTCCCTCACCACCTTTACCAGAGAAAGACCTTCGGAAAGGATTCTCTTTAGTGTTGCTTGTACATCTCCTGTGTTTTCTCATCAAACGTTGAGTGAAACGATTATGGATCGTTTGGAAAGATATTCACCCCTTCGGGAATTCCTCAACAAGTACCACTTAAAAGAGCTTGAGGAAGAGGTCTATTTGTCTAGATTTAATGAGAGGGTTGTTGTGGGTGAAGAGGAAGAGGAAACTTCAATTCAGGATTATGAAAAAGAGCTTCTCAAACCCTATTACTGTAAGATCATGGTAATTGAGGAGGATGTTGATGAGTCAGAGTTGCAACAATTGAGAGAACAAAGGAGTGTGTTTCCTGTCATGCAAGGACTTGAAATTGTTGAAAAAAACAAGCTTGATGAATTTGTTGGGAGTGATAATTGGATGAGAATTGAAAATATTCTTTCCCTTCATAGCCTTTAATGTGGTTTTTTGAGAGAAATTCATTGGTTGCATTAAAAAGACTTTTAATGTCCAGTTCTTGTAATTTCCAATTATACGCTGCAGATGCATGAAAAAGTCATCAGCAACAACTGGAAACATTGCAGATCGTTTAAAAATATTAGGTTGTGTGATCATCAGCAAAGGAAGAGGAAAACCGTTGTGTCTTTTAGAGGCAATACAAATTGTCATTCGTCTCACAGCTCATTCGTCATGTCTGGCGTAATTTACAAATACTGAAATAGACCTCCATGATTAACACCACAACTGACGATTTGAATTCATGGGATAGAGGAAATGAAAAGTGAATTCCGAACGTTGAGTGACAGGAGATGACAATTAAAAATACTGATCGCGCTGAGGAGGGATTTCAATCACTCTCAAAAAAAATGTTTCAAATCAAGAACAGCCAGCATCACCTTTCTTCCATGATTGAAAGCAACAACGAGAAGGAAATATGTTGTATAAATGGTGATTCCAATATTGACAACAAGAAAATCAAATCTTGTTCGATGAAACACGAAAATCAAACATTGGTGCCAATGATTCTGATGGATTTTTCAAATAATTCTCATCACCACCAATACGGAGACAATGATGGTGGACTTATTCATGAGATTCGGAAATGGGAATTGTTGTTGAAAAAGAAATTTTCATTGCAACAAGAAGGAAAGAAGAAATGGTTATTGAATCGAGAATTGAAATATAAAGATTTCTTTCAAATTGAATTCATGGATGACAAGGAATTTTTATTGAATCACACCAAAAAGTATGGTTATGGATTGAAATTTGCATCACCAAAGCTGAAACAAGACAGAGATTTCTTGATGAAAGTGATCCAATTGAGCAAAGATGGATTTAAAGTGGATGTGGGGGAATTAAATCATGCATGGAACATTATTTCCGGTGGTGACAAGTGTGGTGACGAGTATCTTAAGGAGAGACTTGAAAATGACGAGATGTTTTTCAAGAAATACTTTAGAGGAATTGAAAAAAAGCCTAAACTCCAATCGCTCTTGTTTGAAACACTCAAACACAATAGGAAAGCGTTTCTTTGGTTGTTCGAGATTTTAAGGCCAGGTGTTTTTTGGATATGTAGAGATTTCATTGTCCAGATCATTCAAGTACTCTTTCCAGAATTCGAATATTCAAACAAAGAGTTGTGAAAGAATTTGGATTTTTTTTGTATGTTGTTTCAAGGGAACTCAACAAGGATCGTGATGTTGTTTTGAATGCTGTGAAAAGTTATGGACTTGCGCTTGAATATGCCCATGAAGATTTGAAAAATGATGAAGAGATTGTGAATGCAGCTGTGAAACGGGAAGGAAAGGCATTAGATTATGCATCGAATAGTTTGAAAAAAGACAAAGAAATTGTTTTGGCTGCTGTTCGACAGAATGGAAGTGCACTTGGATATGCATCGGAAGAGTTGATTTATGATAGAGAAGTCTTATTGACAGCTGTTAGACAAGATGGCAATAATACTCTAAGAAGCTTTTTGTACCATCGTCCAAATTTATGGGACTATCCAACCACCAAACCATTCACCCAGTACGATTATGAACTCTTTAGTGATAAGCCATTCATATTAGAAAAGATTAAGGCAGGATGTCAAGAAGTTTTCAATTATGCACCGAGAGATATTATTGAGGATAGATAATTTGTGTTAAAAGCTGCCAAACTCAATGGTCTTGCTGTTGTTGTGCCAGATTTTACCTCAGACAAGGAAATCATGTTAGAAGCAGTCAGAAATAACGGATGTGCATTATATTATGCGAGTAAAGAATTGAGAAAAGATTCTGAAATGGTGATGGAAGCTCTTAAATGCAACGGATTTGTTTTTGAGTATAGTGATGAATTGTTGCAACAAAGGATGGAACACCTTAAACGTATTTACATGTAATTCATTATCTGTTATTTACATACTGTAGAGAAGACCATTGGTCTGTCTTAAAGCCATTCTCAATGTCAAACCATTTTGCTTCATTTATTCGAGTTCTTGGTCATTTCTCTGCATGCTCTAACTGACTGCATTTAATCTCCTTGCTTTCAGTAGTTGGGATGAATGGAACTTTCAAAGTTGAGATTCTTCAATCTTAATTCTTGTCATTGAAAGAGAGTTTGTAACATTTTTCAACGAAGGGTGATTAGAAATTGAATTTATGTCCATAGGGAGGAGAAAACTTTGATATGCCGGAATGCATCACTATCATGGGAAATGCAAAGTGATGGATATAAAACATACTTGGGTCTTCTAGTATTGAACTAATTGTGGAGGGAACGGTACACGGCTTGTTAATGAGGAACGAGATCTTCTGTTCATGACCATCTGCCTCTGGTTGAGGATAACAATTTCAGATTGTATCCACCGTCGTTGCTTCCCAAATGTTTGTGAAAATTACATATTGAGAGATGTTGTGTTGTCAATTTGTCTAATTAATATTAATAATACCTTAATTCCTCAGTGTCGAGGTGTCCTTTTACATGACAATGAACCTTCCAAATAAGCAACATGATAACATTGTCTGAAGAACATTGTTCCATTCTTTCATCAACAATTTGCCGCTTTACTCCAAAACACACTCATGATCCATTGGAGAGCTTCCATCAGCCAAAATGATGTCGTTTTCAGGATATCTCTAACACGCGACAAGAGCTAAGGCACCATTCATAGACTTTGGATAGCTTTTTGGGTCGACTTCTGTTGCCGTTCACAAACCAAAGTTTGGCCAAAAAGTTTCGCCGAAATTAATTTTCGCCACAAATAACCATCATTGTGTCGAGGCTCCATTTTGAAAGCCAGAAAGAGACACCACTGCGAACAAACAAGGATCCCAGCAACGACTTTGTACAACAAGAAGAAAATGTCGTCATCGATGATGCTGAATTTTTCAATTCAACAACAGCAACAGCAACAATTACAAGGAACGAACAATATCAACCAAACAACACCAACAACTCCGCTCAACAACAACAACATCAGCAATACCAACAACAATTTAACAGCAATAAACGGACAAGGATGGTTGTTTGGAGATAACATGTTCAATGATTATGGTGGTAGTAATGCTCCTTCGTCCGCTTTCAATAACTACACTAACAATTCCATGATGACCATGATGATGAATAACAACAATAATAATATGAGCCTCAACAACATGCTTTCTCCCATTCCAATCACTCCATCCGAAATGATGGATGGAAGATTACTGATGATGAATCAAGGCATGGATCAAGACGTCGTTGTTTCACCTTCAGCATGCTTTGATGTGGAGGCTGATGCTCTAACCACTCATCACCAAACAAACAACTCTTCTCCTACGAATAACAATATGAATTCATCTTCTCAAGGAAAGTCCGCCACTACAACCAATAAGGAAAAGAAAAAGCCTAAAATTGCATGCGTTTATTGCAACAAGCTCCACAGTAAGTACATCATTCTGTTGAGGAATTTGAGTATACTGAACACACTTGTGTGATGATATATACAACAGAAAAATGTGGTATGTATTCATCGATAGTGAATCCATGTTCCCAAATTGTAACTATTTTTCGTTCATAACAATTTCCTGAATTGTATTTATCCTAACATTTCTTGTTTTCTCAACAACCATTGTGATTCAAACCGTTACCGATACCAAGATGGAGAATCTCCCAACGCATGTACACGATGTAAAAAGAAGGGTATTCCATGCGTCTATTTACCTCCCCAAAAGAGAGGACCAAAATCAAAGAAACGAAAGAACGATGGAGGTGGGGTTGCCGAAGAAGAAGATTATTCCTTTGATCCACTCACATGCGCTGCAGGATTGTGCAACTCTTCTCAGCAAGGCAATTTATATCTCTCCAACCAACAATTACAAGGACCTTTCTACCATTACAATCAACAGCAACCACCACAACAACAAGCAACGCAACAGTTGATTTCCAACAATTCCTGCTCCTCACAACCAGTTGCCCAACCTCAACAACCTAAAGTGGCCTCTAGTACAGATCTGAATGTCTATATTAACGAATTGTCAAAATCAAACACTGCTCGTGAAGCGTCTTCCACACAGATCGCAGTTCCATCGAATAATTGGAACAATTACCAAACTTCGGCTCTAAGTCCATTGAGTGGCCTCCAATTTATTGTAAATGTACATACCAGAACATTGGTGGACCAATTCTTAGAGTAAGTGTTATTATTATACTTTGTTGCGTATCTCATTCATATCTAAACACATCTTGTCTATTGACTTCAAACACAATTTACTTTATGACCACACAGCTCTGTTACCTGTCACTCATTGGTTGATCGATCCATGCTCGATAATGCTCTCAATAAGGCTGTTGCCTTCTCTTCAGAACCCACTGGATCGCAACTCCTTACCAACATTGTCTGCGCCATGGGAGCTCAACGTTTGGAAGACAGAAAGAATTGTGTCGATTTCTTCAATCGAGCTAGAAACCAAGCAAGTTACTTGTTTGACAGACCTTCGAGAGAAACTTCATGTGCTCTCAGTCTCATGGGAATTTATGCGTGCTCAGAGGGTGAAAGAATTAAGGGACACATGTACAATAAGATTGCTCTAGATATGGCCTCTGATCTCTGTGGATATCAATTGGAGACTGACAAGTACTGGCAAAGTCTGTTTGCTCTCACTTTTGCAACTACATTTTCCAAGTGGTTGTTTGAGCTCAATATTCTTAAAGTGGATGACAATTCTTTTGATATCTTGGCTAAGCATGGCTCCAATCCAAATCACCCTCAAATTCCTGCTATAAGGGATTTGGTGAACACCATCAACAGCTATATCAATTCACCACGATGTGCTAGAGAGATTGAAGCTATAGAAACAAAAATTTCTGAACAATCGTTGGTTAAAGGAAGTGAAGAAATCACTTTTACTGCTCTACTCGTGTATTATTTGTTAATATCAAGACTTGCAACACTTGCAAATAATCAGGTTGAATATATCAGCATTTTGAGAAAATTGGAACTTCTCGAACGATATATTGAATCTGAAAACTTTAATAGAGATGATCTTCAAAAGAACGTACATCGCTTCTGTCTTTACTCGTTGAGAGCAGATATATTGGTGAGGTGTGGATTGGATAAGATGGGTATGCATTGTGCAACGAAGGCAACAGGTTTAGCAGCCAAACCAACATTCTGGAAGAGTGCGCCAGTGATTATTCTCTTTTTCCCAACCCTTATTCGAGTGAATTTGAATGTCAACGATAGTAGTATGTCTGTTGAAAATTATAAGGCATTGAAAGTTATAAGCTCAAAGTTTGTGGTTCTCAAATATACCTTGTTTGACATGATCAATGTTATGAACAAGAGATCCGAGTTCAAAGATTTACTTGAGAGCGAAAGACAGCACATTCCTCAAGGGTTTTCCAATTCCTCTGGATACATGTCATTTGCCGAGTCTCCCCAATGTGACTCTGCTCCTCCAGCACAAGACTGGACGGGTTCATTCTCGCCAGCATTGGAAAACAGCAATACCGCAAATAATTGTAACACCGCCAGTCAGTCGTGCTTTCCAAATGATTTGACAGAGCTGTTGCAGCAACTTGGCCAATCTGTCGATCATCAAGACTACCAGAACAAACTGGAATATATTTGGCAATCCACTCAAAACTAATCACTGACTGACCTGAGTAAATCTTTAACTTTTAAATAAAAAAAATATTCAAATTCTTCTCGTTATTTATTTGCTATGCTTCTGCTTCCACTATTGAGAAGTACCCTTTTCGAATTGATAGAGAGCCTCTCTTTCGTGTGGTAAAAGAGTTGGAATTGGAGAGAAATAGTAATTGAATGGATAGTACAAAAGTAAAACCATGTCACTGCAATACAAATCTGCATATCGTTGTACTTGAGTACAAAAGTAGGACTCTCTAGTACCACTTCTGAAAGCACTACCAAAGTAAGGATTAAAGTGTGCATTCAAATTCTCTTGGGCTTTCTTGATTTGATACTTGATTGGGAAATTTCCATCCTCTTCGTCTTCATATTTGATTTTGTGTTTTTCGATTGGCTGTGAAGAATCCTGATCCTTAAAGCTCTGTGCTCTGATATATTCTAGAGTGTTAAGTTGACTCCAGATGTCAGCGCTTCTATTTGTCATCCAATGTTTTGTTTCATCCTCAACTTCTCTTACAATCAAAAGTGTTCTCCAGAGACATCGATTTTGTTTTGTCACAATAATATCATGGAAAATATTATCTCCAACGTACATCACTTCTGAGCCCTTGGTTTTGGTGAATTTTTTGAACAAGGAGAAAGAGCCTCCACAATAAACGCTACCCTTCTTGAACCCTTGCACAGCAGACAATTTTAGACGTCCGGTGGCTTGATCAACTTCTCTGAGGGTAGTACCTTCACTGCTGAAGAACTTGGGCTTTTGTCCATTGGTGATGACAATGTCAAAGAAATCAGTCCACCTATCGTATCCCTCGATGGATTTGTCCAACAAGTAAGACATTACAGCATTTGTGTAGAAATATTCAGAATTGGTCAATAAGAAAATCTTCTTTCCCGCTTGTCTCATTCTGTGGAAAAGAAGTGGTAATCTCTCATCTTTCTTGACATACTTGGGCAAGTCAGCCATGATGGCCTGCTTAAGGGTGTTGTCACTATGGATCGAGTGGAATGTTTCTCTAATATCATCGAAGAGTGACCAATAGCTCAACTTGGCTTCATTGCCGTTTTGGGATGAATCAACATCTTCGTCGGAGCTGGTTGGACTACTTCCTCCTGCCTCACTCTTTGCTAAAAAGTTGGTTTGTTCGAAATAATCCACCAAAGAAGCATAAAGACTGGCTTCAGGAATGCCAAATAAAGTGTCATAGCAAAAGTATCTTCGTCCCATTTCCTCATCAGGATGAATGAGATGATCAGGATACATCTTTTCATATTCAGCTTTTTTGATGATCTTCTTGCCATGCACACATTGCAAAACAAATCCGAAATGGTCTACTTTGAGAATATTACCATGACGCTTGTCAAGAAAAGTTCCACGAACAGCAAAGGAGGGATCGTAATTAATTTGAAGAATCTCTGCTGGGTAACCTTTACTTTCCACAAGCCTTTGGAGGATGAGTTTTGTGCACATTGATTCGTACACTGGAGAAATGTAATTCTATTCAAAAGAAATGACGTATTCATATGCATAACAGGTTGGAGAGATCATAGTTAAATGGATATATTCCAAATAATATTATTGTCAATACTAAACTATTCATGCATTCCACTTACAGCACTGAAGAATATTGTTAGAAACAGTTGCTGAAAAGCACTTAATTGTACCTACATGGTGTAGTCCATATCAAATCCATAGTATTCGATATGATCAAGATTTACACTACGATTAACAAAAATTCTGTGTTCTACCGGTCTTCTATATTTATCTGGCAACTCATAATTTGCCAATGTGTCGAGCTTTCTGAGATCCGAGCTAGTTGGAGGAAAATTCATGGATGGAAATGGAGTTTTTGGAGTAGTAGGCATTTCTTCTAAAGTATTAGTTATTTTACAAGAGGCTGCAGATTGATCTTGAGTATGATGATTAGGATGATGAGACTTGTGGTCGAGTGAATGATGTTGAGCGAGGGAGCTGTACGAGCAGTGATGATAATTTTTTTGGTTTGAAAATGAGAGTCCACGTGTGAGGCATCCTCTTCTCAAATTGAATCCACCACAACCACCATAACCACCGCCACCCATCATCATCAACACAAGAGCGATCGAAGACTTGTTTTGAAATTGATTGAGTGGGTTTCGGCAAAGGAATGACATTTTTAATTTTTTTGAATGCTCCGACAAGATGGATGATGTTCATATAAAGAAATGGGTGATATGGCAATATTCAAAGAGAATGCGAGAGGGTATACTACTATTTTGGGTTAGTATAATGAATGACTTTTACAAATTCCATTTGAATCCTGTATGAATATTTAATTTTATTGATCCATCCATGCTGATGAGGAGGAATGTTCAATTCTTATTCGACAGGTTCAAAAAAATTTCAATCTGTCGTTGATCATCAACACTTTTTTTGTGAGCTTTGATATATACATGACGATCAAGAGGAATAAAGAAGAAACAACAACAAAAACAACAGAACTCTCATACGATGATGAATCATCCTTGTCCAGTGATGAATCATCGGATGATGAAGCAACAAGTGAATTATTGAAAAGATACATCTCATCGGGACAACGCATGTTGGATGAGGCTTCAAAAGCTGTTTCCAATAATTTATCAACAACGATAGACATAAATTTAGAGCCAGTATCTTCATCATCAAACGGTGGTTTATTGACGTCATTGCTTCATGAAATCAACACCACCAGTAATGAAGATATAACGAGTCATCATGAACAATCATCATCAACTCCACTTCCAGCCCTTCATGATGATCATCTTTCTTCGGAAGTAAATTTAAATAGTAATAATTATAATTTTACTGCTCCGTCAACAATAGTAAACGATAACACAACGATTAATGATGCATCAATCAACGATCATCACGTGACGAGTGTTCAAACACCCTACTCTAATTCTGTTGCAACTCCTTTACATTTAACACCTAATTTTCAATCAACCACGGATAATATAAGAATGATTGACGAAGAAGATATTGCCAGCAGCGTACAATCGAGATTATACATGTTAAAAAACGGCCTGCAACTCAATTCCGAATATAGAGAATTAATTCAAACTGAGCTTGAGAAGATTGAGCAAGCACAACGAAATGTTGGAGATTTGCAAAGAGAACTTAGAACAGAATTTTTACAGCGCCAGAAAGGTCCTCCAATGTCACTCTATCCTACACGTAAAAATTTAGCTCAAGCAACAGGAAAAATTTCTAAGAAATTAGCGTGTGAATATTTTGTGAATTTAGCACAGAGTAAGCTGAAAGCAGCTGGATCTAATGCAATTATTGAGGACAAGTTCAACACTACTCTGGTAAAATCAGCAGCATTAGCCTCTAAGAATAGTATCGATAAACCTAAGAAACCAAAGAAAAGCCAGAAAAAGAAAAAAAGAAATACTGAGGATGAAGAATATATCAGTGAGTCTGAATTTCAATATTCGGATGAAGAAAATGTGGATAATGAAATGGAAATAGACTCATCAATACCACAGGAAAGAGACAGTAATGTAACTATAATAGAGGGCCCAAAACCGAACGAAGATGCAATCAAAAGACACAGCCTAATTGATAAAACAGTTATCGTTGACACTAGAAAGTGGACCACCAATGAGATTAAGAATTTACGGTATGCCGTTAGACTACAATCCCAAGAATTGAAATGTGCATTTATTCTCGAAAATTACAAAGGAAATAACGCTCAAATCAAGAAAGAATTTGAGAATATATCTAAAATGCCAGGTGAAGAATTGGAAAATATTGAAACCTCTAAAATTGATTGGGAAAAGGTGGCAATGTATCATGTAAAAACTAGAAAGCCTGAGGAATGCAGAAAATATTGGGAAATTGAGCTAGCAAAGGATATCAAAAAAGAAAATTGGACAAAAGAAGAGGATTTAAAATTACTTCGTGTTGCCGAGGATTATAAGGGACATGATTGGGAAAAAATTGCAGAAAAGATGTACGAGGGCCAGGAACTCACAAGAAGGCCGATTCACTGTTTTAGAAGATATCAACGTAGTTTAAATACAAACATGATGAGAAGCAAGTGGACTCCAGAAGAGGACGAAAAGTTAATGCAAGCTGTCAAATTATTTGGAGAAAAGAATTGGCAGCAAATTGCAAATCAACTCGACGAAAGAACAGGTCAACAATGTCTACATCGTTGGATGAAAACTTTAAACCCAGCTATCAAGAGAGGTAGATGGACTACCGAGGAAGACAAACGATTGTATTTAGCTGTTCATGCTTACCCACCAAACAATTGGGTACTTGTAAATAGACATACTCCAGGAAGAACAGATGTACAGTGCAGAGAAAGGTGGTGCAATATTTTGAACCCTGATTTAAAGGTCGGTCCATGGACAAAAGAAGAGGACGAAAGTTTAAAGAAGGCAATCAAAGAGCTAGGTGCAGGTAATTGGTCTAAAATTGCAGAAGTCATGTATCCCAGAACAGACAACCAATGCTGGAGAAGATGGAGATTAATCAGTTCTGAAGAAGTACCAGATTATAGAAAAAAGATTTTGAAACGAGAAAAGGCACTTGTGAAAAATTTTGTCGGTCGAGAAAAAGAGAGACCAGACATTACTGCTGATGATCTTGAAATTCCTCATCCAGAAGAAGAAAATGATAATATCGGTTACCACATTAAGGAATTTGTTAACAAATCTAGGACACTCTTTTTTACTTCCAATAGGAGTAACAACATGTTGTCACAATCCATATGCTTGGAGGCTTTATCAACTCTTGAAAAAGCACTTACCATTCCCAAGCTGAAGAATATTTTAGAAATTGAGTGGCAACGAATGGAACAAATTCGATATCTTGTTGAAAAAACACCCTTCTTTATTGGAGTGCCACCTTCGAATTTTGTGAAGAGAATATTTTCTCTCTTGTATGCATTTCGACTTCCAGCTGAAATGAGAAGCCATTCACAACACGATACAACAACCTTAATTCCATCCAACCTTGAAACTCCTCAACAACGAATTTCACACTTCAAGAAATTCATTCCCAGCGCGCAAGCTAATTCTCCAATATTTACCACACCGTGTATCATGCCAACCAATCTTATTCCCTCTCTTCCATGTATTCCTGCAAGTGCTGTATCTCTAAATGCTTTGGCAACACTTCATGAAATTTTAAACAAGCAGAGCAAACCAACTCAAAAAACAACGACTGTGAATATTGAGGTGTTGAATGATAATCGGATGAATTCAGAACCACACGAGATGGCAACACCTTTAGACAGTGTGACAATGCCAACCTTTGAATCTCAAATTAAGGACCCAACATATGAACCTCCAACACTCATTCACAATGACCCCAGCATTCTCAAATCGAATGAATTCAAAACTCTGACGAGTGTATTTAATTCTCTCTTCCAACGACCTTTACAACAAACTATGGGAAGAATTGCTGAGAGATTACCTTTTCTATTGAGACGGGTTCCAAATATTGACACCTTGAATGACTATGTGGAAGAATGCCAAACGGTCTATCAACACGAATGCCAAAACTCTAAGGATCCTGTTCTCATTGAAGCGTCGCAATGGCACACAGATTCTTCCTTGAATGAACCTCCAACATTTCCCTCTCTATTCTCGTTGTATCAACATTTACCCAATGATCAGTTTTTCGAGAAGGAACCTGCTGCAGCTCCTACGACACCAATTGTTGTGACGAAACCTAAGGGAGTGCGTGGACGACCAAAGGGCTCAAAGAACAAGAAGACTCTTGACCGAGCAAGAGAAGAAGGAAATTCTGATTCTATGACTGCTGGGGATCCTTCTTCCTCCTTAGTGAATACTCAGCTGTCAGAGGCTCCACAGCAAGCAATCACTCAGAAAAGAGGAAGAGGAAGACCCAAAGGTTCCAAAAACAAGCCAAAAACATTGGAACAGCTTACAGAGCAAAAGAAAAAGCAATTGAACAAACCAGTCGTGCGAAAAGTTTCGAAAAATTCATCCGGATCCTCGAAGAAACGAAAAACCACTCCTGCCTCCTCGGAGAATATCGTGAATGTTGACGACGAAGAGGAGCATGAAAATTAAGCTTAATGTTTTTATCCAGTTCAGAAATCAGTTCTAAATTCGAACAGTGAAGTTGTCTCTGATAAATAGCTGTAATCATTTTGAAGATCATAAATGTTTTCGATATGCTCTGAAACAGTTTTCACAATTTCCGCGAATATCATTGCATTCCTCCAGAAAAAGTGACCTCTATCGCTTACCGTATGCAAATTAACATTGGTGTATCGGTAGTTCAGGTTCGAGTTGTTATCCTCAGGTGTTTTTCGTGTATCGATAGTTACAGAAGTTGTCATAGTTTCAATAGTATCAGATGAGCCAACCCGTGTGAGTGTGGAAGAGTAGGCTGAATTTGAGGATCTTTCTTTCTCACTTTTTCTGGACAATTTTTGTTTTGCGCTCAACTTAATGTCAGTTATTTTGTGTTCAGTGTATCTGTCACTAATCAAACTAGGAATAGCAGACTTGAGTAAATTTAAAGGAATAATTTGAGAGTTTTCTCCATGCCAAACATGAACAGGAATTGTGATATCTTTCAGAGAGAAACCCCAATCTTCTCTTTCCATTTTAAGCTCTCGAAGAACCTCCGTGATGCCATAGGCATTCATTCCCTCACGCAAACTTAGCACACAATTCGTACAAAAATTTTGTAAATCTTCAATATTCTCTTTTGAGTAGTAACCACTTTGACGAATGTAAGTCGTGAATTTTTCGGGCTCATTAAAAATCGTACCTGATGCCACAATTTTCAGCAACATTTTAAATATTGGTAAGGGCACATAGTTGACAAGCAAAAACACATCTTTCAGAAATCTAGATAATTGAGCATGTGGAAGAAGCGAGTATGGTAATTCTCCACTAAGTATATTACATGAAACAACCTTGTTATCGATATTCAAATAAGCGCAAGCGTAAGCATAGCATGATCCTGTGGATACTCCCATCACAGAGTATTGCTCAATTTCCAGAATGTTCGAGAGTTGAGCAATATCTTTTGCAAAGGATAAGAAACTTCTAGCTTTTTGTTGGCTTGATTGACCATAACCGGGTCGATCCACATGAATAAACCTTACATTAAATTGTTTAGCAATACTGTCATGCTCATTGCAAGGTATCTCTAATCGAGATTGACCAATGGAGTGAAAAAAGAAAATCACTCTAGTTCTACTCGATGTGTTTCCGTATTCTTCATATGAAAGCCATCTACCAGAGGGAAGCATGACGCCTTTCACACCATTGATGTTTCGCTCCGATAACAAATAATTAGGAGAAGGAGGTAGTAATATGTCTGATGTTGTCTGTACAGATTTTGAGTCGTCAAATGCCAAATTAGTTGAACTTTTTGTGTCATTCTTTTCATCTTCCGACTCGGCAAGATAATCTTGACTTGGTGATCTCGAATTTCGTCGCCACAGTTTTTTTAAAGATATTCGATATTTGTTATTTGGATTAGAAATGTCTTTGGATTTGTCTCTAAAGTAGTGATATTTGACATAACTTATAAGCTTGTATATACAATAAATTAAGACGGTTGTAAGTGGTATTCCATATTTTAAAACTTGTCCGAGTGTAAGACTTGCATTAAATTGCAAATGAAAACGAATTTGATTGCTCGATCGTTTAATACTCCTCAGCCACTGTGCCACTCTTTCCGAAACTGAAACGATCTGTCTCCGAGCGCCCACAATGCTTCCATCGTTGGACAAGAATAATTTTACACCCCGAAGAGAAGAGGCATCCGTTGATGCTGATGTTGCAATATCATAATTATTCATGTGATTATTATTGTCCATGTTGTTGAAGAGATTCTTGTCATCATTTTCGTCCTCATGCAGTAACAAATAATGTTGTGGATGCTTGGGATTGGAAACTTGACGCTCATTTTCAAATCCTCCCGCGTGTTGTTCCAGAGCAGCCATAATCATGGAACGACTCACATCACTACCACCTTCTTCATCCGATGGCAAATCCGTTTGATGATGAAGATTATAATGTGGTGGTGAGCGAGGAGGATTCTGAATGGTCGTTATGCTCATATTTTTTATTTGATTTCTTTACATGAAAATTCAATTAGAGAATTTCTAGTTTCGGAAAATTAATCATCATGATCAGCAAAACAGTGTCTGGTTCTGATAACGAGAAGGAAGCAATGTTAGCAACGACACTTTGATGTTGAAACAACTCTTCTACTCGTGGGTCTGATGGAGACCCTCAGACAAGCAGTTCATACAAAGCTTGTGCTCAATCATTTGATGTAAGGCTTCTTGCAAACGTTCTTGATTCTCCATGTCCTGACGAAGATCGCTATTGAAGGATTCGAATGCAGATATCTCATTCTGAAGAGTCTTCATTTCCTTTTGAAATTCAGAAATCATAGCTTCTGCTTTTGAAGCATCCAAGACATTCCTATTGAGAGGTTGAGCGTGTTGATTCATCTTGAGAGTAAGATCCTGTACATCTTGTTTGGTCTTTTCAATCGTGTTCAATAGAGAGGCAGAAAGATACACCATCTCCGAATGCTGTTCTTTGAGCATTCGAATCTCCACTTCCAAGCTATGATTACGTTGGGCCTTCTCTTCGAGTTGACTTTCATCATGTCTCAACTCTTTGTTACGATGAATAGCAAGCATGAACTCCGAAATGAAATAAACTTACTGGCTTCAAGTTCTTCCACCTGCTTCTTTAAACTCTCAACTCCCTTCAAATTTGGACAGCAGTTCCACATCTCGAGTGCCTTGGCGTAATTCTTCTCTGCCTCATCTAATTGGGATTTAAGCTCAGCTCTGCTCTCAAATTTCATGATGTTTGCAATGCAAACAACGTTTCTGTACTTACATCTTGAACTCAACAGTCTTTCGATATGAAACCACATGCTTTTCAAAGACCTCTTCTTCTTGCTTGCAATACTTGACTGAACTTTTCAACTGCTCGTGAATTTTACTTTCATTTCTTGTTTCCGCTTCTAGATGGGTGATTTTCTCTTTGAGCAAGGCTTCATATGAATACATCTTCTCCAATTTCAAATTAACTGAATTAAAAGAATAATCCTCAATTTGGTCATGAAATAATGCTCAAGGACAACTACATACGTTCTTCCAAATCTTTCAATGTCTTTGCATGTCGAGTACGTTCTTCCACCAGCTTGCATTCCTGAAGCCTTCTTGAGTTTTCCAACTCATTGATTTGATCAAGAAGAGGCTTGTAGTGAGGGTTGATCATGATGCGGCTGTTGTAATGGAGATGTTTTTTTGTTTGTAAAAAATGTTGTCTCTTGTGTCGGGTAAGTGTGTGCTTGATTAAGGCTTATTAATGATCATCATAAATAACCGCATGATTTCTTTACCCTCATGTTTTAAATAAGCCCTTCCTATTTCCAACGGAAATATACTTAAGATAATATGGAAGATGATACAGTCAAAATTGCAAGTCATTCCGAACTTTGGAAAGTACTTGTTCCTTCTCGGAATACTTGTAGCACTAGGTATGTTTGTAACAAATGTACGCTCTTTTGTTCATCATCGTGAAAAAGTAAATATTGTGTGTGGAAGTATTGCAGTTTCAAAAGTAATTACTCCAGACTATTGGTATATGGGTATATATTGTATTGTGATTGGAGTGTTTTTGGCGATATTTGAAATTCCCTTCTCGTGCTATCGAAGCATACCTTTAATACGTACAATATGGACCAATTATTTGATCAGAGGAGGTGTATATTTCATTTCAGCAATTCCTTGTTATTTAGTTGGGATTGGTATCCTTGGAGGTATTCTCTTCTCTCTATTAAGCTTGTTGTATGTGTTTGTAGGGATTAAGGGAGAAAGCGCTGAAGAGCCAGAAGACACATTGGGATACTCACAAATGATAGATGCATATAAAAAGTTAAAAGGAGAAGAATCGGAATCAGAAGATAGCGAAGATGATGACGATTAATCAAAGTCTTTCAAGAGCTCTTTTACAAGAAGTGGACTTAAAACAGTAGAATGAGGATATCTTTCATCATCGACAGTTAACTTCACCTGAACATTATCCAAATTGTCTCTTAAAAATTGAATTTGTTCCTTCGAAAATGGAACTGAGAAGAAATGGACAGCGCTTGTCATGCCTTCATTGGTGGTTCTTCCATCCTCAGTTGGCTTGCAAGGCAAAGAGACTATGAGCTCACCACTTCCCTTCTTGCATATTTGGAGTTTAAAATTGTATTCAATTCGGCCAAATTTTTTGAGAGTTGCTTTTCTAATTGGCTCGTTATCAATTTCAAACATGAAAGTTATTGTAATATTATTTCCTTTTGGAACAAGAGGATCATAGGCTCTTCCTTCTTCAGCAAATTGATGGTTAGTTCCCTTTTCAACGAGAACCATTTCGTGACATTGTCTGATAATTTTCAAGCGAAATGAATGATATACATGTGAAATCATCCACTATATACTTACATCCTATCATCATTGATAATTAGAAAAGAGAGTCTGGATCCATTCATCCAACTTACCAATTGATATCATAATTTTCAAAGGTTGCTGATGCAAATGGACCTAAATCCACTCTTCTCACCTTTTTGACTTCTTTTCTCCAATTCAAGGCTGCTTTTCTTAAATTCTCTTTGTAATAATTATTATTTAAATTCTTTTCATTGACTGCAATCATGTCTTCAACAAGTAATTCTTTCTTATTCTTGACAACATCCGATGGTAAAACATTAACAAAATCAATCCTTTTCAATCCTTCTGTTTTTCCTTCAAATGGATTAAATGCTTCTTGTTGTTGAAATTGCACCGAGTTGGTATGATAATCATTCGCATGTGATTGAATTCCGGAATTAACTGATGAAAGATATAAAAGAATGGATTGTTGCTTGTTGAGGTGTGAGGAATAGCAAGACAGTGCGAATGGCTTGAACGGTGCAACGAAGCGTCGGAATGAACGTGGTGGCTGAGACAACATTTTTTTGATTTTAGACGACCACAGTCACGCTCCTAAACAATTACATTCACACTCACTCAGAATTCATGATGGATATTCACACAACATTGCCGAACTCGCATCCATCCTTACTTCTATTCATCTTCTACCAAACCACTCCAAAGCAACAATTCACACTGACAGTCAAGTTGCAATCCAAGCTCTCAAAAAGAACTATCGAGGACAATACCTCCTCTTCTATCCAGAATTTCAGAAAATAATTAGAGCTAGAAATCTTCAAATTTCTCTAAAGAAAGTAAAGGGACATAAGGACCCTGAAAATATCAAGGTCGACGCTCTAGCCAGACAAAGTCTCTCACAACCAACAATTTTCGACATCAGACAACTCTTTGGCAAACAACGACTTCTTACCAAGACAGATATCATCATTTTCATTCAAAGGGAAATGACTCGGACCTTTCACTACAAGAATATGACAACAAAATTAGATGACAATCCCAACCTCATTGATCATGTTCATCAAAAATCTCTCAATATTAGATTCTTGAAAGCGAAAATCTCACCCAATTACAAGTATGCAGTCTGGAGAAATATTATTGACTCTCATATTAGACACTTCACAGGCTCCTATTGCCCTGACTGTGAAGTCGAGTCCAATCTCCACCACTACATACATGAATGTCCAAAGCTTGACCCTGCGAGATATTTCTGTGAAATGAAGATCTCCTCTTTAATCTCCCAACCATGTACAATCACTGATTCGAATTCGATTCGTGGTTTAATCCACATCGTCCCATTTTCTACATCCATCACTCCGGTTTCCTACCCCCAGATAGTGATGCGATAAGGCACGTCCCAGCTATTGAAAGGAATTGGCCTGAAATCCAAGTACTGTTTGCCCTTTTCGTTGGCAAATGCCACAAATACTATTACTCTGACAAGATTGAAGACTAAGGACCTTGGGTCCTTAGTTAGAATCCCAATTGGATTCGGTGTACATATACCCCAATAAATTTTTTTGATTTTAGAATCACAAATATGACTAATTGATATTATATGACTAATGACTCCCAGCAGGAAACAAATAAAAATTTATATTTCCCGGAAAATACAGAAACTGGACAGAAATACAAATACTTCTCACCTTAATGGTCGGAAAAGCAATGTTGAGTGTCGTCTTCTGTGAAACAAGATGACAAAGATTTCCACTTCAGCTTAATTTGACCAAATGGACATTCCACTCTCTATCTTGGTGATTTTAGCAACTTATTTCCAGCTTTTTTTTTGCGTCAACTTTCTGATTCCTCTTCCGTCTTTTGGCGGTCTTCCTTTTGGTTGTGACTCTTTGGAGTGACGATTTTAATTTTACTGAACTTGCTGACAACAGATTTATATCCACAATCACCAAGCATAACAGCACCCTCCATAGACGATTCTATTTCATGAGAGTCATAAAGGCACTATCTTCGACTTTTGGACTATAAACTTCATAGAGTTTTCGAATTAGTCCTTTGGATCTGAAAAACTAGTGAACTGATTTGCATAATAATCTTCTTTATAGGAATGCTCATCACTCTTCTTATAAGCATTCTCGGGTTGTGTCTTTTTGAAATCGGAGCTGTCGATCCATAAATTGACCTTAGTCTTCCTTTCTTTTCCCCAACTTTTTAGATGCACGGTTCCGATCACTATAGCAACCAAGGACAATTTGTGCGTCACATCAATCCTGTAAAGATTACCAAATAACTTTGGTATTGTGTCTAATTGATTTCGATGATATTTTCAAAAAGATGAAATTTCAGACTCAATTTTATGATAGCCAACCCCGAATGAATCATGATAAAGCACAATAAGCAGACAATCATTTTCAAATTTTCGATCTTTTTCTAATCCCCAAAGAGGCACTTTTTTCTTCTTCATTTCAACATTCAATGTTTCCAATGTCTTTTTCGAGAGGTTCTTTAACTCTTTCCTCTTCTTTTTTTTTTCACACCGTACCCAACAAAGCAGTTATTTTTTTCTAGAAAACTTTTCGCTGCCAATTTTAATAAAACAACGATCATAGGATGATTTTATGATGGTTCAATCCATCAAAACTTTCCAATTCAATTTATTGTTGCTGAAACGTGAAGGAAACACCACATCACTAATGGTGTCTCAACACGTTGAATTGGCACTACAAGAGCCATGGTGGTTGCTTCTTAAAATTTTGTCGCGTACATGGAGGACTGAAATTGTGACCGAGTTGAAGATGACCATTCTCGCTCATCACATGATCGACACCATTTCCCTCTCATTGACTAGTCTACGACAACAGTCGCAATTAATAACTAGGTATATGGAACAGGGTTGACATTCCCCAAAGTAGGAACATTTCTCACAAATAATAACAGAAAAAAGTGAACACAATATTAGTTCCGTGTGATTAGAACAAACTTGGCACTTTCTCCGTTTGCAAATTTCTGAATTGCATCCACAAGTTGTATCACATATTCTTCCCATCTTGGCACAACTACATTTCGAACAATTTCCTTTTTCGCATGTGCATCCAACTTTCTTCTTTGTTTTGTGTAGATCATCATTAAAATCATTAATCTTCTCTCTTTTCCTTTTCAGCTGATTGATTTTAAAACATTCAATAGCTTTCAATGTTTTGTCGAGATTACCATAAAACTTAATCAAAATATTAAGCAATCCAATAGCATCATAAAATGCACAAAGTGAATTGTTGACATCACCGACGTTAAAATGTTCAATCAATACATCCTCAGCAAAAACTAGTTTAGTTTTCCCTGTCTTTGTCGTTTTTCGAGGAAGACAATTATGTAAAGTCGATTCTGATTTCATTAATTGGAGAGAATCAACAAAAACAATATTGTCATAATTAAATTCAGGAAACTTCCCGAAAAATTATTTTGCAAAAACTTTGAAGTCCAAACAGTCTCCATTGTGAGCTATTAAATAAGTTTTCCCTTGAGAGTTATTACTTAAAAATTGAATAATATCGTTCACATGACTTTCAATAGGTAGTTTTGATCTCAAATTGTTCAAATTCAATCCAGTTATTCCTTGTGCTTGACTAGAAATGGCTTTACCAGGATTAACGAAGCCATACAAAACAACTCCAGCCAAAACATCCACAAAACAATATTCTGAAATTTTTTTGGTGGATCATCATTCCAAAATCCAGTCGTTTCAAAATCAAAAATTACATATGGTTGATTTGAGGTAAAGGTTGTGACATTTGAGTTGAATTTTCTGAAATGGAGCCGATGGAGGTGATATTTGTTGTTAAAATATTTTCTGGTTGTGATTGTTTCTCATTAGATGGAACAAACAATCCTTTTTCTGCATTAAATGTAATAAATGATTCTTTTGGTAATTCAGGTTCTGTTCGAATTCGAATTTGCTTAAAAGTATTGGTTACCAATTTGGTTGATACTTCTTCAATAATACCCTCCACCTGTTGGCGAGATTTAAGTGAATCAATAATTGTATTGTAGAGAGCATTTTTGCATTGCTGAGGTGAATAATTATGATATTGTAAGTGCTTAATGAATGATCGTTGTCGGACCATTATTTGATTACATGCAGGACAGGTCAAAAGGATATTATTCATAATAGTTCCATCGTCCGCGACTGGTTGTTTACATAAATATTCTCGTATCAGCATCACATTTTTCTGTGGAAGGAAATCATGAGTTGTATCGAGAATATATTCATACATCTTCACAAGCAAAAGATCAAGACAGCAATCATCACTGAAACCACAATTCCAGTGCTTCCTCTCAAAATGAACTCTGTAGCACAACTGCATAGAGTGGAACGTCTAGATGAACAATATTCTTGTAAGGAACAATCTGTTTTTCAGTATGACAATTTCCATCGGAATAAGTTATCACAGATTTACAACCCTTATACATCATGTTCAAGTTATTTGGAGAACATGACATTCCATTTTGAAACGAAAACGAATCATTTACTGAAAACGGATCCTGTCAAACAATTATTCACCAGTAAAAGATCGTCAAGACCAACACAACAGTCACTACTATTGATGGGACGACTTGGCTTTCCTGAAGAACTACTAGGTTGAACAGAACTACTTTGTTGGGGAACAGTATTATTGCAATGAATGGATATTCCATTTAAACAATCGGCTTCTCCAATAAAAGTTCTCGTTTTTTCATTTTGACAGTTCGAATCTGAATAAGTCACTTTCGATGTACAACCCTTATACATGTAAGACGAGCCATCAACACTTGGAATACATGATATTAATTGATGCATCAATTAATATTACGTCTGGATATCCAGAACATCTCGAATTTGAGTACAGGATGTATATGTGTTCACCAACTTTTGGTGAGAGTTGGATGTTGGTGGGACAAGTAATCTCTGTATGGTAAACCTGTCCCAATAGGTTCGAAGCTTGACAATCAAAAGGAATGCACTTAGTGAAGGATTGGTATAATTATCTCAAGGGTGTATTTCCTCTACAATTGTGACCATGGAAAGTGCGAAGTAATTCATACTCTGCATGAACGAGAGAAGTGTTGCATGCAAGAAGAAGCAACATGAATGCAGAAATGCTCAAAAGGAAGGTATTGGAACGAAACATTTTCAGCGGTTAATCACCGTAGGATTGATTGCTCGAGTGGTATTGTTGTCTTCAACAGATGGTTTGGATTTCTTCTTGGTTTTGGTAACTGATTTCTGTGGATTGAATTTTCTCTTTTTGTCGGGCTTTGTAGCTAAACCGGTTTCACCATGCAACAACAAATGTCCAAATTTTTGATACAACTTGGCAAGCAATAAATTCGGATCTGTTGAAACGCAGTCTAAAATTGCCTTGTTTGTTGTCTAATCTTTGTGCCGACTTTGGCTCCTTTCAATAATGCTCACATGGATTTATCAAGAGTTTTGATGATTGTAGTTAGATTAGAGTTGGAAATGTTCTAAAATTTTCTTCATTTCATCAACGTTGAAATTATAGGATGTATCTGTGGATGCGGATGTTCTATTTTGACTTGTGCTGATCATGTCAGTACAATCATGGAACCTTATTTCTGTAATTTGAAATACTCCTAAATCCTTGAGATCTTTTTCAGTGATTGTTGAAAAAAAGTCCTCTTGAATTATTGGAGTGAATGTAGTCACTATAAGGAAAGTTAAATTCCAAATATTCGGATGTTTCTACAACATGAAGTTCTTTGTTCTCTTGGAGCATTTGAATTGGTCCAATTATTTTGCTACAAAATTTATCCCATTTGGCATTCTCTTTGTAGTTCATCATCGAGCTCTTTTTGATTTTTAGAATTGGATATTTGTGGAGTTTCCATTTTCTATTGAAAGCATTATCATTGGGGTGGTGATTTTTACCGAGTTGTTGTTGTAATGATCTGTTTGCAAATGCTCTTCTCCAAACCAATTCAAAATGTTTTGGAATTAATTGCATTTAGCTGTTATATCAGGTGCATTAGAAATTTCCTCAACTGCTTCCAAAATAGTTTCCATTTCTTTTTTTGAGTACCTTCTAACAAATGACTGCTTGTTGTTATTCGTTTTTTAAGCTTTTTTTAACAGTCCTTTTATACCAGATCGGTATCCTCTTTGAAATATAGTTTTTGAATGCTCTCGTAAACTCTCTTTTACATGTTCATGCGTCATCAAGTGAGACATTGTTCCACCAAGTTCGAAAAATTCATCCAAATACCTTTGAGCTGCATTGTTTGCCTCAACTTTGGCCATGTTTTTAATGTTATCGGTAATATTACCGAACACTTCACCGATTCCATTTTGTTCCTTAATGATAGTTATTGGGTTAGTTGTGTTTGGATCTGTGAGCAGGGCGTTATTATCACAAATTTTCACTGATTTAATGTATTCGCAACGATGTCTGTATAAATTTGTGAGCAAAACAGACTCTAAACATATAGGACAATCGGCATAAATTGTTTTCTTTTGACAAACCAAACCCAATCATTGACACTGTCACTTGTATCACACGAGTTGCTGATTGGCCGTTTTTTGAAGGTTTTTTTGCACAAGTGACAATGAATCCCGTTTGCATGATCGAAATCAGAAGCTGCAAGCTTAGGCATTTTTCTTGAGTTTATTGGAACCACACAACGGTTGTGGTGTTGTCAAATGTCTGAAGGTTATTTTTGTTGGCTTGTGGCCAGATAGACCACGCGAGGCCAAGTCAGCCCCAGCGAAAAACGCTTGCGTGATCGTTGTATATTACTAATAACTTTATTTCTCTCATCACAAACACACTGTCATTAAGGTGATTCCAATTTTTGTAATTGTTTGATTAATTCATCCTTCTGTTTCTCATGATAACACATTTGTTTGGTATGGTACAAGATTTGTTGATTCAATTGATCCACAAGCAGTGTTTTAAAAACATCAATTTTCGTCTCCACTGCAGAGACTACCTTTGTAGCAGCACTCATGTCATTGTCCTGATTGTTTGTTGATGTTGATGTTGATGAAGAGATGGTCATTGGTGGAGGAATGGCCACAATGCATCTCTGTAATAAATGGAAAGTGGTTTGAAGTTCAAACGGAGATTGGAAGATCAAACCAATGAATTGAATTCTCTCTGTTCTCTTATCTACATATTTAATGACCAAATAACTCGGAGGATTTGTGACTAAATCACTATTAGTGTTGGTCGTGGTTGTGGAATCTGAAATTGCTTTCAATACTTGAAATTGAACATTTTCATTCAACTTTAAAAACAAATACAAATCAAATCCTCTTCTCTTTCGTGACTCTCTCCAGAGAGCCAATTCCGTTGGAACGATCATTGATGATGTTTCTTGTTTCTTATCTTGTGAAGAATATAAACATAAAATTGATGAATTTGAAATCATTCTCCAAGAATCTTTTGAAGGTTTCACCACCGATACTTCAATAGTCAATATAGGATTCACTTGATTATTGGGATCGATGGAAGGTTCATCATCGCTTTCTTCATCACTTTCGGTGTTGACTGGAGAAAAGGATCTTCTACCTCTTCGTTTTTCTTGTTTCGAGTCATTATTGGACAAGGTAGGTGAAGGTGTGGTAGATGTTGTTGATGTTGATGTTGTTGTCGATGACATGTTGGTGGTGGTCTTTTCTTTTTTGCGTGTGGGTGAGTGTGAATTTGACATTTGACTGTTCGAGGTATTGTTTTGATGATTGGGCTCCGAAGTCGGGATTTTGCCACCATTTGTCACAGATTCCTTTGAAGAAGCTTCCCCAACGAGTTGCTCCTTTTCATCCTTTGTGACAACTTTTGTATTGTTGCTGTTCTGTTCATTTGTTCCAACACGAAGAAGAACAACAGCATCTCCACTCTTACTCTTCTCCAAACAAGACAATTCTGTTGTTATTGGAGTTTTGATGGTAGTGCCACTCGTCGCTGTTGGATGATTGTTCATTGCACTTGTATTGTTACCATCAGGATTCACAACAGGAGTAGTAGTAGTAGTGACAATACTGTTGTTTTTGTTGTTGTTGGAATTGATGTGCCTCTCTTTGAACTTTTCATCCTCACTTTCAATTTTCTTTTCTTCGGGTGATGATGATTTCACAGATGAGAACGACGAGTTTGTTGTCGTCGTTGTTGTTGCTGACGATCGAGGAGATGATAAAGTATTTGTAGAATTTATGATAGTAGCAGAAGCAGTTCGAGGAGATGACAATAATGACGATCCACTACTACTACTCGTACCACCACTACTACCACCACTACTCGTACTTTTGACTGGAGGTGTCGATGGTTGTTGTGAATTCTTCTTCTCCGAATCAGCAGCAAGAAATGGATTCGAAGAAACTGGTTTCGAAGTGGAAGTATCGATCACAGAAGGACGTTGAGGAAGAGGATGAGGAGATCTTTTAATTGTTGTTGGTGTTGTAGAAGTGGTCGTTGTCGTACTTGGTGTGGATGATGATTTGATGATTGGTGTGGTTGTGGAGGTTGATGAAGAAGTGTTGTTGGTAGTGGAGGTAGGAGTGTTCGCAGTCATCGTTGTACTAGTTGAGGAAGTTGTACCACTTGTGGAGGTACCTCCCAGTAATGCTTGGAGAGAGGAGGTGGAGATGGCGGTTTTGGTTGCTGTGTTGGGCAAACTGTAGGGATTGAAATTCATTTTTTGAAAAATGACAGGTGGCATTTGCGGACCGAAGTTGTCGAATGGGTAATATTTGGAGTCCGGACTGAGACCACAATTTCAATCAACGAATGTGGCCACAACACCACTTCCAATTTTTTTCTGTCAAAGTAATTTTCTTTTGATTTCAAATACCTTGATGATCGGTTGACATATATCGTCGTAGATAATGAGCAAATGTTTCTGGAGTTTTAACTTGTGGTTGGCAAGGCATACTTTGTGAATGGACAGATACTTCATGGTGTGTGAGAAACGTATTCTATGTCAGAGTTGGATCGTTGAAGAGAATTTATCAAACAAACATGGTTTTTGCGGAAATAGTTATTCTGCCACGAGGAAAATGATGCGGAACACTTCCGACCTGAGTCGAAGGCGCAGCTGTGAGACGAAGGGCGGGAGGTTTCGCAGAAGTTTTCGAGTGGATAGAAGAATTTTTTTACCGGGTTTAGACGATCGAACAGTCAGATGTTGTTAATACTGGAGAGTACAAGGGTACAAGATCAGAAAAGACTGTGAAAGAATACAAAAAGAAGCAAGAGTTGTTCGAAACATACTGCACCAAGCACAGCCTATGCACCACAGATGTAAAGAGCATGATTGCATTCATCAACGTCCTGGCCACAGAGAGTAATATCGTTGGACAGAAATTGTGGAAATATCATTCAGCTTTGAGTTACTGTTACCAACAAGCCACAGGTTTTAATTTGAAAGATGCTCAATTTTATGCTCAGTTGAAACACACTTTCAAAACTTTCACAACAGGCGAATATGTTGTGTCAGAAGAGAAAGCAGATGTACTTCCTGATGAGAGTGTTGCTAAACTGTTAATTAATGCGAAAACAGACACCATCAAACAGAAGCAAAACCTCTCACAATTTGTTGTCCGTATATACACCGGCATGAGATCTGCTGAAATTTATGAAATGACTTTTAGGAAGTACAAATCACATTACCCACTTCAAAAAATGGAAAAAAGGTTCAAAAGGCACTCCCTTCTGTTCCAAATAACACCAAATTATGCCCGAATTCGTTTGTGTTGTGGAATACAAGACACATATTGTCAAATTCAAAATTGTGTTTTCAATAACTGTACAATAAATTTCAATTTTTAATACCTTATTTGCTGCATTTGGGAAGTATGGTAAGGCTGTTCCGCAACTCAGTTAAGGACTGTTCCGCACAGCTTTCGGAAGTTCACAGTTCACCCTTTTCAGCTGCATTTCCTCTGTGGATCGACTTAGTGGTCATATCATTTTTCGCTGGCATCACTTTCCAACACGGTAAAAAAAGACATTTTACAACTGAGATTCATGTTGAGGGGTTGATGAACATATACAAAGATCGCAACGATTAGAATTCGAAAGCAACAAAGGACAAGATGAGCGTTCCCGACTACTGAAAGGATCCCCAATAAAAGAGAGAACTACAGATACCTAGAATCTTTCTCCAAGGTATGGAAGACTTTCCTTAATAGACATTCAAAATTGGATAATGAACCGTTGTTGGAATAAACTCGTCATCCTTCCAAAGAATAAACTCGTCATCCTTCCAAAAAATAAACTCGTCATCCTTCCAAAAATCATTCAATTATTTGAAATGCTTTGTTGAACAACGCTCTTCGTTTTCACACACAAAAAAACAATCCAAAATCACACAAAATGCTTCTTTCTCGTTCCAATACCTTCCTTTTGAGTGCTTCTGCTTTCTTATTGCTTGTTCTTGTCTCTTCCACCGTTCAAGCTCAATATCAATTGCTTCAAACGTTCCCAGGTCTCACTTGCAGTGGAAAAGCCATGGTTCAAGTCTACACCCCTTCCTCTCTCTGCAAGGCCTCCAATTGCACCACCAATGTTAAAACTTATGTAGGTGATTACAGTGCCAGTACCACTTGTACAACCACCATTCCACTCTCACCAAAAGTTGGTGAATACATGATACTTTCTTACCAAGATTCGAAATGTTCAGGAAATCCATCGAGTGTTTCAATTATTGCATTGGACACTTGTATTCCAGCTGCTAATATGACTTATGGCTCCGTCATGTATAAGGGTTGTAAATCTGTCGTGACTTACAAGGATCAAAATTGTAAAACTGAAGACACGACTGTTCCTAATGCTAATGTTGATTGTGTGTTTGGCCTTTCACTTCAATGTAGTGGTGCTGCAGAGTTCATGTTGAGAGGAAGCACTGGAATTGTGGTTTCAGTGATGATTGCTGTCTTGATGATGATCTTTTACTTGTGAATCTGATGGTCGAGATTCTCAATAAATGACAACAACAATGTTGACTCCTTTAATTGTTATGAAACCATCAATTAATTGGTTTAGATCGAGTAATGTCCGGAGAACTTGTCTTTGTTGTCCACATGATGATGATGATAGATGTTATCATGTTCGCAATCCGTATTGGATACAACAAGTCATTGTTGAATCTCATAGAAAACGATATCAGAATTGTGAGCTTTAAACAATTGTTTTTTGCAACTAGAAGAAATATCGAATGATCAAAACACATACTGTTGATATTCATTTGAATCTATTAGAGTTCAATTGAACCAAAATTGGAATTGGTGATTTCATCGCGAGGAGATTCTATCTTCATTTTCAGGCAACGAATCATTGTTTGACTTACTGCAAATGAAAGTGAAAATAATCTACCAAGAATGAATCAAAATTGGGGATGATTATTCCTTAGAAGGTCATCTCTCACTGCGATCTCATAATTATGATTTTCTGCAACCAATGAAATGCATCGATTCTCTCAAAGAGAATGAATTAAGCCACTTGTCATCACATTGAATGCCAAATTAATACTTTAAATACTACTCGATCCTCTCTTATAATCTCCAAACAAAAAAACAAAATTTCCTCAGCAACAGAAAATGCTACATTCTCGTTTCATTGGCTTCTTCCAATTAAGCATGGTTGCTTTCTTGTTACTTGTTGTTCTTTCATACTCAACTTTTCTCGTTCATGCTCAATACAAATTATTTCAAACATTTCCTGGTCTTTCGTGCAGTGGAAAATCGATGGTTCAAATTTACACTAAATCCTCTTCTTGCCAGATCACTAATTGTTCTACAGGTGTCATCTCCAATGATGGTGATTTCAGTGGTTCGATTACTTGTCCAACCAACATGCCATTCTCACCAAAAGTTGGAGAACAAATGATCCTCTATTACGATAATATGAAATGTTCAGGAAATCCATCGAGTGTTACTATTATTGCATTGGATACTTGCATTCGAGCTGTTAATATGACTTATGGCTCCATCATGTATAAGGGTTGTAAATCTATGGTGACTTATTTGGATCGAAATTGTCAAACTGAACAAATGACTGTTCCTGGTGCGAATATTGATTGTTTTTCTGGAGTTTCCATTCAATGTAGTGGTTCTGCAGAGTTCATGATGAGAAGAAACACTGGAATTGTGGTTTCAATGATGATTGTTATCGTGATGATGATCTCTTACTTGTAAATATAACCTTGGATTGAGGCAACACTAGAGATATTGATGACATGTGCAATAAATGTTACTCAGCCTTATTTTAAATCTAATTGATAAATTACCAACACAATTAATGGAATTTATCCTTGCGTTTGTTGAAGATTCTCAAGATCATTTCAGCTCACTCATTACAATATTTCACATTTAAATCTTTCAAAAAGAAGGACAAAGCGAGGAAAACGCAAAACACTCATCAGGAGATTGTGATTATGAAGATGGATTCCATTTTCGGTACCGAACTGATTCGTTTTCGCTCCAAAATAGAATGTCACTGGCCTCTGGAATTGTGGTTTCAGCGATGGCTGTTGTGTTGATCTTTTACTTGTAATCTTTGTTTGAAAAGAGATATTGAAGACAATAAATGTCAGTCAGCATATTTTTGAACCGCTGTCGCAATAACTGATTTTTAAGTTTCATCAGATTCCCAAAATTCATTTGATGTCATTAATTGGTTCTCTCTTTTGATTGGTCAAAGATTTCACGTTGTTGTTCTATTCATAATCTTTCTTCATCCATGTAACTGCAAGAACTAAATTTTGGAAGTTGTATTCCATTGTCGGTCACTGATTCGTTCTCTCGTTTTAAAATGGAAAGTCATTGTCTCAACAACTTTGCAACCTCTCTCGTGGCATACTTTGACATACCACTCACAACGACAACTCTCACTTCTCATAGTAAGTTAGTAAAAAAACGTGTTAGTGAACATCTTGCTCTCATAGAAATAATATAAAAAAACAAACTCAAACCTGGCAAATTTTTCACACCGAGAAAATGCGTTGTTCCAGCAGTGTCTGGCTCCTTTTGAGCATTGCTGCATTCATGTTGCTTCTTCTTTCATGCACACCTTCTCTGGTTCATGCCAAATATGTGTTCAAAGAAAGGTTTCAGGGTCTAACCTGTAGCGGAAAACCCATCAAGCAGGTTTACACCTACTTATTCAATTGCAGTCTCCCCGATTCTTACGATTGTCGAAACGAAACCAATTCCTATTCGAGTGTCAAATCATCTTGTCTTGCAACCTTACCACCCATTCCACTGTCACCAAAAGCTGGTGAATACATGATGATCGGGTTCACAGATTGGGATTGTTCAGATCCAGTGTTAGTGGTCAAATCTGCATTGAACACTTGTATTCCAAGAAAGGATGGCTCATCTTACATGTATAAGGGTTGTACATTTAAGGTGACATATTCGGATCAAAACTGTCAAACTGAAATAAGGAATGAAACAGTTACAACATTCGATTGTGATAATGGAATGTCTGTTCAATGTAATAATACTGTTCAACCTATTAACTCTATTCCTGAACATTCATTTCAACCCAGTAATTCTACTCCAAGAAATTCAACTCATCCCAAAAGTTCTTTTTCAACTTACATCAGTGGTAGTGCCACAGAGTTTATGTTGAGAAGCAGCCTTGGGATTGTGGTTTCAATGATGGTTGCAGTGTTGATCATGACGATCTTTTACATGTGAATCTAATCTTTGATTGAGGTCACACGAGATTCAATCGATTTTCAAGGCGTCTTTTGAACACAAGTTGATGTTGAAGAGAACGTTGTTGAAATTTCAAGGAATGTTCTAGAAATTCCATACCATTGTGGAGATTGGTTACACTCTGATTTCATGTAGAAGCTCTTAATAATTATAAATTTGACTTTCATTTGCTTATTAGGAGGACTGTCGGAATTGACTTTGCTTCAAAGGAATATCCGTTAGATTTCGTTTTTGATTTACTCCCGTCCACTTTTCGCTGGGAAATTTACATTCCTACGATTGAGAGATCATAGTCAGGGTCGACTAAAACAGCGTTTTTTTTGTTAATTGTCACTTTTTCGCCAAATTTAGCACTGACATCAATGAAAAAGGAGAGAATATGAATGTCTTGATCAGTAATACATTGTATTCGGATCTTGTCCATAAAACTGATTAGTGAACGAGCTTTTTGTGTAATAAACGACAGGACAGACTTGAAACAAAGGAAATTCGAGAAATAAGTTATGGAAGCTGAATTCCTAAGTAGGTAATTGATTCGCTCTCTTATGGATTCATTTACTCAACGACATTCAAATTTTTGTTCTCCATCTAACGAAATCCAAACAACAACAATCACTTCTCATTCTAAAGTTAGTGAACATCATTAGTTGCATTGATTAGCATTATCATGAAACACAAAACTCAAGTGCAAAAAAACATTTTATTGAATAGTCCACAGAAAATGCTTCCTTCTCGTTCCAGTACCTTCCTTTTGAGCATTGCTGCATTTCTGTTGATTCTTCTTGCATGCAATGCCATTACTTCTTTCATTCATGCTGAATTTTTGGTGGTCGAAACTTTCCAAGGTCTCTCCTGTAGTACAAAACCTGTGCACAAGAAATATACCCCCTTTTCTTATTGCCAAATGTTGATCAGTATTTGTGAAATAGATTTAAATTACTTATTTAGTACCAACGCGTCTTGCACCTCCACCATGCCTCTCTCACCAAAAGTTGGCGAATTCATGACACTCGAATATCCAGATTCGAAATGTTCAGAAAATCCATCTTCAGTAACTGTAACTGCTTTGGATACTTGTATTCCAAGTAATAATTGCTCTTACATGTATAAGGGTTGTCAATCAAAGGTGAATTATTCGGATCAAAATTGTCAAAGTGAAGTAAGGACAAGTCCTATTTCAACAATGAATTGTGATCATGGAGCGACTGTTCTTTGCAATAGCAATCGTTCTTCTTCGGGCTATCCAAGAAATATCAGTGATGGAGCCACAGAGCTCATGTTGAAAAGCATCATTGCAATTGTGGTTTCAGTGACAGTTGTCATGATCTTTACTTTTGATTCTAATCTTTGATTTTGGCCACAAAAGATGCTCGATTTGACAAAACATCATTAAATTCGCCTTTAACAAGCTATTGGATGACTTTAGAATTAAATGACCAAACCTTTATTGGATCATGATGATCTTTACAAGAGTTGGATTAATCCAGCTCTTTTGTCAATGATTCAAACTTTTCTGTTTAAAGCATATATCATCGATCGCGAATGAAATTTTAGACTCTTCAATTTCTGTGACTTGGGATGACATTTGAAATATGCAAAGGCATCTGTAGTTCATCATGCTATCATTTGAAGAAGCAAAAAGAAAATTCTTCAACACTCAACAGAACTTAACCATTATTAAATATATATATTTCATTTTCAAATCAGTACTAGAGTATTTTCTCAACATCAATCTTCTATTGAATGTTCATGTGTCGTATTTTTCACATTCTCACATCTCTTTATAAATTCGATTGCAATTGCAATACCACTGTTTTCAATGAAGTCCATGCCTTAATTCCTTCCTCTCCTCCCTCTCGACCAAATCCTGATTGTTTCAATCCTCCAAATTCAGCCACATGTAAGACATTGTGATAATTATTAATCCACACCACTCCTGCCTTAATACGATCACTGAGTGCAAACATGTGATCCACATTTTTAGTAAAGATAGCAGCAGCCAATCCAAATTCAGTTCCATTGCATCGTGTGACCACTTCGTCGATGGTGTTCCATTTGAGAATGGATTGAACAGGACCAAAGATTTCCTCAGAAGCAATTCTCATCGAGTCTTTGACCTTTTCATATGATGAAATCATTCATTTGAAGTATATGAATTCATCATTGAAAATTAGTGAGATGGTAATATTATAATATGATTAAAAAATGAATTCAGAAATGAATGGTATTGATAATAAGTAAATACTACATACATCATAGAAAATGGTGGGTTTCACAAAATATCCCTTACTTGGAAGATCATTCTTGTGGTGTAATCCTCCCAATAATAATTTAGCTCCTTCTTTCTCACCAATTTCGATGTAACTTCTCACTCGATCATATTGCTCTTTATCTACTAGAGGACCAATAGTCACATTTTCATCCAAATTATTTCCTAAATAGTGTGAAAATGTCATAAGAATTGAAAAAAAAATTGATAGTATCATTATCATCATTCGAACCGACGAATCGTCATCACATCATTGAACAATATGATAAATACCATCCTCACTCTCGTCATGACCAAACACACTTACCAATTTTGAACGTCTCTACATGCTCCTTCAATTTTCTAATAAATTCATCATAAATGTCAGCATGAACAAATGTTCTCGATCCAGCCGTGCATGCCTCTCCATTATTATTGAAAATACTAAATGCAGCCACTTTAACTGCTTCATCGATATTCACATCGTTACAAATCACAACTGGTGATTTTCCTCCAAGTTCCAGTTGCACTTGTTTCAAATTACTTTCTGCAGCTGTTTTCATAATAATTCTTCCAACTTCGGTGGAACCTGTGAAGGCAATTTTTGAGATTTTTGAATGACGAACGAGTGGTGCTCCAACGTTGGGTCCATCTCCCATGACCACTTGGAATGCTCCTTTTGGAAGACCAATTTTTTGACAAATGTCTGCAAGCTTGAGAGCAGTGAGAGGAGTTTGTTCTGCAGGCTGTTATGTGTTTGGACAACGTTTGAAATTAATTTGTGATGCATTCATCACATGCACAAAATTTGTCACGTTAATGAGAACAAATGACAATTGTGTGTGAATAACCAAAAAACATTATGTTAAAACATACCTTCAAAATGACACAATTGCCCATTGCAAGAGCTGGTGCCACATTAACAAGACTGCACCACATTGGGAAATTCCAAGGAGAAATTCTGTATATAATGAACAACACAAAAAAGTTAAAGAATTGGTGAGTAAAAAGATTGAACATTCAAATTTCTGATTCTCCACACACTTACACTCCAACAATTCCGATGGGTTCTCTCTTTGTGTAGACATGAAACTTTTTATCGGTCACACAAACTCTTCCTCCTAATTTATCAATCCATGAAGCACTGTATCTCCAGGTATCCGTGAGACCCTTAATTAAGACATTTCACCATATTGTGTGTGCATGAAATAAAGATCAACAACATTTCATGGAAAATCAAATCATTTGTGAAAAAAAATTGCAACCATATTCAATGAATGATTGACAAAATCATACCTTGATGACGTAACGACACACTCCAATGGGTGTTCCATTATTCAAAGCTTCTAATTGCGCCAATTCTTCAACATTCTTGTCCCATTCATCAGCCAATTTATATAATAAATCCTGTCGTTGTTTTGGTTCTAATTGTCCCCATTCTCCAGAATTTAGTGCTGTTTCTGCAGCCTGTACTGCTAATTCCACATCTTCTTTTTGTCCATCACTCACATGGCATAGAATTTGTTCAGTTGCGGGACAAATGAGTGGTAATTGTTTATTGCTTTGACTTGTAATGAATTCGCCATTAATAAAGTGTGTGAGTTGTGAAGGTCGGACTCGTTGAAAGATTTCGTCGAGTTGTGAGTGTGAAATTTCGAGTGGTTGCATTTTTTTGTTGATTTTTGTCGAATTAAATTTTTATTTTCAATCAAATTGTTTCAATTCAATTTGAAAGTCTTCCCAAATGGTGAGAAAGTATAAATTATGGAGTATATTTCTGATATATTATAATAATAAATTAATTAATTTTTTATTAAATTCTTCATCTTGAAGTTTCCTATTTCTTTAGGACCATCATGCGTCACTTGTCGCTTGATGAAAAAATTCATTTCAAAAAATGACAGAAGAGTGGTCCGAGTTTATTCAACGAGAGATTATTGAAAACGGCAATGCCACACACGGTGCACTGATCAGCATCTCGGATGGAGGAATCTGGGCCAAAACTTTCTCTCCTCAAGATGATCCCAATCTCAGCGGAGAAGAATGTCCCAAGCAATGGCTTTCCAACATTCTCAATGGATTTTCGAATCCTTCCGAATTTATTAATAATTCTGATATTTCAAAGGGATGTATTCAATTATTCAACAAACAGTTTATTGTAACAAATATCATGAAAGATCGAGTCATGTGTGCCAAGAATGGAGTCGATGGATGTTATCTTTTTAAAACTCAACAAGCATTGTTGTTGGTCATGTATGGAATTAGTAATGAACCAGGAGAATGTTATTTGGATTGTGAGAATTTCGCAAGGTATCTCATTAGTCAGGGATTGTAATTGATGTGATGGACAATGCAATCTTGACATTCATGACCTTGAAGTCTTATCCTTTTTTCCACTCTCTCCTGATGACACATTTTCGAGTGCAACTCCTATACATGGCATTCCAACAGTTTGCCATCTTCATATTGTATTTTCTTTATTTAATAGTTTCATATGACAAATATTCATCCTCAACACGTTACAATGATTCATTGAATCATTGATCCATCATGAAATCTATCCAATCACTCTCTCGTCGCAATTCTCGAATTTGGGTTAGATTTCAAATAAAACTGCATTCTCAAATTATGTCCGTGCATCATTTCCGAAAAAAATTATTATTCAAGCAGAGTGGATGCAGATGGTATTATTTCTCCTCTAACAGCATTATAAAGAGGTGGAGGAATCATGGGTGGAGCTTGATAGTATTGTTGTTGAGGTTGTTGATGTATCACTGGGGTATTCGGAAATGCGTTTGATGGATTAAATCCAGACATGGCTGTTGTTGGTGTTTGAATATTTCCGTATTGTCTTGCACGCGATTCTGCAATTAATTTATGTTGCTCACTAATGAGCTCTTCTTGAGTTTTTCCAGAATTTTTCAATTTGTCTGAATTTTTAGAATGTCTAGCACTCTCTGTTTTAAATTGGGCATGAGCCTCATTAACCGATTGTATATATTCTCCATATCCAAGTTTTTGTAGCGCTTCAATGACATGTTCCCCAGCAATAGTTTTTCTTTGTTGTTGTTCGCAAATTGTATTTGCTTCTGCTGCGATCATTTGTACAAACTCTATACAACACTCGACAATTAAATCCCGAGTTTCGGTTGCACAACGGATAGAGTCTCCGAGATGCTCCTTGATCAGCTTTTGAATAGTGGCTTTTGGAAGAGAAAAGTCCTCTGCGTTTGAACCCATTTTTTTATAGAAAAATTCTATCAAAATTTAATTGATTAAAGTTTTTCAAATCATGGATGGTGGTGATAAACAGATGCTGGATTCATGCAATTTTTATTAACGTTTTGGTTTTTTAGAATCTCGTCCTCCATTGCCTCCACCTCCTCTAGAGTCATAGGACCCACCACGACCACCACCTCTACCTCCACCTCTGTCACTGTACTGATAATTATCTTTTCCAGAGCTTGAGCTTGGAGGTTTGGAATCTCCTCTGCTGTCTCTACTTGAGGCTCCTCCAGAACTAGATGAATCTCTTCTTGAATCACTAATTGCAGAATTGGGTCGTTTTTTGTCGTTATAGTCGTCTCTAGGTGGTGATTTTTTAGAAAGTGAAGATGGTGAGTCCATGGGTCTACTTGCTGATGATCTTCCTCGGTCGTCTCTTGGAGGAGGCAATCGATCATCACCTCGACCTCCACGATCGTCTCTTCTTCCATAACCTCCTCTATCGTCACCTCTACTTCCACGATCGTCTCTTCTGTAATCTCTGTCATCTCTTCTATCGTCTCTTCTTTCCATGGGAGGATATCGTCTGTCCTCTCTGTCACTACTATTGCTTGTTGTGCTTGCTGGTGAAAGAGGAGGTCTTGAATCGGAAGGTGGTCTTCTCATACTGTCATCCTTAGACCTGTTCGAACCTGCCGTAGGTCTATTTTGATCCCTCTTGGCTTCTTCGCTTAGAGCAGCTGCAGAGTACAGTCCTCTTAATTCTCGTTGCTTTTTACAATATAAATCCCATGTTTCCTCATTAAAACCATAATTAAAGTAATCTGTAATATCTGCCCCAGGTTTTCTCCAAGGTTTATCTTCATAATTTTGAATATCCATCGTAAAGACTTGCTGATTCATCTTCAATTCAAAAAGAGGTACATAATTACTTCCTTTGAATTGTTCATCTCCATTCATAGTATTTTCATCTACGGTTTTGTTTGTTTGAGCTTTAGTCGCCGTTGCGTTTTTAGAAGCACCAATGGCAATGTGAGTCGAATCCGACACTGCTTTTCCTGATGATGCGGTGGTATTTTGAGAAGGTGTGGTTGTTGCTGTTGTTGTTGTGGATGCAGCAGGTGTTGCACTGGTTGATGAATTTACAACAAAAGTTACATCATCCTCTTCGTCTTCTACATCGGAGAGATCCTCATCATCATCCATAGTATTAGTGGTATTATTATTGTTGGTTGATTGATCATGAGATTTTTCAAATAATCCTCGATCATCATTATCTATGATTGAATAAACACTGTTGGTTGCCTCTAATTGTGCGGCATCCTCTTCCGTTGAAGCAGTGGTGGGTTCGGCTGGATTTGACGAAGACATTTTTTTTTGTTGCGACT